AAGTCTAAACTTTAGTTCGCTTAACCTTTCGACGATAATATGCTCTAGTGAGTAGTGACCAAAAATATTTTGTTAAGACGCTGAATAGAATTGAATTAGCTTGCTTGAGCAGGTTTTTTCAAGTATAGTATGACATCATTAGTATTTGTTTAGAAATAGTAAAAAGAAAGTAATATACCAAATATATGTACAATGAAAATTATCGATATGATGAGACAGCATTATAGACATAATGCAGAAATCATTTGAAAATAATAATCTCTCACGCTTGAATAGGCGAAAGGAATGTCTCGGCAACTTGGTAAAATTGGGGGCCGCGACGACTTAGAACTCGTTCATTTTTTATCCGCCATTTTCTTGTTATTGTTGAACTATGTATGTTTAAAGAAGTCTGACCTTTTTCAGACGAAACGTTACAGAAATATATTTGTGTTAGTGTGCAGCAAGACTCTTGAATCACTTAAGATAGTTATCTTTACTCTTGCTACAGCATCCTTGCATTATATGCATACGATTCCGCCGACACAAAAGCATAGAAGAATGATAAGAAGTTAGTCTCGCAGAAATCAAATCATTCATAAAATAAGTTGTCATCAGAAGGAACTTCGTAAGCCAAACTCAGCAAACAGAAGACTATTTTTTAAAACTCAACTGCCGTTATTTGCGGAAAAGAATACTTGATTTGAGTGGTAGCAGACTTTCCTACTATTCACTGCTATTTCAAGTAGATAAATTCTATTTTATGTCAGTGGAAATCATCGATAATAGTTGTAACCCCCATGCTCAAGTTGTACATGAAATCCCAGGCAATCAAACAGTCATCATTTATTTGTCAACACAATATGAGGACATCATGAAAAATATGGCAAATATTATTAAAAAGTTCTAACTAATTTTAATTGTGTTACAGGAATCGCTAGGAACCCCGATGGGCCTTCAAGCAACGACGATTCAGATTAACGAATAAAATAAATAATTTCAGACGCTTATAATTATTAATTGTAATTAGTTTCATGACAACAGTAAACAGCGCATCGAAAACAATTAAAAAACTAAACTACTAATTGTTTTGGGAACAAGAAAATCACCGAACAGCTATAATAAACATAATGCAAAATTTCACATGCGATTTTTTATTTCCACGTCATCGGATTCGCCACAAAAATATTTTCGAGATAACTGATAGCCAGCGCTCAATTGGCCATTAAGCAAAATAAGCACGTGCTCAGGGCCGCAAGAAAAGGGAGCACCACAGAAATTTTTATAGTTGAATTTTCAATTGCGCTTCAGTGTAAAGTTTACCCGGATCTCAAAATTGTCTACGGTAAAATAAATTTGCTTTTCTTCTTAAGTATCATCTTATCCCTCTCTCTCATATCAGGATCGTCAAGGCGAGAAAACGAAGTAAAATAGCTTGCTTGACTTCGGGTGATCGTCTGCGCGTTTTGGACAACCATCTCTGTATACTTTGAAGGATCTTATTTCGTCATTGTGACGTTGTAGTGACTGACGACTTAGTCAGGTGGGGGTTAGGAATGACATATGCAAAAATGGTTATACCACGCCTTGCGCGTTTTGGACAATCATCCGTATACTTTGAAGGATCTTATTTCGTCATTGTGACGTTGTAGTGACTGACGACTTAGTCAGGTGGGGGTTAGAAATGAAATATGCAAAAATGGTTATGCCACACCTACTAGGAGTACTTGACGGCGTTTAGTGAACTAGCCCCGAAAGAAATACCAAGGCCCTAACTTCGCATCATAATTAGGCGTACTTGAGCGACAAACTTGCTTTGGTGCATTGAAGAACTAAACGTGTCTCATGTAGTTTTGTACCTAACGTACTTCTAGTTGGCGTAGCATAACAATTTTATCACGTGTCAATCCTAACCCCCACTTGACCACGCCATCCAAAAATTACGTCACTACGACGTCACAGTGACGTAATAGAGCCCTTCAAACTATGCGAACTGTCATCCAAGACGCGCAGACGAGAACCCGAAATCGAACAGCCATTTCTCTCGTTTTCTCGTTGCAATCAAAGTATCCCGATAGGAGAGAGATCGCTGACGTTAGTCAGTTCTTTATCGTCGGCGCCGATGTCATTTCGGGCGATCGTACGAGTATTTGGCAAGCTCTATGACGTGTTGTGACGTCGTAGTGACGTAATTTTTGGATGGCGTAGTCAGGTGATGGTTAGGATTGGCATGCCAAAAGACTGTTATGCTACGCATACTAGAAGTACGTTAGTGGAACGATAATATGCTCTAGTGAGTAGTGACCAAAAATATTTTGTTAAGACGCTGAATAGAATTGAATTAGCTTGCTTGAGCAGGTTTTTTCAAGTATAGTATGACATCATTAGTATTTGTTTAGAAATAGTAAAAAGAAAGTAATATACCAAATATATGTACAATGAAAATTATCGATATGATGAGACAGCATTATAGACATAATGCAGAAATCATTTGAAAATAATAATCTCTCACGCTTGAATAGGCGAAAGGAATGTCTCGGCAACTTGGTAAAATTGGGGGCCGCGACGACTTAGAACTCGTTCATTTTTTATCCGCCATTTTCTTGTTATTGTTGAACTATGTATGTTTAAAGAAGTCTGACCTTTTTCAGACGAAACGTTACAGAAATATATTTGTGTTAGTGTGCAGCAAGACTCTTGAATCACTTAAGATAGTTATCTTTACTCTTGCTACAGCATCCTTGCATTATATGCATACGATTCCGCCGACACAAAAGCATAGAAGAATGATAAGAAGTTAGTCTCGCAGAAATCAAATCATTCATAAAATAAGTTGTCATCAGAAGGAACTTCGTAAGCCAAACTCAGCAAACAGAAGACTATTTTTTAAAACTCAACTGCCGTTATTTGCGGAAAAGAATACTTGATTTGAGTGGTAGCAGACTTTCCTACTATTCACTGCTATTTCAAGTAGATAAATTCTATTTTATGTCAGTGGAAATCATCGATAATAGTTGTAACCCCCATGCTCAAGTTGTACATGAAATCCCAGGCAATCAAACAGTCATCATTTATTTGTCAACACAATATGAGGACATCATGAAAAATATGGCAAATATTATTAAAAAGTTCTAACTAATTTTAATTGTGTTACAGGAATCGCTAGGAACCCCGATGGGCCTTCAAGCAACGACGATTCAGATTAACGAATAAAATAAATAATTTCAGACGCTTATAATTATTAATTGTAATTAGTTTCATGACAACAGTAAACAGCGCATCGAAAACAATTAAATAACTAAACTACTAATTGTTTTGGGAACAAGAAAATCACCGAACAGCTATAATAAACATAATGCAAAATTTCACATGCGATTTTTTTATTTCCACGTCATCGGATTTGCCACAAAAATATTTCCGAGATAACTGATAGCCATGGCTCAATTGGCCATTAGACAAAATAAGCACGTGCTCAGGGCCGCAAGAAAAGGGGGCACCACAGAAATTTTTATAGTTGAATTTTCAATTGCGCTTCAGTGTTTAATGAAATAATTAAAGTTTACCCGGATCTCAAAATTGTCTACGGTAAAATAAATTTGCTTTTCTTCTTAAGTATCATCTTATCCCTCTCTCTCATATCAGGATCGTCAAGGCGAGAAAACGAAGTAAAATAGCTTGCTTGACTTCGGGTGATCGTCTGCGCGTTTTGGACAACCATCTCTGTATACTTTGAAGGATCTTATTTCGTCATTGTGACGTTGTAGTGACTGACGACTTAGTCGGGTGGGGGTTAGGAATGACATATGCAAAAATGGTTATACCACGCCTTGCGCGTTTTGGACAATCATCCGTATACTTTGAAGGATCTTATTTCGTCATTGTGACGTTGTAGTGACTGACGACTTAGTCAGGTGGGGGTTAGAAATGAAATATGCAAAAATGGTTATGCCACACCTACTAGGAGTACTTGACGGCGTTTAGTGAACTAGCCCCGAAAGAAATACCAAGGCCCTAACTTCGCATCATAATTAGGCGTACTTGAGCGACAAACTTGCTTTGGTGCATTGAAGAACTAAACGTGTCTCATGTAGTTTTGTACCTAACGTACTTCTAGTTGGCGTAGCATAACAATTTTATCACGTGTCAATCCTAACCCCCACTTGACCACGCCATCCAAAAATTACGTCACTACGACGTCACAGTGACGTAATAGAGCCCTTCAAACTATGCGAACTGTCATCCAAGACGCGCAGACGAGAACCCGAAATCGAACAGCCATTTCTCTCGTTTTCTCGTTGCAATCAAAGTATCCCGATAGGAGAGAGATCGCTGACGTTAGTCAGTTCTTTATCGTCGGCGCCGATGTCATTTCGGGCGATCGTACGAGTATTTGGCAAGCTCTATGACGTGTTGTGACGTCGTAGTGACGTAATTTTTGGATGGCGTAGTCAGGTGATGGTTAGGATTGGCATGCCAAAAGACTGTTATGCTACGCATACTAGAAGTACGTTAGGTTCGAAACTACACGAGACCCCTGAACGTTGTTTATGTATCGCGTACTTACATATATGCAAAGCAATCTTTGTTATTAAATGCACGCCCGATCGATCACAGACGATTACGAGGCAAGATGTAACCCAAAGGAAATAGGAAGCATTTGTGTCTGAAAGCTGATGTTTGTCAATGTTACAGGCAACTCAGTTCATTTTGATCGCGTCAGAATCATGGTACAAGCAAAGCAAGGTGCCACAGTTTCGCTTTCGTTTGCATAGTAATAAACATGAGAAACAGCTTTTCACCCGAAGTTACGATTTAGGATGTCAGGCTTGAGGCTATGAATAATTGATCTGATCTATTGCTTGCATTTGCTGTGTAGAAGTATAAGGTCCAATATTTTATCGGTTGATGGAGACTCTTGAGCATCAAATGCAACTATGACTATGAGTATGATAATTTGCAAGGTTGACAAAGTTGACCAATAAGCGCGTGTTAACAACTAAAACTTTATATAAATAAAGTAGGACGAGCAGTACGTGCTTATAATTAAAAAAAAATTAACAATGGGGATGAATTGTTGAAGTATGCTTGAGGCGAGAAAATATCAAATATCTCGCAACAAATTCATGACGCATTACACTCTTTTGCTAAATATCATTTGTTACAGTCTGACTAATTTAAATATACTTATGCATAGCTGCGTTGGTCGATTTATCTGCATAAAGTGTCTGGACAAGGGAGGGAAGGAGAGTTCTTGGGTTGATTTATTTTATTTAAAGTGGAACAGCGACTATACATCATGTTTGGGCGATTAATACGAGTCTTATTTGATTACGCGAATATCCAGTCGTTCATTTTGTTCGTTTCTGTTCTTGGCATGTATTACTTCATGTTCCGGAGAAAGAAGAGCGTATGCAACGTACCTGGTTAGTATTATAAAATTTATAAAAGGCAATCATAAATAAAGTAGGTTTGGAAAATTGTGATCATTCATTATTATTCAATTGATTGCATTTTCAAAGTAGTCTTTATTTTCTATATATAGCCTACTACATCATCGCATTCGGACATTGAGTGAAACATTTACTATATATATATATACATATTGGTATTAAACTAAAATTCAAACTCATAACTGCATTCTAACCAGATAGTTTAGATTTTTATATCATACTTAATTTATAAAAACAAAGATAAAATGATATTTTTACGTTTTTAGCACGTTGTATAATGGATACGAGGCCCCACGAGACTTGGGATACGTGGTAATAATAACGATATATTTACAGGACCAAAAGCATGGTCATTGATTGGGAATCTTCCTTCACTAAGCCTGCACTCAGAGCGAAAACTACTAGAATGGCACAGAGAATTTGGACCAGTCATCAGAGTACAAATGCCCAGTAACGAATTCATCTGCCTAGGAAGTATGGAAGCAGTACAAGAAGCATTTGTAAAAAAGCAGACAGTTTTTCTGATCGAATGCAGGGCATTATTCCGGGAATAACCGGCAACGATGGCATCATATTTGTGGACTATGGCACGAAACTGAAAGAGCAGCGGCGATTCGCTCTTACAGCTTTGAAAGAATTTGGTATGGGTCGCCGTAGCATCGAACCTAATATTATCGTAAAAAGGGGAAGAACTTTGTGATAAGATTGAAACTTACAGCGTGAAAGGAACACCTTTTGCTATCAACCCAATGGTCTATGAAACAGTATCGAGTATTATCTCTCAGCTTGTATTCAATAAAAATCTGGCATTGGGAAATGAGGGGTTCCAAAGATTCTTAAAAGACGCAACGGAAGGACCAAAATATTTTGCCATAAGTGGATTAATGGTATTTTTTCCGTTGCTCAAGGTAAACAAGCTTTTTCTGAATTTTTTTTAGCTTATAAATGAATCCAATTTTTGAAAAACAATTCATGTTCGCACTAGGGTCGGACTAGCGCATTAGGGTCGGAAGTAAAATTCTCTTCTTTTTATTCATTTATTCTTTAGAAAATACCCCCGTTTTCGTGGGTTCATCAGGAAACTAAAAGGCGAGAAAGGGAATTTTTGCAACTTCTACAAGACCAAATAGATGATCACAAACGAACGAGGGATCCAAATGCTGCCCGTGACTTCATTGATTGTTTTTTGAACGAATTGGATAATTCCGATACATTGGAACGATCCGAAGAACTAGGTATTTTGAATTACGTATTATGTCGTTTGAGTGGTTTCTGTTGAATCTTTTGCGTGGTAGCTAGCGGCCTTATATTAAAACTCAACCTTTGCATAATGATGTCATAGGTCAGGGATGGCCAACCTGCTTTCGACCGCGATCGAATAAAATCTTCAAAATAGATCGCGATCGACTGCTTGGTAATAAGGTCCTACACAAAAACGAATGGGCACTGAATGTGCAGAAAACTCCACATACGCATACAAAAAATTCGCAAAATCGACACATAATTTGCATTTTTTATGTTCCATTTAAGTTGTTGATTTGAATATTTAATTGTACCAGGAGTAAATGTTTCATTATTTCTTCAAGATTTATTTAAATCATACAATTCAGATAAAGGGCGTGCCTAATTTTTAATTGTAAGTGTTGAAAATTCTTCAAGAAACCTTGCCAAGAATTATCCAAACAGTGTAAAATAAATAATCTCAAACCATGAACGTTACATGACTGCTCAACTTCAGTATCTAATGTACAATTTCCTCCAAACGCAATTCTTCGCTTGATTAAAATTAGAACAAATTGGGCATTTTGATGCCACTGCTACCATTGCGAATAACTCTACTCTTAGAGTGAGACAATAACTTTCGCACACTGAGGAAGTTATTGTAGGATCATTTTTCAGTCTATACCAATGTTGCCAGATCCTAGTGATTAAAAAAAAGTCAAATCAAGACAGAAAAAAGGAAATATCAAGCGGACAGCACTATTGTTTCAAATCAGATATATACAATAAGCCATGTATACCGCTTTAGGACGGATAAATGTACATGTTTCTACTTGATCTTGCGATATACATACCTCAGAAAACTTTCCGGATATTTTACTATTGAAATTTTTTTTAGGATTGTTTTGAAGTTGAAGGCATCATTTTTACCGAGATTATTCAACCACGTACCGCTTGCACAGATAGTCTACTGATAGTGATTTTAGCCTAGATAATCGCGTCCTTTGCGAAAATTTTGATTACTGCAACCAAACTAAAGCTCCTCGGAACGCAAAATGACAATTACTGAATTAAGCATTCAATTTTTTTTGGAAACATAACTAAAAACTGCCAAATAACACTGTAACACGCAAAACAATGAAAACGAAGCCTGCTTGAACATCTGTCTGAGCGGCTGCAAAAACTGCAATCGTTACGTCATTCTAAGTGATTCGATAGTCTTGCTGCACACACACACAAATATATTTCTGTAACGTTTCGTCAAACTTCCTCAGACATACATAGCTCAACCTAATCGATTGCACATGTTATGTCATTGTTGGCTTATTTTCGATTGGTTGTGGTTAAGAGAAAATCTAAATGTTGAGTAGCTGAGCTTGCTATTGTTGCACAATAAATACCGGTAATATATTTTGAAAGATTTAATAATAGACAGTAGAATGGACATCAAAAAAGCCAAATGGAAATTCTGACGCCAAACGTGTTTCAAAAAAGCCAAAATCGTGAAACTTGGCGTTAAAAAAGCCAATATGGCAACCCTATACACGCGATATTCGGCACTTCATTTTTAAACTTTGGCAGCAGAAAAACTTGCATTTAGGACGGATAAATGTACATGTTTCTACTTGATCTTGCGATATACATACCTCAGAAAACTTTCCGGATATTTTACTATTGAAATTTTTTTTATGATTGTTTTGAAGTTGAAGGCATCATTTTTACCGAGATTATTCAACCACGTACCGCTTGCACAGATAGTCTACTGATAGTGATTTTAGCCTAGATAATCGCGTCCTTTGCGAAAATTTTGATTACTGCAACCAAACTAAAGCTCCTCGGAACGCAAAATGACAATTACTGAATTAAGCATTCAACTTTTTTTGGAAACATAACTAAAAACTGCCAAATAACACTGTAACACACAAAACAATGAAAAACGAAGCCTGCTTGAACATCTGTCTGAGCGGCTGCAAAAACTGCAATCGTTACGTCATTCTAAATGATTCAATAGTCTTGCTGCACACACACACAAATATATTTCTGTAACGTTTCGTCAAACTTCCTCAGACATACATAGCACAACATAATCGATTGCACATGTTATGTCATTGTTGGCTTATTTTCGATTGGTTGTGGTTAAGAGAAAATCTAAATGTTGAGTAGCTGAGCTTGCTATTGTTGCACAATAAATACCGGTAATATATTTTGAAAGATTTAATAATAGACAGTAGAATGGACATCAAAAAAGCCAAATGGAAATTCTGACGCCAAACGTGTTTCAAAAAAGCCAAAATCGTGAAACTTGGCGTTAAAAAAGCCAATATGGCAACCCTGTAACACGCGATATTCGGCACTTCATTTTTAAACTTTAGCAGCAGAAAAACTTGCATTTGTTACGTGATAATATGCTTTATCGGGCTTGCCCAAACTCAAATACTGTATGGGTATATTGTATTTTGCGCATGTTAAGTACTGTATTCTTCCTGTTGCAAAACATACAACTGGTTCCAGGCAATTTCGTGGGGGGGTTTCGATAAAATTCACTCAACATCAGACGCGATCGACTGCTCGAGACGTGGCGATTTACCGGTCGATCGCGATCGACGTGTTGGTCACCCATGTGACATAGGTGACCGTTTGGATCTTCAAATAACAAAAATTATGCCAGAAATTTGATCGCCCAGGCCGGATTATGCTTTGTCTTTAATAAACACAACACTATACTCTTATATACTAACGAATTTGGCGAAGGACGCCTTAGAATATACCATAAATCACACATCTTTGCTTATACCAAATGTTGGCTTTGTGATCGATGAGGCAAAGTAAGATACATTCTCTATCTATCCTTGATTGAGACTTGGACTTGGAATATATCCTACAACTTGTGTGCTTGATTTGCATTTTGCATTCCAGGATACCCCGATAATCAATTGATTGGTGTCGCTCGTGATCTATTTTTGGGAGGATCGGACACCACTTCTAATTCAATATGTTGGGCAGTGCTGTATCTTTCTCGTAATCAAGACGCCCAAGCAAAAATGTATGCAGAAATATCAGATATTGTTGGACAAATGGCCCCGAGTACTACGATGTCTGATAAAATGCCGTACACAAAAGCCGTAATTCAAGTGAGTCTCATTTTTAAAATATATAATAAGAAATGTATATGTAACACTTAAATATCATCTATTGTTTATTCGACATAATGAAATTACTATAATCTATATATACTCTAATACTCTGTTGACTGTCGTGTGGGATATTCTTCACAGAAGTCACATTGAGTGTTTCAATGGCATTCAGAGCTCTCCGATTTGGGACGAACGCTCTGTGAGGGAGGCGGCAGGTCTAAAGCGTCTACTAGAACAGGGGTTCTCAAACTTTTGGTGTTGCGGAGCCCTTGAAAAGGTTTACTATTATTCACGGAGCCCCAAAAAATAAATGTTAAAATTGTTACTTTCAGATTAATATTCCTGAGCAAGTTAAAAGTACTTTACTTAATTTAAATGCTGAACCTTAGGGTTAATACAAGTCATACATAAATTTAAATTTCAAACATAAATTAGATATATACTGAAGCTGTAAATTTCACACTTGACAAACATTAATAAATTAGTGGTCGAATCTTTTCCCTTTCGACATTTTTGGAAGACCTAAAAGGCCGCTAATAACGTGCGCGATTGCATTTTGTTCGATTGCCGATTTTTTTCGTCAGCATGGCGTATCTTTGAACCTTTAAACATCTTTACCGCCGGTGTTTATTCTCCGTGAATCAAAAATTTCCCTCGGCATATATATACATGTATTGTTACACATTGACGACGTTAATTGCTTTTTTGTTCTCGTGGGGAGTTATGAGTTCAATGTGAAAATTATGTTACCATATTATAGCCATCGGCGATGAAATGCTAAAAATAATAATTAATAAAGAGGTAAATCCGCAACTCAAATTTCTTGATTGAAAAACGGCATTCTAAAATATTAAAACTGAAACTTAGAAGAGAAGATCACAAATTTGGTTTTCAGCAGACTCATCTCAGATAGAAAACGTTTTTATAGACATTGTAAATTACAAAATTTGGTGTTATGTTAGGTTTTCATCGTAGTAACTGCGAAATCGAAACACAGTCAATTGTGCGCGCGATGAACATTTTTCCCATTCTGAAACTACCGACGGAGCCGCACACAGTCAATTGTGCACGTGATCCGCGATGTACCTTTTTTCATTCTGAAACTAGCGACAGAGCCGAATGCAATAAAATAAATTTCAATTGTTCGTGTTTTGCACCGACAGTGTGAGTAACGATGAGCACAATTACATTATAACGATGAGACACGTTAAATGCTCGCATCGGTCATGGATTGAATATTTTACGCAACAGAAATCTCGTTATCCGTTTTTTTAATCGCGAAGAATGTTGCGCGGAAATTTCCGATTCCAATTTTGAACCATTTCCTTTTAAAAATCCTGGCTACGTTCCTGATTATAAATAATGTCATTTTTTCAATTTCGCCTCTTTACCATATTTCGAGGCTATATTGTTGTCAGATTTTATCTGAGCTGTTATCGCTTCTTTGAACAGTTACAAAATTTTGAGTCAGTATTTGAAAAGTAATCGAATAGCTCGCGGAGCCCCTGGGTTTCTCTCGCGGAGCCCTGGGGCTCCGTACGGAGCACTTTGAGAACCTATGTACTAGAAGATGGTGAGTTTTCATTTTTTCTCCACAATATTCTATCACGTGGATGTATTATACGGCGCATTGCAGTCAAGGCTAATGGATGGAGCGTCTGTGCAGTCGTGTATTTCAGACTTCTGCGATGCTGTATCTCGTATCCGGGAAACAATAAAATACGACGACACATGGAGTGCTTCTTTACGCCGCGGGCAAACAACGCAGCGTTTGATTTTGTCTGCAAAGGAATGCTGTGACATTCTGGTGAATCAAATAGGCGATCGCCTGCGCACTGAACACCTTGCCGCGTTCTCTTTGATGAACCCGCGTTCTCTTTGAAAATTTTTTTCAAAATTTGCACGTCAATTTCCCATCCATTTGTTGGCTACTGTCTCCAAATTTTACCCCATGATAAACGTGGGTAAATTGGAAAATGAATTGCGATGTATATACACCAATCAAACTTTTTTGAACATCACATCAACTTGCGCGCTCTATGGGTTCCTCATAGATAACACTCTAGTAACAACCTTTGCGGCGTCTGCAAAATTTCTGGACATCATTTTGACGACGCCTATTTCTTCCGCCGACGCAGAGCGAACATTCAGCACGCTGAAGCGTATTAAAACGTATCTCAGAAACACAATGAAGCAAGATAGATTAAATTCCTTGACTGTTTTATCCATTCACAGAGACGTTATTTCTGGGATGCATGATTTTAATCAGCGCGTTATTGAGCATTTTTCTTCCAAGAAACCGCGGCGTGTTGCATATATGTTCAAGCAGTAGAAGTCCAGCAGCATATATATCTATGAGTGAGCGACGCATGTCCTTATCTTTGCATTAACTTTCCTTTCTTCATAGTAACGTTTTAAACCTTATTTTAGGTTTTGTCTGCTTTCCCGAAGTTTCTGTTAATATGTCATTGTATTTATCTGGGTAAATATTGCCTTTCCTTTTGAAAGAGGTTTCAAAATAAACTATGTCTATATTTATTAATCCCTTGACTTGGACCGGTTTTAAGACCTTTTCTTATCGTTGTCGCTTTTGCCGATTGGTTGTTACCGATGGAATGGTTTTTATACTCATAAAATGATGGGAGAACTTACAGCGCTCATCCTGTCCCCGTAGATGGGGGTGACTTGGTCCCGCAGTAGCTTGCCCCGGTTGTCAAAATGACCACGCGCCGCCACTGGAAGTCACTATACTTGTCGATGTTCAGATTAGTTCCAATTTACATTTCAAATATATTTAAGATGCATGCGAGGTGCCGACTTTTAGTAAACAGCGGAATGTATTCTAACCGAAGTTTTATTTATATTTTAACGTAGTTCACAAAAATGTACGTATGGTCAGGCCTAGGTTAATAAAGATCAGATCAGCGTAACGTAATGTATCTCTAACGTGGTATGCTAGGTTAGCCAACCAGATAAATATTTCGAATTAGTTCTTAAATATGATGACGGTGGGCACTAACAAAGTGCATAATAAAAACTAGTAAACACTCGCATCGTTATGAACTTTTTATATTTTCTAGGAAATCCTGCGGATGCGCCCTATCGCACCGTTATCACTGGGTCACCTTTCTTGTAGAGAAGATACTATAATGGGATATCGGATTCCTAAAGGTACACTGATAGCAGCGAATATATTCGGAATTCAGAACAACGAAGCAACATGGCCAGATCCCGATAAATTCGATCCCTGTCGCCATATCGATTCTGATGGTAAATTCGCTAAATCTACTAATATGATTCCTTTTTCTATTGGAGCTCGCCAATGTTTGGGAATGCAACTTGCTAACATGGAACTCTTTTTGATTATTGTATCTTTGTTCCAGAAATATAAATTTGATTTTGCAGGCAATGTTAACATGGATATGAGAGGGAAAAATATTTTTAATTTGAAGTCATATCCTTTCAAAGTTATTGCTAGCAATCGTTAAATATTGCGTATTTAGGAAGTATCAGAAAATAAATTGTAATCCGTCTTATGTTTACAATGTTATTATATTTCATTTAGGCTAGGGACATGTGAAATTATTCATAGAGCAAATTTGTAGATATAACATAACCCCAGCAGTCCTTTCGTAGAATTTCAACCAAATAGCAATTGGAACCAATTATTGATGTTTCTTCCTCATTATTGTGGAATATTGCAATGGTGATACTGGTTGTATCTTGTATGTTTTTACGCAATATTTTGTTTGTTTGTATTTTCCAATTTGTAAACCTACTTCAACTCAAATATTGCTACATAAATACTAGATTCATCAATATCGTTTTGGCATTGCACCAATCACTGTAGGCATGGTCGGCAAATTTTCAATAAAAACCCAAATAGCAGTATCTTAAATTAGTCGAGATTAGATGGAAGATAAGATATGTGGGGTATATTTTTTCTCAACCGGGCAGTATAGTAGGTTGCAAGAATCGTCTTTCATACAACTCCATATTCCTTACTTCCCCTACTTTCCCGCCAGGCCCTACAAAGCAAGCTGATACAAAGGGATTAAACACAATTACAATAATGAATAATTCTAATTCATGCTACTGAGACTGATACAGAGACGATATCGACGTCGATTTAACGTTATGTAATCTTTTGTACACCTTCTGTAGTCACGTTCAAAGTAGGGCATAAATTAAAAGCACTTTTTAAAATTGATTTCGATAGAATGACTATAATTTGTACAAAATACAATATTTTTATAAATTGCGATTTTATGTTTATAAGTAAAAAAATTAAAACATCAAAAATTTGTGTCTGTGAATAATCTCATACAGGCTTTACTCAGTTTACTGTGTAATTCTAAAGTGCAGGTTATAAAATAATTCTCATTGTAAAACTATTTGATTATAAACTATTAATAAATGGACACAACCATGTGTAATGCAGCGGGTACAGTGAAATGCGCAATAATATATAGTTCTTATCTCGATATCTAAAAATACTAAATTCCTTTTATTTTTCGTAGACGTAAGTTTTGTTGGAAGATGACTCATTCACTCCTCTACCCCTTCTCGAATTCGTTTCAAGCGGTCTCTCTTTATTCGCCTGTTTCTCGTTTGTTCAAGTTCCATTTCGCTTGCTTTCAATTTACCGATATCCTTTTTGAGTACCCATTGATGAAATTTTTCTTTTGCAATTTGCTGTCTCATTTCTTCCATTTCTTGCTCGTGTTCTTCTATCATTACTTTCTGTGCTTTTGAGACTTCATTCAATCTGTACATAAAGCGATATTTGAGAGAAATGAAACGTGAGAAAAAGGTTAGAGAAAGATTGAGAGAATAAAAATTAGAGAGGACAAAAGCGAGAGAAATTGCTTTGATGCTGCTGGATTTAATTCTGTCTCATTGGCGGAACTGAACTTTCTAACCGCGCCCCCCGGATCCAGGTTTTCAGTCATCGCTATTAAAATTTATCACATGTTTCTAAACTTACAACAGCTTGTTCGGCTATTCAATATTTCGTGCAATTTATGAAGAATTACTATTTATTAAGATCACTATTTTGATCATGCGGCCTACTATCTTCACTCACTTGGAATCCTGAGTTTTACTTTTCTTCCACTCATCGAATGTTTTCACTCTTGGTTTGCTCAACCACTCTTCATATTCAAGATTTGCTCTCTCGACTTCCATTTGTTGAATTCGCTTCTGTCGTTCTTGCTCGTTCTTTTTCATTTGTTCTTTCTTTTTCCGCCAAGCATCCATCCTTCTATTGTATTCTTTTTCCCTGGAATATAAAGGAATGTTTCTATATCGATTCCACCGTAGTATTATCAGAGGAAAATAAATAATGCTTAAACGTTATTATAAAGATTATTAAAATCAGTTTTTTGTGTTGTAAGTCGGTGTCTTACCTTGCTTCTGCCTCGTGCTCTTCTTTTCGTTTTTGCTCCATTTCTGCAGATCTTCTCTTTTCCATGTCTTGTTTTATTGATCTTTCTTTTTCCATCATCCATTCATCGTACGTTTTTTTAAACCTGCTATTTCTCTTTCTAACTTGTACATGCTCAGTGTGATCAGTGTGATGTTCATCGGCTGTAACGGTGTGTAAATGTTAATTGGACACGTAGTGGACATAACGATCGTTTCAAAATTTTGTTGTTATTGTTATTATTTGTCTCCGTCAACACGTTTTGAAGAAATTGCTTTTCTCTTCGAATACTGGGCCAATTTCTTTGAAATTTTCAGTGGTTAAAGATAAAAATGTTCTCCAGAAGGCTATCACTTTTTTTTCGCTATGACGTCATCAAAATTATGTGATTCTACGTGCCCATATATTTGAGCATAGCTCTCCTGTTTTTGTTTAGTATCAATACGCATTCAATTTTATTGAGTCGTCTGAGATAGTCTTTATCTGCCTGAACGCGACCCGATAATAATACCTCAAAACAAGCCCGACACTTCCAGATCCCCTAGTATTGAAAGTCTATATTAATGCAATCTAAATAGTATATAAAAGCACCAATCAATATTTTCAAAGTGTACAGAATTTTTATGGAATGTTTGATTTGGTTTACAAGGGAGAGGGTGCATAAAGTGTGACAGTATATGATACCGTCACCCATATAGTTTGGCTCTTAGGTCAAGTTGTTCACCATTCATCATCGCAATGTGGCGAATCTTAGTCAGTGCTGAGTGATGTTATTTTTAGGAAAATGGCTACCACCCAACGCGTTGCGATTTATAGTCGATAAAAAGCTAAACATGAAATTTACATCTTTCACTTGAAGATGTTTGCAGCCCAAAATTAGACTTAGCACAATGCTTATAAAACACGGATCGTAGTTTTGTAGACATTTGTAGTTTTGATATCGGAGATTCTATTACAGCACATCCCTAATGCTTTTCATTACTTTTATAAATATTTGGTGTAATTTATTGCGACAACAAAACATCCTTCATGCATGTTACACAATGTATTTCTAGCTAAAATAATGCAAATAAAAGTATATTAATTTATATCATCAAAAAGGTTTTATATATGTAATATATTCACTGGCCACATCATCCCTTTCGTACTGATTTTGGCTAAAATACCCGTGTTCTTTTGAATGACTTCAAATTTACCTTTTTAGAGTTTCAACAAATACTATTGTTACCGAATAAAAAAAAATTCTGCTTGTATATACAATTCAGGAAATATTTCAGTTACGAGTCTTAGCTTTCAGATGCAGATATTTATTTTCACAATGCAAGAATAAATGTAAAGCAATAAATAGACATAATAAAAAACTGACAAAAACGGAAAACATTGAATCTATAGCAATGATGAGGGGGCGCAAAAGACGCAGTGGGTCATCCAGTCAGCGACACATGAGATTAATGTTTATTTCTATTGCATATATATTCAAAAATCAAATTAAAGCAATACATTTGAATAAATTACAAGTTAAATTATAAATAAATTTATGAAACTAGTAGCAACATTTTTTTTGAACTTTGCTATTTATTTTGTTGTCAAGCGACATGAGAAAATCATCAACCATAAAAAAACATGGAAAATATTAATTCAGCCTATTAATCCAATTTTGGTTTTTGTTAATCTTGGCATATGGTTCAATATTTTCACGAGATTTTCAACGTACAATCCTACAGCAGTCATTCGTTCCTGTTGATTCATTTGTGCCCATAGTTTTATGATTTGAGCATTATTACTCTTGTTCTCTTCCGTTACAGTGAGCATATAACACAAAATAATTTTGTGCAACGGGTCTTTTGTTTCCACAATCAAACATTTAATCAATGCATTTGCTTTTTGTCTTGAATTTAAGATCAGTGACTTTATTTTCTCAGTTGCTGCTAATGCTCTTTTTACTTTGATGGTAATTGAAGCAGAGCCACTCGTGAGTTGACGTACAATGTAACTGACGACATTTTCTAAATACTCTTTTTGATTTGAAAAAGAATTCTTCTCTGATACATTGTCTTGTTCCTTGTGCACTGTAAGTGAATTAATAAGAAACCATGACTAAATATTGTTTCATCTCAATCTGATGTGGTAATATTTTGTCTCGTGGCGTATATATAATATTATGTTATGGCAACGGGGATTCATGAGGAAAACTCAAAAACTCTAGTTTCAGTTGAGTGTAGAAGATAAGGAAGTGGTAGGGTTTGGGTGTAAACTTCACATAATACTAGGCAAGATTGATTTTGCAAATATCATATAATTTTTAAGTTTTGTCACTAGTCTCTCACATAAGATAACCCGACTTAAATTAAAATATACCGCTATATTTGTGTTTACAAATTTCAGAATAATTTCACAAAATATATTTGTGTATACAGGCAATAAATTAAAACACAGACAGGAAAAAGTAATTGTAAAACAAAACGTTACTCACAGCCATGCGGTTTTGCTTCAATGTCTGTCACGATTATCATAATCAAAACAGCCAGAGTACCAAGCAGTTTTGTCATCTCAAATCTTTGATACTTTTTTTTACTATAACTGATACAATATACATACGCTTTACCAAAATAATTCTTTGCCTGTTATGTACACACTAATATATATATATTTATATACCGCATTTGATATTTATTATCCTCCACTACACTTCCTAAAGCCTTGAAGGCATTAGCTATTTTAACTCTTGAAAATACAGCAATATAAATTATATACACTTGATTTATTTCGATATATATTAGTTAGCTAAATAATGGCGGTAACGCCCTGTCAGTGTTATTTCGATTTCTGCTGTCAGCGACAACTTCTACAGCTGTATGACTGAAAACGCCTTTAAAATTGTTACGGTAATTGTAGTATCAGGGTTTCTTAAAAACTAATTTGATCGTTCGTGTCGAGCAAATGTCTATGTCTCTGATTTATATTGTTCTATTTACCCTATGACGTCCAAAACGCTGTGTTGCACGATCAAAATCAGATAAGATTTAATACGAGTAATAATAACGTTAATAAAAGCTGAATTCGGCAAAGCTTATCATGTCTAACGACACTATAAATAGCCCCCACTTGACCCGATTTTCTCGAAATGTCCCAACCTTTCGTATTTATCTTTTTATTTTTCATCAGATATATACTGGTGAAGATATCAAATTACCATTAGCAATATATTTTACGTACTTATACCATATATATATAAATATATATGCTTACCTAAAAGTTCCGCCCTTTCAAGTTTTAACTGGTTTTGCTTTATTTCGTAGCATTTTCGAAAAGAGTAAATTAATTTCTTATAAGCATGTGGTCCATGTACCATAAATCATAAGGCTAGACGGTGGTTACAATAATGAAACCATAAAAGCGGCTACTTGGCTAAGCCTTCGTTTATGGTTTAAGTGAAAGCCACCTTATTATATTAAGTCGGTACGTACGTGACACATTCTCTGATTCTTCATTTTTCATTTTCAGCCATTCATCAAAAGTCATGCTCATGGAAGTATATCGCCTAGATTTCAGTTTTGCTATTCTTGCTTGCATTTCGGCGCATTCTTCTTTTTGCTTAGATATACTTTTTCGTTTTTTAGAAAGCCAAGCTTCAAAGGCTTTCTTGTTTTTGTCTTCTTTTTCATCCGTAGATTCTTTAGGTTGATGATAATCGTCTGTGAAGGAAACTCTTTGCTTGGTTTGCGGCTTCGGTGAAGCACTAGATTTGAGTATTGTAGTTACATTTCCTGTCTCATTTGAAGAAAGAGACGTTTTTTCCAGTTTTTCATTTAAAGAGGGTATAGATGGTTTTTGTTGATGGTGTTTCTTCGGCGATTCTAAAAATTCCTGTTCTATGTTTGATGAAAACAAACTTGTTTTAGGCTGATTTGGGTTTATTAAAGTACGTGACGGCAGCATTTCGTCTACAATTTCTAAATTCTCGTTTGTATGAATTTCATCACTCGCGCTTCCAGTGTAGATGTCGTTTTTAGGTTTAATGTTTGAACATATTTTTGATGTTTGCCGCTTGGGTTCAGCAGCATTTGACTTTTGCTTCATTGACTCAAGTTGATTCGAATAGCTGGAAATATTTTCTTGTTCCCGTTGTCGTTCAAATTCCTGTTTTTTATAAAATTCGAGTAAACTGTCTAATTCTTTTTGATGAGAATCAAACGGAATGTAGTCTTCGTCTGGTAATGTAACAGGGATTTTTATAATATTTTTGTCAGAATTTTCCTGATTTTCTTCAAATTGGGATTCTGATAAATTATCGTCCTTGTTAAAAAGTGGATATACTTCAGGGTAATTTAAAGGTTGATTTGGGCTTGGGGGTGGAGTAGAATAAGAATTCTCGTGATTTGAAATATCATCAGTGCTTTTAGGTGAATTATCTTCAGGACAAACTGAATGATCTTCAAATGACACCGAGTATCGAGAGTCTTTAGTCTTATGAATATATTCCGTTTCTGTTGCTATATTGTTTTGTTCAACGTTCTCTTGGCGATGATCTGATTTGTCTGTCCAGACTGCAGATCTTGGTCGAGCTTGAGACAAAGAAACACGTTCTGAAAAGTAAATATTACATCAATTTTATGTTTTTTTTCGAAAACAATAAAAAAACGTTTCGCTAAGAATTGGGGGTAACGGCCTGATAGACAGGTGTCAAAACAAACGTATTCAGTGTTTTGTAATGAAGTAGCAGTCAAAAATGACTGGAGAACAACATATTGTTTATACATCGACCTAAATAAATAGTTTCAGTAGCTTTTTCCATTTTCGTGACAGCCCGACAGACAACTTTTCTCAGAGATTTGTATCATTCTGAGTGAGTGCCGGTAGGATTGCTCTGAGCAAATCTTATTTGAAAAAAAAACATGCGTTCGTCAATTATTATAGAAAGATTCAATACCTTTTTCTACTGTTGTTCTTGGGGAAAGAGCCACACCCATTACGTTTGTTATTGGAGCATTGAGTGTTGTATATCTTGTCGGTATAGACTGCTGTCTGTCTTTTCGTGATATAAAAAAATTGATGATTTTCTCATTTTTATCTTTATGTTTTCCGGTGGGAAAGACAGGAAGCTCGGACGTGGGATAAGTATAAGTTCCAGCATCATTTGAACGCGCGGAGAAGCTTCGTAATGGTAATACTGACCCATAAGACTTCGTTGGATTTCTAGAACGAAGAGGATAAGCTGTTTGCGGCCTCGTACCATTTGATTTGTATGTTTTTCTTCCCGTATCACTTCTAGCATTTTTTGATGGCGATTTACCACGAAAACGATTTTCTTTAGAATTTCCGTTGATTGGTTCTGGAACCACTGGCGGTGTAATGAATAATTTTGAAGATATTTCAGGTCGTTCTATTGTATTTACCATGTCTTTGGTAATTGATAATGACCATTGGTTAAGCCATAACCATCTTGCACACTCAATATGCCCTCGATCTCTGGCTACTTCAATTGCCGACTTGTTGTGAATGTTGTGACACCTATACAAGTTATAAAAAAACATCAGTCTCGAACCATAGAGGCACATAAATTCATGCATAGGTTGGTTAGAGCTAAGTTAAGTGAGTTACCAATGGTGAAATGAATCGTAAATCTACATGATATTTACGGGAGCGGGAGGGAGAAACGTGAATTCGGTTTATTACCAAAAAGAAGATTATAATCCTATATTTGAATGAGAATTCAGGTATATATATTACTCGTTTAATTTTCTCTATGTGAATACGATGTAATATACCGATATCAATCTTATTTTTAGTTAGTGGCTTACCTAACGTTAGCGCCATGCGATACAAGCAGTTGTATTACTGATAAATGACCCGCGGATGCAGAGACATGAAGACAACTGTTTCCGAGTAAAGTCGTGTACGTTCCATTTGCGCCTGAAAACATTGTTAGTACATTACAAATTAGCATAGTGTTATGAAGGTTTTGTTATGTAGAACATAATATTAGTCTACCTTGCTTGAGAAGCAGTTTACATAATTTTTCATCTCCTCTTCTAGAGGCAATAAAGAGTGATGTTCCCAACAAGTGCTCATAATCTCTATCCCGTATAAATCCATGTTCACTAGGTAACCCAGAGATCAGTTCGAGCTGTTCTTGTGCTATGTTCAGGTAACGTTTCACGTCAGACACGCTGCCTTTCCAGCAAGCTTGAAATAATCCATTCCACGCATCATTCAGATGTACTCTAGTAGTAAAAATTGTTACAAATGAATCTGGGATTCAAAATTTCATGGCGTGGAACACCATATATATATAATAAAATTTTGCTACTATGATACAATAACGTTGAAGTTAGCTTGAGCGCTCTCAAATATTTTCCCAGTACCTTACTGTGTCTCCAAATGATACATTTTTTCCTTGAAAAAGAGAGTCTTCGTCGTCGAATGATTTTTCCGGAATTGAATACATTTCCATCATAATAGAGGGAATTCCGCTCAGAAGTTCAAGTTCAGCCTTGATTTGATAAATTTTAACCTCATATTGTAGATCTCTCAATGTGAATACTAAAATTTATATAAAAAAAAGTTGTAAATGTTACTGGAATTTTAATTTATATATTTTATCTCGATAAAATAAATTAATTTCGAAAAAACTGACTCGAGAGACTTCAAGCCTTGTGACATGTTATATTTACTGGTGTATAAGTCAGTAATCATTAGTATATTTTTACTCATACTAACACTTTGCAGACAAGATTCAAAACACGAACTACAAATGGCATTTTAGGATGAAGACTCAATAAAAGTTTGTTATCTGGAGGCGAAATCCTCGATGTAACCGTTATATATATCGTTAATTTCCCGTTTAAATTTGTAATTTAGTGCAGAAATCCTACATTAAGAAAAGAAGATAACTTTGACCGTAGCCCACTACTTACTGCAATGTCAGCAATATAATCAACAGAGAATTCCATTCATTCGCAAAGCCAGAAAACTTAAATTGGAACCAACTTTGGAAGAAGTGCTTAGTAATAGGGACATTATTGAAACTGTTATTGAATTTGTTTTGTCTACAGGCAAAAAATATTTAGGATTAGATACTTATTGTAATTGATTTAATTGTATAATTATATATTCGTAAATATTGTATTATATGTTAGTATAGTATTTTAAAATTCGAATTGATCAAAGGCGCAAAAGACCACTGAAGTTATAAGCGCCATAAAACATAATAACAACAAAATACTGGCAACATAGTCCAATCTACATATATATATAAAAATAATGATACCTTTACCGATTAATTCACTTACGATCCACCAATGTGTAATTTCATCAATATACAGTACAAATAGGGAAAGTAGGATCGTTAAGAACCGAGCCAAGTGTTTACGGAACGTGATGAATGTCACAACTATGGATTATATTTACTTATGGTTTTAGCAAGCATTAATTCTTGGAATTATTATCAATGTGGTGTGACAATATTAGAACAAGTTTTGTTTTACAAGATTTTTTAATGATTCGGTCGTACTAAAGCAATATCACGTATTTCACCATAATTCTACTATTATATTCTTTATTGGAGCCACGAAAGGTACTCACGTAGTATGTGTATCAGGTTAGGGTTAGACCATAATTTTATTCCGATTTCCCCTATTTTAGTTCTATTACGAGTTCGGGGACTGTCTGTGTTAGCCAAGTGAATATACCCCATGCCCATAGGTTTCAATCCCTTTACACAAATTGATGTAAAATATGTGAACAAAATTAGTTACCTCTATATTGATACACACTTCAAAAAAATTATCCGCCTATTATTGAAATTATATTAAAATCAACTTTGTCGCCATGTTACATCTACCATATTGCCACACGGGGATATGGTAGTAACATTCATCTTCTGTAAATACCGTACTGTTATAAATTTTATTTCCTACGCAAACGTGGTAATGTGGTTACATATAATCACATCGAACTGTAAAGGTAACAATCGAATGATGAAAAGACACATTTGCTAGGTTAATTTTGACCAAATATCAGTGAATATTGGCTTCAACAATTACCATACCTTCGCATATAGTTTCGTTACTAACACACTGTTCATGTTACGGCTATATTCTGTCATACGTAAGTCCCAATAGCATTATGGCTATGTCCTAAAATTTGTGAATTAACCTTATGAGTTTTACAATGTTTGATATAGACATTTGGAAGCAGTTCACAACAACTTCCCAATCACAAGAATTAGACTTTCAGCTATGAGTACCATTTGTCATAAACGAAAATATATATATTTGCTATATATTGATCGATTAACGCTTTCTAATTGCCTTAGGTTCGACAAATTTAAAAAGATTCTAAACAACTTTGTTTAGAATTTATAAAAAGTGATGTCATCTTACCGTCTGATTTGTCTTCGTGTACAATTCTCACAAACAAAATCAATTTTCTTGGTATATTTCCGAAGTCTCCCTTTTGTGTAGAAGGGGGATTTTTTGTGAACGAGATTCGAAGCCATGGCTTCCACGCTTGCCGCTCTTCTACGCCGCCCACCATTTCAACAACTTAATACTATATTTTAGTTTTACTACTATACAATATTTTTAATAAGATATCAAATCAAAATGAATTAATTATGAGCTCTCCATGTCCATATTGCTACTTCAATGGAAAAACTTGTCCAAGATTTCGAATATCTATTCCCAATTTAGCAAACTCTGTTCATTCAGTCTCATTTTAAAAAAGGGACGGATATATCGTGACAATTCTAATGGTCGGGACTATTGGTCTTGGTTTGGTCTCGCTCCATTGCTTATTAGGCTATATCTGTCAAAATTTTTCATGCAGAATTGGCATCACTCATGTGATATTAATCCATGTTTTGACGTTTCCAACACTTGCACACAAAACGTCTACAAGGTCAAAAAGTGACACCTAAAATTGACGTAGCGATCGCCTTATTTCATAGCAAATTTGTATGAAAATCATTATGTTTGACAATAAAGTTAAATCGAACATCTACATTACATCCAACGAACCCCAGCATTCTATTATCTTTTGTTCCGATCAGAAAATTTTTTTTTATCTGATAAAATAATTCTGAACTACCTGAAGCTACTCCTGATTCGCGAGCTCTCAATACCAAATTGAACATTTCCTTATAGATACGTGACCAATATATCTTCTCGGGGATCAACTCCGCCACCTATAATTATCGCGAATCCCAGAAATTTGAAATTACGAATTCATACAGGCTATAAGCTTGAGGCATGGTTACATATTACCTGTTACGTAGATTTATACATATATCATGCCTAGTGTCTAAATATTTGAGCATCAAACCTGAAAACCACATTAATATATTGTGGCGTTGTTACTAGCAATGTAAATCATGATATACACGTATTAGCCTCAACTAACAGAGCTCGGTTCAGCTTAGTAACACCTTACTCTGATCCGCAAATATTTAAATATTAGTCTTTGTATTGTGGTCAGTTGGAATTATATTTTCTGATAATGGATCACCAGATAACAATACCGAATATTTCTTTCCAATAAAAAGTCTGAAGAGTGCCTGACGGAACGAGACGAAAAGAAATATTAGTATTTGACAAACAAAAATATGCGGCGTCTGTGAAGGATAGTAGCGTAGAACAATCATATTACTCTGCAATTTTCGATATCGATTTTGAGTTTTTTATATTTCTTCTATAAATTATTCCACACTTAGAACTTAGATTGTGACATCTTATATTTATATTAAGTATCGTTTGAGTATCGTGTGACACTGCGTGCCACACTTACGGTAGCCAGGGAACAAAATTGACATTCGTCAGACGCGGTTCATGTCCGTAGTAGACTTAGAGCATGATATATTACCTTGTGGCTCTCTTTGTATAGCAATTGGGATAATATTTCCATCCATATTTCTAATGGTATTCATATATATACTTGATATAAATTGCTTTGGCGTCAACCAACGTCTACAATTATGCGTAGAACTTCGCTTTACCCAAGCTCAATGAATTGAGCGCTATCAGCCACAACCATGAACTTCTACGTAAGGATATAGATAATATTAAACAAAACTAAAACAAAATAAATATAGCGATACATAATCACGATAGAAAGGATGCTTAGTGTCTGTTTAAACTGAAATTAAATTTCATTGTTTTTTCTTGCTATAGTTTTATGTTATGGTTGTTTCATGTGACGCATTTCTAACCACAGTTTTAGCAACGGCATATCTCTTCAATTTTTTATTGCTGTGTCAACATTGTAAATCGTATAATTAACGCGAGGAAAGTATTTTTTACGTATGGAATGGTTATTCATTTACAGCGTCGTTAAATATGATTTAGTATATATTATAAAATGTCGCCTAGTTTCAGTGTTTTTTTTATAATACAAATGTGAGATGCACAAAAACTACAGTGCCAGTTGTCCTATAGACATAATCTGCCATTTTCAAAATTCGACTCCCGGAAACATCCTGATATTCGCAATTCAAAATAACGACAGTTGGTATTGGTTATATTTTGGATCAAAACTTATTCAAACGGGCCCAAAAATTTTCAAACACCCAAAATGTAATGATTTCTATTGCATCAACATTTTATATTACATTCGCATAAAAAAGAAATTATAGAATTGCATTGTGAATTGATATCTTCCTTCTTCTAAGTTTATACGTCTCATGTTTCACAATAAATGATAAAAAAGCACTTTGTTTTTTTAAATCTGAACTGTTAACTTTTATTACGTTTACACAATGTTGCCTGTTTAAATATAAAATTTCGAAAAAAATAGTTTAGACAGAATAGGCCACATAATGTATCAATGAGCCTAATCAATGGATACTATCGATATATCGCAGATAAACACAAAACGAGTCACTAATTAGTAAAGATCGCTGAACTTGCAGTCCGAAGCAGGCCCTTCTTGTAAAAAATCGTGTCGCCTTTGCTCTAGTTGTCCTGTCATTTGAAAGCTGATTAATGATTCTTGAAATCATCCACGATAATGGATTTAAACAAAATGCGAATCGTTTCATCCGCTCTTCATCCATTAATCTAAAACCAGAGACTCAGGGGGATTGCGCGATCGTTCTAAAATATTGTGATTGCATTTGAACCCGTTCCTGTTTTTCGAGCTATAGGTTTGGCATGGTTTTTGAACCTGTTGTTGGTGAAATGGTGAGTTCGATACAAAGAAAAGAACAGTTGTTATTTGGTTAAGAAATACCTTCAATATACATAACTTGTTTATTGTCCGGAACTTAATGAGTAGCCTAGTCTCTCCATGTGTTAATATCATTGGTCTGCTTTATTAATTAATTGAAGTGTAGTGGAATCGTGTTCGTCAAGTCAAGGTGATCCATAATCACATTCAAGTTCACAAAACGCAGCTCATCTGGATTAGTTAGATCAGCGGTTCTCATCTATTTACAGACTGCGTGGCACTTTAGTGTTTTACTCTGGTCGCGTACCACCGACAAAATCCCCTTTCGGGTGGGAAACAATGCCACAATAAACGCGCCGTGGGAGTATTTTTGAAATATGGCACTAAATCCATTTATAGGCTGTGGTGCAAAGTTTTAACGTATTATTTATGTGCAGTAAGTACGTATTAATCGCGTGCAAAATTGTCAGACCGTCAGCTGAAAAGCTTTAATCATCCCCACCACTGAATTGTCGCAAAACTCGGACGAATACACTTTGACGCCGCAAGCTGCCAGCACAAACTGCCTAACCTAGTCTCCAAATTAAGTAGCCATAAAACGTAAGATTATGCCGATGAGTCAACACATACATCAGGTACGTCGAACTCTCCCTTGTTGCCAATTTCTCAATGCAGATGCATTGTGAACGTAACACATAAAACGAGCGAAAACAAGCCCGCCTCGTGTTAGATGGGCAGTAGCGGGCGAGGGCGATCTCTGAAGATAAATACGGTACTGGTAGCGCTATAAACCCGTTCATCGACTACATACAGTATGAGAGATGAAGAGAAAACGTTGCCACCATATTTTAGCCAACTCGAAAGTTAATTGTTGCAATAATTCAAAGCTGATCGCGTACCACTTGAAAAGCTGAAAATCACTGAGTTAGATCGTGTATCTACAAAGATTTGACTGATGAATGACAACATGGATAAATAAATATTCATTACATGCAAAGCAACGGCATGAGAAACAGAAAGTCGTGAGATTTTGGGAAGTAAATTAGAAGAAAGAAGTTGAATTTATTGCGAAGAATTTTCAAACTTTGTTTCACAATGTTTATGCACAATTGAAACACATTCTTCTATATCGCTAGTGTGATTAGTATGGTGTACTCACTGTAAGGCTAATAGCGCTTAAAGTTGAAACGTTGAAGTTGAAACGTCTAATATCTCACTTTGCTCTTTCCATTTCTTGAACCTTATTTTTAAAACCGGGTCCATTCGGGACTCTTGAAAGATAAGACTTGTATTATTAACTGTCCATCTACTGTATGGTATACGACTCACCCAACGGAAGACCCCAAGCATATATCGAACGATTTCAGTAAGCCTACTTTGACACAGACTATTTTGCTATCGTTTCCGCTTCCACAGAGCATTGATATACTATATTTATATCATAATAATATACATACTGAATACTTGCACTATAAAGATAATAGCCATAATATAAGTAATATATATAGTCAAATAATTTGTTAATGAGTAATCTTGTAATTTCACTTTGGTAGTTCCAGTTTTCCTATTTCATCTTGGAACATCCAACAGACATTTCAAGAGACACAGTAACGTTCAAATCAATCAAAGCAATTCTTGCCCGCAACAAATCTGACGCTGTCGGATTTGGTTTTGAAGTGTAAACATTAACCAAGATGTTTTCTAAAAAAATAGCAAATTTTCACCAAGGGCCTGATTCCTGACTGGGCTATAATGTAAAGTCTCACCTCCAGAGAAACTTGAGCTGCAAAAAACATGAATCCAATATGTTGAATAATCAGTCACAAGAACTACTTTATTTTTTCCGGTTCCGATTTCAACAGCTATATAATTTAGAATTGTGAGAAAATAATTAACGCAGTATTGTAAAATATTAGTCTTTTTTCTTAGTCAATTTCTTATACTTCTTTACGTAGTATAAACTTTTACGTTGTAAAGTTTCATTTTTCAGAACTTTATTTTGAAAAACAAGAGTTCGAAATGTATAATTATGTACCAATTGTGTAGGCCCGACTATACAGATCCTTTTACTATACGGTGCGGTGCGTTCAGGGTCATATTTAAAAACGATAGCGTGTGCTCTTGGTAGATTGGGGGATATCAAGTCAAGTTTATTTTTCCCAACCAGTAAATAAATAAAAAACATATGAACACAGAAAATACGAGAAAAAAAATGAAAATTACAGTTTTACTGGGGAAGGGAAGTCGCGAGGAACCAAAGGTGGTTATCCAGCAGCGACGTCTAAGGTTCAAATATCTAATTTGAAAAAGTGAAATATTGGAGTTAGGAAACTACTGTTTTTGATGGTGTCGGAAAACCAACTGCTGGACGGGGAATTTCCCATTTCAGTTAAATTAATTATAGCAAGGGCCGCTCCGACATTTATAAATATATACACTCAATTCAGTCAGTATTAGAAAATTAATCATGCAAGAAAATGAATTAATGATTAGACTACAATAAAATGAAAGTTTTGCAGTTTTACTGGGGAAAGGAAAACCAAAACTGATTTTCGAGCAGCGACACCCAAGGTTGTATTATTCGTATTAAAAATTCCAAACTTTGAATTTGTGAATTATCTAACTCAGATTTTTCCAATTTTTTAGGGCCGCGGACCCTTATTTGTGAATCTTGAATTTGACGGCCCCCCAATTCTGAGCCGTATCCATTAACGTGATAACTGTACGCCTATCTTACCTCCAGTTAGTACATCCTTATTGTACTTTGTTAAGGTCAGTCTACTTGCAGCTTTGAAATAATTCGAATCCCCTGGAAAATATTTTGAGTGTATGGTAGTTACTCTGCCGTTTTGCAATATATATCTTAAATTCTAACGTCATGTTTTTGTATTGCTGGTGGATAATGACCACGTTGTAACAAAGTTTAGCTTTTCCCAAAAAGCTCATCTCAGGCTCTACCTGACAACAATTCTACCACCAAAATACCTTTTCTTATTCCAAATTCTTTTTTTCCTGGCTATTATGGGACGGAATTACATTAAAACAACAACAAAATGCACAAATTCCAAAGCAACATAAAACATATTTTATCATACCTACACCCGTATAAGTTGCAGTTTCATCGCTTTTAACAACAGAAATAGTAAAGCTTTCCGGAGATTTTCTGTATACAGAAACAGCTATTAAACTAACGAAAAAGCTGATGTGTTTGGCATAGAACAGGCTATATCAGGGGTGGACAAGAATTCTAGACCAGGGGCTAAAAATTTGCCCACCTAGACCGACGGGACATGCAAGTGTGACGTAAAAGGTTACAATTTAGGAACAATAGTTACAGTGTTACAAATGTAAAAGTGGATAATAATAAGCCTCGTGCCAAAACTAAATTTGATCGCAATCTCAACAAAATTCTTGAGCTATTTTTCAGCTAAAACATCTAAATTTGGTTTCAGTTTGGTTGTGGCAGCATCAGGCGCGCCAGATTGTATTACTCAACGGACCGGATTTGGCCCGCGGGCCGTGGTTTGCTCATGTCAGGGCTATATGAAATAGTATAGCTGAAGTTGTATAGTCGCGATAGTTTCTCAACATACTGCGGTTGAACTATGTAAAATAAACGGTAAATGGCAACATACCATCAATAATGATCGAAAAAAGTCAAATTATCGGCTCGGATCTTTAATATAAAATTTCTACAATACCCGGATTGATAATAATTGGTTTCGCGAACTTCAAAGTTGCCGTCAGCATCAGGGGTCACGTTCGTGATGACTTGACAAGAAATAATTTTGGATAATATTTCTTTGTGCGAATGAAATGACTCGTACCAAACTTGGGGAAGCTGTTGGGAAAATAAGGTATTTTGTAAAATTTTTATTAGGTCGTAGTATCACGATTGAAATGTGATGCATTTGGGTATTGGTTCCCAATCGGTGACCCGCGCAGCTCCTATGGGCCACAATTCCAGGCGCAAAATTGATTTTATTGCGATTTGTTTGCATACTTTTCTTTATACGAGAAAATTTCTCGTTTTACGTTTTAACACGTGAAAAGGTTATTTCAGTCACAGGGTAATTTCACTTTCCTGCGCACGAATTGTTTGATCAGAATGTGATTTGGAATATACCAATCAAATAAACATTCTAAATATCTTTGTGCTTCGCGAATTGTAACCCTTTTCCGTCATGAAAGCTATAAGTCAGTGGCTTTGAAAACAATATTTTGAGTTTGGAATAATGGGCGTTGAATTTTTTTACGGTGAATTCGAGTTTCGTGCATCAGGAGAGATCAGCTTCGGAACTATTTTGATTCATTGGACTGGACTGGCATCGGTCGTGGTCGATTTCATGAATAATATTATACCTATTCTGTAGCCGTAAACGGTATTAATATTATAGAAAATAAAATGCACCATATGTTTAATAAATGCTCTATATTCATTGCTAATGAACAGCATAATCTTACCTGTGTCACATTGATGTCATCCTTCGGTGTTATTCCGCAATTTTCAGTACTCGTTGAAATGGGTAGAAATATCACAATCGCAGCATAGAAAAAGGTCTCACTTGTTGCGACGTTTATTAATTTCAACATGGTTCAATCGAGCTCCGACGAATCTTTGCACTGTTTAGAATTTTCTTGATTCAAGTCTCATCGTTCTTCTTTGTTTACATATTATTGATATGAAACGGAGATAACGTAGTGTCTCAAAAGGACTGTTCTTGCTCAATGCGTCATCCAATTAATCAATAACAAACACAACATGCAGAAACGAGATTTGAACCATACGTGGGTAACTTAGGGAGACATTAAAAAAAAATTGAGAATGTTTACATCCGAGAAAAACATCCTTCTATAAAAAAGGTGAAAGTACCCAAATGAGTTTCGTGAATATATGATGACAATCATAAGAAGTCGATGATGGATGTATTTTTAACGTTAAGGTTCACTGTATTGTTCTGCATTTAGGCCACCGTTATATATATATATATATATCCAAGTATAATGTTTACGTGTGCTACCTTTGCATGTTCTAACAAGAAAACTGAAGAGGGAAATTCAGTAAAACATAATTCGAAAAATAAAAAATTTTCATAAGATAACTTGCCTTAAAAGTAATAAAAAAATAGGCATTGATCCGAAAAGCGATACTCGTAAAGCTTTATCTGAAATAGGCCGCGAGCCGAGGCCATTTATCTTTCAGTTTCGTAGCGCACATGAGGTAACTACCTGAAATTAAACACCCGCAATGAACAATGACTTCTGCATGACGTACCAATTGAATAGAATCAGCTGTTAGCGAGCGGATGAATCTTAGTTATTAATGCTAGATCTTGTGATATTTGTTACTGAATTTTTAGGGAAAATCATTTTCAGGTAGTTACCTGATGTGCGCTACGAAACTCACTTTCTAGGCGTACTTCAGGGCCTCGGCTCGCGGCCTGAAACTTTCGTTTAGTTCTTTAACAATTAGTTGAATGTTTTATTTGTTTTGACACAATGATAATTTAAAAAGAGACTGTCAAAAAGGTTGTTCAACACTTTCTACTGCTTTGTCTGATTTTTGTTATTTTGATTTATTTTGTTATTTGGCATTTGAATATTTTTAATGATAATGATAAGAAACTTCACCCCACAGTTTTTTCTTCTTTCGCAATTTGAAGTATTTTTGTGTTGTGTTCATATGTATTTGATTTAAAAAAAAATTGCATCCTTCAAGTTGATAACTCATTCAAATCTTATCGATTGTATTCACACATTTTGTATTGTATATATTCACTTGTAAGTGTTAATGTTATTGTTGAAAATATCTCTCTTCCAAACAAATTGATCATTTAAGTATAATTGAAAGGGCCAAATTCGACTCAATTTGGATTTGGAACATTGTCTGAGCTTGGCAGTCCACGATAGCCACTTGTGAAAGTTCAGTATCTGATTTATGTTGTATTTTGGATATTTTAAATTAAAATTTTAAGAAAGTTATTCACGATTTCGTGCATGTCGGAATGAACATTTTAAACATTTGTCGTATTGTAATTTTATCGTGCGAATCACGGAACCGCAGCCACATTTGTGCGGGCTGTGTCCTCTGACGTCACTATCATGTTTGTGGTGGAATTTGGGCGTATCATATTCCTATCAATGGCCAATCAAGATTCGAGTTTGCTCATATAGATTCGGGAGTGTGTAGTGTTGTGTTCAATAGTCTTAGTCCACAGCCGGTTACAGCTGTAGTGGGTGAGTTCATTGTATAAATTGTTTGTTTCTCTGACTGGCAGAGCTGTTGTACTGTTGTAACGGTGCTATCTTCAGATCTCAGGATCTTGCCGTAATGCGATGGGATTCCTGCAGTTCTGTAGTTTTCAGGATTTTAGTGTGGCTATTTGCTGATTTGTAAAATGCATTTAGACTATAGGAAGAGAGGAATTAATGTGTCTTGTAATTTTTCCTGTCATCGGGTTCCATTTTTAAAGTTAGACGCCTGAATATCAGACAATTGATCAACCATTTATATTCATGTTTATGTTTGTTGTGATTTGTTTTCTTCTTTCTTTGGTGAGTGAACACGTTTAATACGTTATAAACTTATTTTCAGGTTTTGTTCACTTTACAGATTCTTCGCCATTCTCTTTTTTGTGTACGGTATTGTTTTATTTTTTGAGAATGAATCGAAATAAAATATATCTATCTTCGTTTGTAAATGAGTTCTCAACAAAACATGCCCTTCCCTACTGCCCTAATACAGTAATAGTTTTCTGAGATTACATAGAATTTTTAAAAGTATCATTTGACAGACTAACTTTTCTAATAGTCATCTTCAATGTGAACTTAATAACATCAGCAAATAGGCTAGGAGTTGACCTCGATGACCGCATGGTCGTATCTCTCCTTCCCGTCAATACCAAAGCAATTTGATTTGTGTTACAACATTTATTTCATATTGATGACTGTTTGTTTTTTGGGGTCTGGTATAGTTTAGTACCACACGTACTTCTAGTTGACCTGGCTCAACAATTTTTGCATATGTCAATCCTAACCCCCACCTAACTACGTCACCGAAAAATTACGTCATTTCGACGTCACAGTGGCGTAATAAGGCCCACCAAAGTATGCGGATGGTCATCCAAAACGCGCAGACGATCATCCGAAATCAAGCAAGCTATTTCTCTCGTTAGCTCGCCACAACGATCACGATAGGAGAGAGATCGCCGGCGTTAGCGAGTTCGTTATCGCCGGCGCTTTGGCAAGCCCTATGACGCGATGGTGACAGCGTAGTGACGTAATTTTTTGATAGCATAGTCAGGTAGGGGTTAGGAATAACATATGCAAAATTCATTATGCTACGCCCACTGGAAGTACTTGTGGTACTAAACTATACTAGACCCGTTTTTTGGTGGACAAAATAATAAATCTCTCTCTCTCTCTCTTTTCATTTATTCTGATCTATACTTGAAGTGTGCAACTGATGAGAATGAAATTTTTTTAAGTTCGGATATGGAAGTTAATCTTGCACTTGTCTTCATACACTCTTATTCGAACACTGACAAACATTTCAGACTGTGTATACGCCGTCTTATTGGCATAATTCTCCTCCCAGGCTTTGCATCAATAAGTATCAAAAAGTACATTTCTGTGTTGAAAGTTTTCTCATGTCATATATTTTTTAATATTAGGTATTTATTATAATTATATTATTCATTTTTTTGGTTATATAGTTTGAAAATCAAGAAACATTGTGAGTTTTTCACAATTTATATTAACGTTGTTGGCTGTATTAAGATTACACTTGAATTACTATCTATTATGTCGTTAAAACTTCCTCCGCTTCGAGTATGTCAGAGTCTACTTGAAGAAATTTCAAGAGCATCTACAAAAAATATTAACTCTGATATGTACAAATATGTCTTGAATAAATATCGAGCAAATCAAATTTCTTCAGAAAGATATTGTCGAGCTCATAAAGAAGCAAATCATGACGCGGCAACTTATTGGTGTTTATTACGAAGTACTCGGGAACATGATGAACTTATTACTAAATATTATGGGACAGGAGAAAGGACTACAGAACAAGCTGCGAATTCAGTTGGTTTAAAATTGCCTCAATTAATAGAAGACCAAGTAACGTCTGATGATGACAAAAGCTGAATCTTTTTGATCTATTTCAATGAAAAATAGACAAATTGGATTTATATCTGAGTGCTTAGTGGGATTGATCAAAGCCACATTTTGGATGTAACGTTGGAATTTATTTCACTCTATTGTTGATAACGATACAATGACTGATTTGACTCTTGTTTGGTATCTACTTTCTAGCCTCATACAAGCATCTGTGAATATGAAACTTCCCAGTCTCAGAAATTAGAGACCACCACCCCTGTCGGCCCAATCGCAAAAATTCAGTTTACCGATAGAATTCTCTTTTTTATACATGTTTTTCTGGCTCACTAGAGATGATATTGACTAATATATATTAGAAAATGTAACTTTTTGCCAGTTGTGAATTCAAATTCTCATTTTTTAGGCAATTCAGTTTTGGTAAGCCTTTGTAGCAATGTAACGCATTCTTTACAGTGAATCCAGATAATGTTCCTAAATTTCAATTGACGGGAATGATATTCTACTTATTTCAACAAATGCTGAAATTTAGTTCCTCATTGAATTTGGCTTTTGTTTATTAACTTTTACTTGTTATTTCAGCTCACCTAATCTAGTTAAATAGAAAATGTATAAATAGTATATTCTGGAAATGTGAGATCAAATTCAGATACAATTTTTTCATAATTGGATTTACGGACTACCAGAATGTCGAATCCATTAAAAGTAAATTTTCCTAAGCAGCAGGTATGCTTTTTCTAATAATTCTCACTTTTCTCATCAAGGATATTTTTACTACTATCTAAGGGCCTGTGAACTTACCTGAATATGTTTCAAATGACCTGGATTCTCTTTTTTTGGGTCACCCTGTATTAACAATTTGTCAGGAACAGAAAGAATGTCTGTATATGCATATCAAGCGTGGATGTCTTGTAGATGCAGATTTTGGTACTCCCGTAGTGTGTGTACCAGGTTAAGATTCGGCCATAATTTATTCCGATTTTTCTTATTTTAGTTCTACGAGTTTGAGGACTGTCTGTGTTAGCCAAGTGAATATCCCCCTTTACACAACTTCATGTAAATGAGGCAAACAAAATTAGTTACCTCCATATTGGTACATACACTTCCGCCCAGATTTTTGTCTTACATAACAAGTTTATAATTGGAAATATTCCATATTATTAAATAGAGTCATCAACGCTTTTTTTTAAGTATCCTTTTACCTTATAGAAATCTATAATTGACCCAGAGAAACTATTCACAAAGCTTGAAAGAATAGGAAAAGGCTCATTCGGAGAGGTTTATAAAGGAATCAACAATAAGACGCAAGAGGTATGGAAGATCTATGTAATTCGATTCCCATCATATGGTCAGCTACTAACTAATTTAATGTTTCGTTATGAAGATTACGTGTTTTTTAAATTTTGCGATTTGAAATAACCTATCCTCCTCATCGGCATATGAAAAATCTTATCCCATGTATAGGTACAACTTGTTTTTTTATTTCTTTGCATACTGATTTGCCCCATTCAACATCAAAATTCAGTATTTAATAAATGTATTGATATATTTCAACTGATAAAGGTTTTAAATTTCTTTAAAACTAAAAACACTCCATTTTGAATTGAAATTTATGGTAACTTCTTTGCTTAAAACATCAAATAGTTTATTCTAATTTGCTTCGCCTGAAGACCCTTTGTTTCCAAAATAGGGAAATTTCATATCACATCTTAAACCAGGAAGTAGTGATATTTGTTTGTTTGTTAAACCCTTTTACTCCTACATGTCATCATAGTATGTTATATATATATCCACCACACTGAAACTGTAAAAGGATACGTTAATAATGTTGAACTTAACAATGGATGAATAGTCATTTGAGAGACAGTTGTATATAAGATAGTAACTCAGTAGAATATGGGCTGATTACATCATCCTTTTGGTTAGGCCGTTTGTTTGTTTGTCTGTCTGTCTGTTCTAATCTATTCAGATTATGTCTTTGAAGTGAAAGTAAATTTCTCTGGTATTGGCTCGAACAGGAGTGTTCATTACATATATTCTGATACTTACCGTATATATTTGAAAATGAAATGGTGTATAGATATTTTCAAGAAACTTTTTAGAATATTTTCCATTGAAAAATGCCATTCTTTTTGGTAAATTGAAATATAGTAGTCTGATAAAATTGGGGGTTTATTTTATTGCTTAATAATATAGAAGTCTTGTCAGAAATGAAAAAAAAAAATTCTGTATTAGTTTGATTGAATAGATTTGTTTTGCTTTTTAATATCGTAGTTTTTAGAAAAGTATTGAATGTTTCAATCTGGAAATGGTTTTTTAAAATATAGCTGGAATTGAACATTCGGCTCCGAGGTGGTTTATCTTATTAAATGTGTTTGAAGGCAAATTGTTCAACGTTGAACAGATACACTTAGTAACAAGTAATCTTATTATAGAAATCAATAATATTTTTATTTATTATTTCAAGGTCGTGGCAATAAAGATAATTGACCTTGAAGAAGCAGAAGATGAAATTGAAGATATTCAACAAGAAATCACTGTATTAAGTCAGTGCGACAGTCCATATGTTACAAAATACCACGGCTCTTACTTGAAGGTAATAATTACTTTATTTTGTTCGATGCATTTACACATTGTCCGTCAATTGTACAACATTGTAAACGAGAATACGGAGACCGAAGGCTTATCGATTTGAGGTTAGGGGATCCCCCGAAACAGCGCTCTTACTCCATAGTGACACCGTGTGTCCCATCACTAATTAATTAATAACTCGCTAATTATACGACATAATTCATCGAAAATCAATAGACTTCTGATCCGAGCGATGATGAATGCACATGCAAAATTTGAAGCAGATTCAACCTCGCTTTCGTGAGATATCGCGTGCATCTAACAGATAAACAAACAAACAAACAGACAAATACCTATCAAAATACTTACTGATCTTAAGATCGATAAGTAATAACTAATCTAGAATAGGTCTGAGGAACGGCTTAGTACAGTTGGTTACATGAATAGAGAATTTCCGATTTCTGATAAATTTACGGTTTCACGCCACAATATAATTAGCATCATTCAAGTTGGATAAGGATTACCGTTAACAATTTTGTAATCTCCGAGGGCTTCAGCCCCAAAAGGGCAAAATTTGAAATAAAAACGTATTGGGAAAATGAGAAAAACATTTTTGAACTCACATTTTAGTGAAATACATTTGGTGGATAAACATATTTAATACTGTTATAATAGGCTAATGGCTGCAAGGGCGGGCAAGATTTTTGGACCCGGGGCCAAAAGTTTTGCCCATCTAGACTGGCTGGCCATCTACTAGACAAGAGCACCAATAAGTGTGAAAGTTCCATTTTATGAACAATGTTTACAGTATTACAAAAGCAGAAGTGGAAAACAATAAACCTTGTGCCAAAACTAAATTTAATCGCAATCAAAACAAATTCCTTGTGCTATTTATAGCTAAAACATAATTTGTTTTCAGTTTAGTTGTATTGCCAGATTGTATTACCCAACAGGCTAGAACTGGCTCGCACTCCGTAGTTTGCCCATGTCAGGGTTAGGGAGGGGGTTGGAGCTACCTATGTTGGTGTCGCAGACTACAAGTCTGTGGTTTAAATCTTATACCTGTCACCCCACCCATGGTATAATAAATTGGCAGGGAAAGATTTTAGTTTTTACAATGATACTGGCCTCTTGAACTGTCAGTGTCTGCTTATACATTACTTTGTTTAATGTGAGGATGTGACAATTCATCATAAAAAATATTGAATTTTTTTTATAATAAGGCTACTTGATCAAATGTAATAATGGGATTTAACATATGCCAAACATGATCTAAAGATAAGACTGTTTTTCTATGATGGCATACGTTACTTTCGAAATACCAAATATTTGCGGCTTTTAAGATGGATTATCATATCAAAGGAGGGTTTTCAATTCTCAGAAACAAAACACAAAACCGGAAAGAGGATACAAGGGTCTTGTCTATGACGAGTTGACCGTAAACACAAGTTTCATTGTTCTGTATTAATTTGATAGCGGCCAGTCTGTCTTTGGGTTCCGGCTACATAATTAATGATACATGTACAATTGTAATGTGTTTTGTTGTTATCTTACAGGGCACAAAACTATGGATTATTATGGAATATTTGGGCGGCGGATCGGCGCTGGACCTGGTAAGGGAATCTAAATAATATCTAAATTCATTGTTTCATAGATAGCTGTATGAAAACATTACGAACCTGATTTGGAATTTACATTTTACAATCTTTTCATGACTTCTGTAACAAAGATACTCAAGAGAAGAAATATACTCACTACCCACATTGAAACAATGTTTATGAATTATAACTTATTCACTCTTTTGCAAAAACCCTTAATAAAATGACCTCTCTTGGCACATTACTCAGTGATAACTGACAAACGTAACTCGAATAATTTAGCTTTGAATAGCGCAAATTAATGAGAATAAACTTTACAGTCATCAAAGTACTGCTATAGATATATGACACGATTCCACATTCAATTTCTTTTAATAGGAAAAAAATTTTACTATTTAGATGAAATCTGGAGATATAGAAGAACATTATATAGCAACAGTATTACGAGAAATATTAAAAGGACTCGACTATTTGCATAGTGAGAGAAAACTACACAGGGATGTAAAAGGTACTTTTTCCTCTTGTTTAACAGTTATTTATACTTGAAATGAAATTGGGCCATTATTGCCATTTTTATAATTAAGATTGTTACATACTGGTAATATGTTTAATGAAATCCATTTTCTTTAAATGTATGGGGAAAAACAATAAATCATCAATTTAAAAATGACCTTAAATTTGTATCAAATTTCTATATTCCATTTAAATTATTAGCAAACATAATCCAGACATTACAAACAGTTTTATCAGTGAATAATGAGATTTTAAATAATCTTATCAGGTTTCGATGCTTGATGGGTATTTTCTCCTTCAGATTCATTAGAGATACCTAGCTAACATGTAGACATAGACAACAACAATCTGTGAGTGCTGGTACATTATGGTTACAGCTTTCTTGACCATCCAAGTTCATACTTAATTTGTTAGGCAGAGCAGAATCTCATAGTGATGCGTGAATAAAAAAATCAGCAGACGTGAACTGAACAATGATAGAGTGGGGTATTCATATAATTGAGTCACCTCATCGGTTTTCTCCTCTCTTAGTTAAATATAATATTTTTATTCATGAAAAATACACTTCTGGTAACTGTATCTGTAATATCAGGTAGATTGGCATGCTAATTGAAATATTAAATTTTTTTTAGTTCATTGCCAATTTGGGTAACTATGAATATAAAATATATTTTGTTTTGTCTCCCGTAGTATGAGAACCAAGATGGCCCTAACCCTAACCTGGTACACACACTACGTGCCGGTGTTCGCCATCTTGGTTCACTTACTTTGTTTGTACCTTTGTTTTAATGTACCATAACTGAAAATGATCTAATATTGCTTATTTTAGGATTCAAAAATGTTAAAAACAAGTTGATCATTTAATTTATATTTTCAGCGGCGAATGTTCTATTGTCTGAGAATGGTGATGTCAAACTTGCTGATTTCGGAGTTGCGGGTCAACTCACAGACACACAAATAAAACGAAATACATTCGTCGGAACTCCATTCTGGATGGCTCCAGAAGTTATAAAACAATCTGCCTATGATTTCAAGGTAATATAAAGTATATTGTTTGTATCTTTATTTATTGAAATATGAAAATATATCTTCACGAAGATTGACGATGAGGTTGATTTTCATGCAAAATCAAGAGGTTGAGAGTTCGCAACCAAAATGGAAAAATACTGATATGGAGGTCAAAGTGGACCACTAGTGATCACACAAAGTACTAAGCCAGTGACTCTCTTCCAGAGACTTTCAATACTCTGTGGCTCCCTGATCTTTAATATAAAAAAAAATCACTTTTAACCGGTTTCATCAGTTATTTTATTTGCCATTGTTTCAACAAAAAGCTAGCAAAATAAGTATAGAATAAATGCATCACAGTCAAATAAACAAATATGTTGCTTTACTTAATTATAGTAGCCATTAATTGATGTAAAAATTGAAATTGTAACAGCATATTATGGACACCGTGTAGGCGTGTACATATATGTAAAAATGTGTGAAGCCGCACAATTACGTTTCATACAGTTGCTTGATACTAATGGTCTCCTTCTGTTGTTTGTTCTCATCCTTGTTCAAGTGCTATCGTAACCCCTCTGAAAATGTCAAGTACGACAAAATGTACGTATGATGACATCATCAAAACGAAAACGCTTTTATAGCGGCCTTTTTTCCGTACGCAAATAGAAGGAGTTAGCAAACATTTGTGGTGATATGTAGTCATCAAGCAAGTTCAGAAGAAGAAATTACCTTTTTGTATGTGTTTTCTATGGCCATTTTTGAGATGTGTATCAGTATCTTTTAAAAAGGGTGGTGCTATATAATGTATATATACAGTATTAGTATTAACGGAATAAAACAAAAGCATGGACTGTTCTAAAAAATTTGTATAGTTATATATTTGGAATGTTATTACAATGCAATTTACATTAATGTTTTATGTACATTAGACATTCCTCTTGTCTCTGTATTAAATTATTCTATACTACACTAAGTTGGATGTAATTTGATTTATGATTAATGTGCCAATAAAAACTTTGTGTTTACTTTCTGACCTTATATAAGTGAAGAATTAGTTTTCCAATGAAATCTAATAAAATCTAGCTTATATATCAATCTTAATATATAGGGTGTTCATGATGTCGTAAATTTTTTTTAAATTGCAAAGTGAATTTATCGATACCATACTGTTTTGACCCTCACAGATGTACAACAGATCTGGTTAATATATTATTGAGAACTGACTTCATAACAAATTGAAACTGTATAGGGACTTTATGGACACCCTGTATATTAAATATACTGTATATACCGGTATTTGACATGATATTTTCGAAAATTTAAATAATCAAAATCACTATACCATTTTATTGAGATTTTTTTTTTCCATGTTGAATGGTATTTCACCTTTTTTCACAGACCATGATAGGGGCGTGACATTTATAAGTCACACTTTCAATGATTTGCTTAGATTTAGAGTTTTATCCAGACATAAGGCATCGGGTTAAAGGACACAACAGTTTTCAAAGCGATACCGGTACTTGTTTTGAGCGTAGGCAATAAAGCATAAAACACAACCTGATCCTGGCTTATAAGGCACTTGGTCGATTTATCTTGCGCAATCTAATGATATCGTTTCCTAATTAGTTCCAAGATATAGATACAAATACTCAAAGTCACTTCTTTAAATTTAGTTGGAAAAGAGTATCAAAGAATACTGATTTTGCGTATTAAATACTTTTCTCATCAAGGTAAATTTTACAGATCATTGAAGTAGTAGTAGGAAGCGACAAATCAGATTATTGAAATTCAAATTTATCCTAGAATTACGGTACCCATTTTGCCAGAGAAATCTTTTCCAATACAACATTTTGCATATTATATCATGGTATCATCCAAGTAATCATGGTTAACTATCTGATTAAGCCACCTTATCAACTTTCTTATCACTATACTCTTAGATTGAAGCTGCTGAAAGGGTTTTATTTTGTTTTCAAATGATTACTGAGTCCTATGTACCCAATATTTCACTTTCACATTCTTTCGCTATTTTAATTTAACGCAAGGGAACACTCTGTTCTGATGACCTCCGTTCATATATTTGAGTGTTGCTTGGTATACTAACCTAACCCTAGGTAAGGCATGTCAGAGCGAAAGACAGTAATTTCGAATGAGCCAAGAAAGAGCGGATGTCCTAATTAGTGAAAAAACTTTTCACATTTCTTATATATTTTTTCATTTCAGGCTGATATCTGGTCACTCGGAATTACAGCTATTGAGCTTGCGAAGGGTGAACCCCCAAATGCAGATCTTCATCCTATGAGGGTCCTCTTTCTTATTCCAAAAAATAACCCACCTACATTGGACGGGAACTTCACCAAAGAATTTAAGACATTTGTGGAAGCATGCCTAAACAAAGAACCAAGACATGTAAGTGATGAAATCCTATAAAAATGTATACTTGGGTATACTTCCACTTGCAACAGTCAGATGTCTTGCAACCTCCAATAGATACCATTCCACATGTGATTCTTTCAAGCTGTACAGGGTAATCGGCCCTCCAGAAGTATGTGTACCAATATGGAGGTGACTAATTCCATTCGCCTACTTTATATCAAGTTGTGTAAAGGGACTGAAACCTATGCGCGAACAATTACAAACTCGTAATAGAACTAAAATAAGGAAAATCGGAATAAAATTATGGCCTAACCATAACCTGGTAATCAGCAGAGCACTGTCAAGTTAGTAATTTAATTTGATTGTAAATTTGTTTAATAGCAAAATATTTCCATTTTATATCATGTTTATGAAATTTTTCGTACAGAGACCATCCGCTAAAGAACTCTTAAAGCACAGATTTTTGAAGCAAGCTAAAAAGACGTCGTATCTTATTGAACTGATTGAACGACATCGACAATGGAAATCTGAACATAACGATTCCGGAAGCTCTAGTTCTGACGAGTAAGATTATTCAAATGATTCACTCGTATTTTTTCTTGGACTAACGACTAACGAGTATATTGTGAAAAATAGAAAAAAACTATTTTTCTGCATTTTCCACGCAACGCTTATAAATTCACATCTTTAACTCTAAACAAGGCCCTGTATAAGCAGCCACTGATATCTAGCGATTTGATGACCAACTAGAGATTGCTACGAACTTGGGTCCCAACTCTTGAGAATACCTGATTTTGTCCACAAAAACACTGGCATCTGCAAATCTTTTTTAATTGTCTGTTGCGAATGCTAATTTTATTTACTACCTTGCTAAATTTTTTCAAGTTTCCTTTTCAAATTTTTTGTGTAAGAAACTCTTTTTATACATTCCTATCTGAGAAATAAATTCTACTTTTCAGTGAAAATTCTGAGGATTCTGAAGATTCACCAGAGTGGAGATTCCCAGGTGACACAGTAAAAATACCGGGAAAGAACGTTCTTGAAAATGGAATCAAGTCCATGTATATAAAGTCACGTTCATTACAGGAATTATTGACACCTGTTTTAAAGCAGGTAAGTTGTATTAGGGATGAAAAATTGGAACTCCTGAAGTATGTGAACCAAGATGGCGCACACCGGAACGTAGTATGTGTACCAGGTTAGGATTGGGCCATAATTTTATTCCAATTTTCCTTATTTTAGTTCTATTACAAGTTTGGGGACTGGCCAAGTGACTCCTGTAATATATGTATCTTAAATTATAGCCTAACCCTAACCTGGTACACATTCTACGTTTAAGTGTCCGCCATCTTGGTTCACATACTTAGGGAGTACCGAAAAATTTCATAAAAATCTTCTATACTTTCATTCACGGTAACGGTAATCAATACCTTCTTCTTTCAGTTGAAGGAAAACAAATTTCAAGACAGTAATAACAGATCAGCGTTAGATGATATGAGGTCGGCGTTAGAACAAGCTGAAAATACTTGCCCAGGAATTAACGACAAACTTGTCAATAATTTAGTCGATAGATTTCGGAAGTAAGATGTTTTCATTGTTTTTTATGTTTATTGTACTAATTACCGTACTCTTGTGACTTCAAATTGTCTGGAGCAAAAGGTATGAATAACCGTCATAAAATAGGAAAATTGAAAATTGAAATTCTCCTGTAATTATGTTAATATTTTCATAAGCTAGGTCATTGCAATCGAATCACGATATATTTCATGCGGGGATTCTTGCTGCAAATCAATCCCACTTTAAGCTGTTCCAAAATTTTCTCCTCTTTTTTTTTTATTTTTGACAAAAGACAAATATGTCATTCCAAAAGCTCTTTGAGTTATGCTTGAAAAATTCATCCATGACGACATTGATGACTTTAAACTTCTGCCTCAATTTTAGATGCCGTTTTAGCCTATTTTTTAGATAGTAAAATTTTAAACAGTATTTTCAATCATTTGATATGTTTTCAGATACAAAGGCTCATCGCGGTGATCTTACTCAGCTATAAAAAAAATGATGTTTTACGTCCTTCAGCAAAAAAAAAACTTGAAACTCCACCAGGATTCTTCCATAAGTGTTTTGTACTACCAAATATCGATAAAAAATACTCGAGCGTCAAAGACCAAATATTTTATTACTGTCGCTGCTCGGCTGCGTTTTCGGTGTTTCCGAAGGATGCGTACCAAGATGGCGCATACCCTGTACATAGTATGTGTACCAGGTTAGGGTTCAGGTTGTGCGTCATCTTAGTACACATACTTCCTGAGCGCCGCGTTTCCAACTTTATTCAATGTTGTAGAATTTGCCTATGCATACCACCTCAATCAATAAAAAGAAAGATCTTCCGGGATAGTTATAATATAAAGTTCAAGCATGCTGATCGTAACGTATGTAAACTTTTGTGTGTCCATTTTCATCCCTGGACCAAATTTCAAGAACTCATGATGAGTATGCATGAGTGTTTTTTTAAAGCGTCTTGGAATGAAAAGCTACCTGCTTTGTGTTTTTGTGAACCAACAAAGAAGTTCACTTTAGAGTATTTTGATATTCTACCAGTTTTTATGAAATATTTTTATTCTTTAATCTTTGCGTTCGCAAGAGAGTGGAAAGATATCATCGAAGTTTGGAAAATACAGTTTAAATGAAATAAAAAATTGCAGTTTTCCTGGATTTTAGATAAAATTCTCCATTTGAGTTCATTTGACATAGTAAAATTTGGCATGTTTCATGATTCTGCCCTACAGCATATGATTTCAAAATGGCAATGGCTATGTTACTCTATTTGCAATCTCTTAATACAAAATTAACAAATAGTAAAGCAATACTAATTTTTTATATTTAGTTTAATCGCTAATTTTAGTTTCATGTCCCTACTAACTGATTTTCAGACCATTTCTCGTGTAAAAAATATTCAAATGTTTGTGAATGTCATTTCTTATTCCTACTCTTCCTTGTCACATTCACATTTGATAATGATTTGCACCAGACAGTTTTTCACATACAGAGTATAAAACCGTTCTTAGCAGTTTTGTTCAAGCATCTTATGATCTAAACTTTATGGATATCCAAGCCAGGCTTTTCAAATTTTGTTCATTGCGTTATCAGAAAAGTATTTCTCGAAAACCATAGAGTCATCTTTGCAACATAGATAGCCACATGCCCTCATTTTTAAGCCAGCTTCAAACTTTTTGAGGATTTGGCTTCTGGTTCGGTTTTAGCTTCTGGTTCTCCTTACAATTCTTGTGTGAATATATTGTGTTTTCGTGACTTTCTCAATTTTTTTCATTTAAAATTTCGTTTCGATCAATTTTTTGACATCTATTTTGTCCAAATTTTAGGTAACAATTAAGAGTGGCACAAATATTAAAATTTAAATGCATTTCTAAACATCTAACCCTATTTCAAATGGATTCTATTTTCCTTGTTAATATGTTTAAATATCAAATATTAAATCAAATAAATAATTTAATCTAGCATATGGGATTGTGATGGTTGAACAATGCCACCACATTATAAACAAAATGTTGATATAAAAAGAGAAGTCCAATTTCAAATCAAAACAATTTTGGTTTATTGAAGGCTCCATAAATATTCAGTGAAATTTTCTTTTGTACAAGGGTCATGTCTTGTGCTTCGGAGTATATCATTTTCCTCTTGACGGTAAAAAACACTACGCAATCTACTCTTTCTTCCAGTCGTAATTATGCTCGACACTTGAGTTTGGTTGGAAAATGCTATTGTATATATTTTTTTTTGAACATTTTGATTATTTTGTCCAATGTATTCTATATTGTGATGTATTTTTGAGTTTTATTTTATATTTTTTCATTGTAGTTCCGAGGATACCGAGGCGGGTGCTTCATTTTTATCACGAGTGAAGTTATACGGAATTTTCATGAATATATATTACATGCTCTAAAATTGAAAACAGCTATTTATGTATAATGATCTTGATTGAATGCATCTGCCCCACTACAGGCCTTACAGGCTCATTTCTCTACTTATAGCTCTTTGTCAGAGGCTCAGGACATGTATCAAAATTGGTCTCCAACTTCTGTTTTACTGGGAATCGGATTTTGGATTGATTCAGAGAAGGGTTTGAGACATTGAAGGACCAGTCTTTGGGTATCACCTCCGACCCCCGATTAATGAATTTCTGAATCTATATATTCAAGTATTGTCAAGCCTTTGCCAAGTCGGTAATGTCATAATCCCACTTTCCACATTTTAGAATAACGCAAGACCCTCCAGCAAACCAAAATTACAAATTGTGCTGCATGTAAATTTTTTTACACAACATCAGCCTCTTAAATCCTATCCTAAAAGAATTCATGAATGTTAGATGAGAACTAATTTGTAATATTTGGACACTTTTCATATTCATTAAATCAATATACATTCATTCAATTATTATCATCATTAATGCGCCATTTTGTATCCTTTTGATGCCATTGTATGAGTATTTTGGTGGAATGGGAATTCATTATGGCGAATTGAACTGAATATAATGGTCTGTGGTCTCGCAGGCTAACTGTGCCAGGGTACATGTTCAGGATTTAAACAAAACTATCAATGTATACATGTGATGCATTGATATCATGTTACAAAATCTATCTATTCATAGTGTAAGGTTTAATTTTTGCATGCTTTGCTGTTTAAAATGCTCTTTTCTAGGTTGATTTAGTTTATGACAATTGCCAATCTGCCATGGATAAAGATTAAATATGTGTCAGAATTTGAGTTCTGCTTAGGCATTTTTTTCAAGGACTTTTTTGTTGAGTAAAAATATGTCATGATTTTTATACCAACAATTTTTAGTTAAACAGTTTAACTTTGTGTCCACATTTTTCAGTTCTGCCAGCCACATTTTAATTACATTTCACAATTTGACATTTTGTGCCTTTTAGCATCTACATATTATATATATTCCCTCATTATTATTATATATATGATGTATTTCTAACTTGTCTTGGTGTGTGTTGTTTTTTTTCACGATCTTTCAACCTCGAGCCAAATTTTAATGTCTTCGAGAATTATGTATAAGGTTTGTTGAAACCTAATTCATTATCTGCAATTTTTATCAATCTTCTTCGAAAATGAATGATTGAAAACCTAGCATTTTGTGGCACATCTAATTTTTATGCTTGATAATGAAGTGTTGTCACATGTGCTCATAGTGCAATGCGTTATAGAATTTTAATTCCTCTGGATTGTATCGAGTATAAATAAATTTTTGAAATTAATTATTTTTGACTGTTTTTTGTACTTCATGTGCAAGTTAAACTAATTCAAGTTAATATTCCATGGGTGGATTAGGGGATATTTCCTATACTGTTACTACAAAATGTGATAGAGTACCGAATCTTTAACTACATCGCTTGAAAATTCTTGCTACTCTGGCATGATGATGTCCGTGTTCCCTCCTATGTTTGTCCATTCCTTGTTTGTCCATTTATATTTCAACGGACTACTAGCACTGGGTGTGTGAATAGCTTGCAAGATCAATGACATTTATAGTTGAATGGAATGCATAGAATTCAAAGTGCTTTGATGTCTGTTATTATGTTAGGGAAGGACTTAGTAGGGTTAGTAATATATAGGTAGTATACCCCCAATAACACTCTGATAAGGCGACAAGAGAACAATTTTAGCTCCTTAATTCTGAAAATTTGTAAGTTTTTACGAGTTACGGTAGATACAATGATACCCACGGTTTTGAGTTTGTTTTCAGTACGTAAAAATTTCGTACTCTATTGGTGATATTTGTAGAATAGAACGTTGCTGAAGTCATTGATGCTAATTCCTCGAATAAATAGAAGTCGACTCGCATCTGGCCTGGACGTTGAATAATAAAACCGATTGGCAGGAATAGACAAAAAATGTTTTTCTGCATTGCCCATATTTTTTGAATATGCGACTAACTGTTTGTGATCAAGGTTGTTTGTGATTGTCTTGTTGTAGTTATTATGGTTGTTAGTTGTTTGGACAAGGTTTTCCTTCGCCTTTCCCCGCAAGCATTATTATTGCCGCAAGTAATGGTCCAATCAGTCTTAAATTCCCATCCCTTAAAGATCGGAGAAGTCGCCAAAAGGCTATTACTTTTATTTATCTGACTCTGAGTCTTGCTGGACCTGATATTTTACATGAAAGTTTGCTGTTTTATTCAAATCCACGGGAGGGCTTCCAATTAAAAATACACTCATTATAGTTCCCCAATATGTTTTGGAAAAATTCGGTGTCTAGCGCCATCTTGTAGATAGGTGAGTCCTCTTGCAAGTTGTTGTTAGATCGTTGAGTTATTATTAGTTGAACGTTTGCACCAGAGCAAGCGACAGAGGTACGATTAAAAACCGTTTGTTTTTCGACAAAATGTCAGGAAATTCATCTTTTAAAGCTCCTATTGGAGCTCCTTTAAATAAAGCAAGAACAGTGGGAAATGGATCTAGTAGATTTCAGGCCTCCAAACGTCAAATGCAACCAGAAATTCCGGCTGAGGAAGTTTCAAATTCAACTAAGAAAAGAAAAAGCAGATTTTCTGATGCACCACCCTCATCTAATGCACCCCCTCCAACAGTCCTTGAGGTGCTACCAGTTCCACCTCAAAATCCAAGAAATCAATCAACTGTAAGTTCAAATTCTTATAGGCTATCTGTAAATCAGTAAATGCAGATATGGTTAGGGTATGATTATCTTTTGATCACCGGTACTGGATTATTTGAATGAATATGAAATAGAATACCAAAATAATAGAATATTATGTGCATTCTGAAGTTTTAATCATCGGGCTTTTTTGCAGCTTTATAAATTTTATATATTTGTTTCTCAAAGCTACATGTACGTTATAAACCTTATCTAAGGTTTCGTTTGCTCCCCTGATTTCATAATCAGTTTTTATTTATTTGTTTTTATCTGTCAAATGTATTGTTATGCTGATTATGGAGTCGAAATAAACTTATACTTATACAAGCATTACCTCATGTGAAAAAACTAGTCAACGCACAGTATTGATGTATGTGAACAATAACTTACTTAAAACCGTATTGATTGTCTTATTGCAGTATTGAGTAGGCTCTGCCTTGAATGTGACTTCTTACATTTTATTATTAATGGATTCACTTCTAGGCCGCACTCGCCGACAATGACAACAAGGCAGCTCTGGTATCTGCAGCTGCCGCAGCAGCAGCACGCATCAATGCAAATTTATTAGCTCAAGGGAAGATTAAAGCTCTGCCCAATCAGGTAAAGATTTCTGATTGTGTTTTTCAATAACTAATCCCATACACGACTCGATATGATTATTGAGTCGTCTTATCGGCTCTCCTCTCCCATGGGATGGATAATATAAATCCTATTCTGTAAAATTTTGTAATATATCATATGTTAGAGAAATTTTTTAGGTTTCATTATTCCTTATAAGGTTATCAGATCCGAGCCAAATTTAGATATTATAAAAAGATTCACACTATGAATTATAACAAAATTTTTGAAGCGGCATACTTCATGTGCTACAAATATTTTTCAAATTTGGTTGAATTAAAATTTTTTAAACTGCCAAGTTAGACTGGTGAATGACTAAGTTTTATTATGATTGCATAATTCTTTTGTTTTGTAATTTTATAATTACTATATTGTAACACTCAAATAATGGAGATACTATATACTTCCATTGCAATACCATCTCACCCAGTGTTAAAAAAAATTGACTGGAGCCGAAGCCACTGTAAGTTCCCCCTTACCAGTAGATTCTGGAACAAAGACTTTTATGCAGTGGTGTGAAAAGCGACAAATCTAAAATATTGTCCTTTTACAGAATGCTATGAACAAAATTCTACATTGCAGATATAGTTGTTTTTGCGGCCTTTTATAGAGTTGAATAGTTTCTAATCCATTCTCCTGGTATTCAGTTGCATTCTGCATCAACAGCCCCTACAGTTAGCATCTCATCTGATATCAACAATCCTGTGTCATCTGTTGAAATTAAGAAGATTGATGACATGTTTTCTGCTGAAGTTGAAATCAATGATATTCCTGTTGGATGTAGGAATTATTTAACAAGACTAACAACACAGGTATTTTTTTCAAAGAGTACTTTGTTCTGATTTGCAACCTTCTTTCCTGGACTATGGTAGCAGAGTCAGAATTTAACATGTTTTGGTTGGAGTTTGATCTGGAACTTCATTTACAAACTTTCTTGAGTTCTGGATTCAGAGTAGACATTTGGATTTCTGGGAGTCAATATTTCAGTCTTTTTATTATTACCCTCTTAAGTCAAAATTTGATATACAAACTAAAAAATGTAATTTGACTAAGTGTTCTAATTTCGATACTCGAAAGCGAGTATGACAGAAAAGCACAGTAATTTCTATAATCAGTCTATCATGGGTTTAACTTCTATCTGTCAAAATCTGGGGGCTACAACCCCACCAGCCAAGCCATTCAGTGGGGCCCTTGTCAACACCCAGATTTTTTCCCATCAAGCTTTAAAGCGTAATCTAAAAATTTGTTTAAAAAGGCCCACGCATGGGTAAATACATGAATTTTTTGCTGTTGTCATTGCGGTAAATCTTTGCTGTTTTGCCCGATGCCTTCATTATTGTAAGGCTAAGCTATAGCCTTTTCATTGTGAGAATTTTTTAATTCATTGTATATCCTACATGAAATCTTTTTCATGGCTCCGCTAGATGTCGAAATTTGGTTATATGGGCCGCCAACAAACAGTTCTGCATCCAATATTTGTATTTGGTCTTCTTTGATCGTTCTGGTGAAATTAGGATTCAAGAGGAGTTATTTGATTGTAAATTCATTAAGCTCATTTTCACAATAGTGGTGAACAGTGTAAATTGTATTCTCTAGAAAGCATTTATAACTGATCCACTGATGATGTCCATATTATCTAGTGCTTTTCTTTGTTTGTGTCTCAGATGTTAAACCTTGATTACCAATACATCACTTTTGTCCTATTGTAGGAAAATATCAACAAATCCTGTCTTGCTTATGTATCAACACGTGGTAAGTATATGACAACGGAAGAAAAGAAACAACATCCGTTATTAATGGGATCAGAAAAACCTTTATATTTATTTGTACAAAGCCAGTATGAAGGAAATGTGAAAAGTAAGACAATTTACTATTTCTTGTTATCAAAAAGGTGTCTTGACTCTTGGGAAATGTGTAGGAATGAATTATTCAATCAAGTACCGCTAGAATTATAAAGAAATAAATTTGATATTGAGTATAATATTCGTGTCATGTATACTTACAGAGGCTTTGGATCGAATCAAACAAATCATAAACAATCATTTTGAAAAGAAAAACAAATTTCAATCAGAAGCTCTCGCTCAAATTGCATCTTTCAACCCAATAGTTGCATCAATATCACCTGGTCCAGCAGTCCAAGGGTTCGCCCCAGGATATCCAATCATCCAACAGCCTGCTAATGCTCCCTTGCCACATTGCCAACCTGCTTTACCATCTGGGGTAAGTAAGCAAAATATGCCTTGTGTATATACTAAGTATCCTTCGCCACATATTTGAGCAACTCATCGACTTTCATTTTCCCTAGGATAGATATTAAAATTAGTGTAATAAACTAGTAGTGTCATAATTTTTTCAGAATTACATGCAAGAGAAACTGTTCATCGGACTGGATAATATACCTGACAATTTTGACTTGAAGAATAAACTTATTGGACCAAATTACAGGAATTTTACGTTCATTGCAAACCAGACTGGTGCTAAAGTATGTATTGATTGTAATTTGTGATAGAATATTTGGTTAAATTTGATTCAAAATTTCTGTGATAATTTGTTTTTGTTTTTTTCATTACTACATACAATTGTTAAACTTCCTTGTTTTGATTATATTACTTCCTAGGTTATTCTTAGGGGCAAAGGATCTGGATTTATTGAACCTACGTCAGGACGAGAGGCTTTTGAATCAATGTACGCTTTCTTAAGTCATCCAAACCAAGCTGGTGTTGATGCAGCAAAACGCCTCGTCTCAAATTTAGTCGATACAATAAAAGCGGAGTTACAACCTGTAATGAGAAATTCGGTGCGAAGCTCACAAAATAGTGGATACGATACTATACAAAGTAGGAGTGTTACATTTTTAGTTTTTGATTTTTGCTGAACAAATATTCTTTGTGTAAAATTTATATTGCAATAATATAGTTATTATTTTTTTAATGTTGTTCATTTTTTGCTCCAACAAATGTCTAAATTATTACATGCTGTATTAGGCATTGATCGTTTGACTGAATAGAGTAAATATTTGTAGTATATCACTCAAATTGATTTGGTTGTTGTGGTATTTACAAGATAATATTAATTTGAAAGTTGTTCGATTTAAATTTCCTTGTTTTTCAGATAACTATCGAATGGTTCCACCACCTATGTCAGTAAGTATTACACTTTATCATTCTATAATCCCACAATTATAGTATATAGAATTGTTTTTTTCTTTTTCCCTTTTTGGGATTTTCATTGCCATGGAATGAATATTTCATTACAGTTATAGCACAGTGTATGAAAAGTAATTAATAATAAATAAGACTGAAATTATCAATATCTGATTATAGATGATACCATCCATGGAAATTTTCAACAGACTTTAATTCTTGATCTGTTTTGGCATTGTGGGTTCCATTCCCCTTGCCCCCTAACCTTGGGTGCCTTTGTAATCTTGGACGCTTGGCAAACTCCAATATTCAAACGTTTAACTGTTATATGCATAGCGTAGTTCAAAGTCAACTATATTAAATTTGCTTCAATTGTAATGTATTTTTAGTTATCTGTACCCAACTCTCAACCTGTTTCATCTGCGTCATCTGCATCTTATCCATTCCAACAATTGGGGGTTTCTGCTAAGCCAAATCCTTTTTCTGAAGCTCCGCGGAGAAAATTTAAAGAATACGAAGAAGAGCCATCGAACGTTTTAGGTTATCAGGTACACTGTTTTACAAAATTGTGCTTTCCTATAGAATGGGGTTGCAAACATTAAATTTGGGTAAATTCTCGCTGGGGTCTTAACTTGAGTAGTGGTCATATCTATGTTTACGTCGTAGATTAACAACACCCTCCCCCCCACCCCCTGTACTGATAGGAAGGTTTATAAGGAAGGTTTGCATCACCCTTGTGTTATTTTTACTAATTCTGTAAGATGCAGATTAACACGCAAACTCAATGTTTTGTACAGCATAATTTCTCAGGCGCAGAAAAAGGTAAATCAAAATCAGATTCATCAAAGAAAAGAAGTTCAAATTCAAGAGAAAAGTCAAGAAAAAGGTATGTTATTTATCAATTTGAAAATTTCTACAAGTTTAGTATTATCTTTAAGAATTTATTCGAAAAGATTATTTTAGAATGTATTCGGAATACTAAATTATTTGGTTTTGACCCCTGTCTGGGAAATTTGAAAATTTTTGACTATTACGAGATTTGCACCTATACAATTCCCTAGTTTAAAAATAGTCTTGGGGTTTATTGGGAGATTACACAATTGGTCTCAAATCACAATTATTTTTGCTTGAATAATAGTGAATTTCTGTTATTCTTGAGTTCATAAAATAATGAGTCTTCTTTTTCTATTTTTTCCATGTGTTTGTTTGTGTGCATTATATTCTTTTATAAATTCAACTTTGATGATGAAATTATGAAAAAAAAGATTCACAGAAGATATGTCAGTGACAAGTACACCATCTCAATCTCAGTCTACTGAAAGTATGTTGTCTTCTTTAATTTTTTAATGTTTTATCTATATGTAATAAAATATACGTACAACCGAAATACGTATTTTTTTATTATGTTCGGTGATGTGGCGCATCATGCTAAGCGTTAGTAATCAGTCGCCACTGAACCTCGATTAACATGCGGGGATAATTTCAGAGTATTTCTTGACTCTTCGCCGCCCGCCGTAGGGTGGTTCATGTGACCACTGGTCGATTCTGCTTTCCTTCCTTCCTTTCCTTTTTCTAAAATAACACTACAGTTATCAGTTAACAATGAATTCTGTTATTATATTTGGATGATACTGCTGGTACTATAAAAAACGGAGATCAAAATTTTGAATCAAAGTTCACTGTTCATCTTTCACATTTTATAAATTTGTTATTTAATCCACTTCCAACCATTGTATTGCTTTACAGAACCAGTGTTTGATAAAGAATCAAATGATAATAATAAAAGTGATGCAAATTTTAAAAGGCCAGTATTGCCTTTTTGGATGACACCATGATAAAGGTAAACGTTAACCTAATCAAAGAATTTTCATCAATGTAATTGTTAAATATGATCAACAAAACTTATATTTGTGAAATTTTGAAGCAATGTACAAGTTAAAAATATTTAAAATAGTATTTTCATATATGGATTAATTCCTCACATTAAGTGGGAAAGTCATTATTCTCGTTTTATGTATTATGATGTCTTCTTGGCCATTCTTTTGGGATAGTTATAATTCTACAGACTTGAAGACACTTTTGACCTTACTTACTTCTTTATTTTAGGTACTGTCACAAACGCTCGATAAAGATTGGTAGGTGTTGTTTTCCAGAAGCTTTTATGGTACTTCTGGTAGGATGCTTGTGATATGGGTTTGTTTATGCGATAATGGTGTTATCCTTATATTTCAGTTCCAAGAGTCTTATGATTCTAATTATAGTAATTAGATATTATGGAATACGCAAGACTCTTAAACCATTTGACAAACACTCCTGCTACTAGCTGCAAAAAAAACAATTTAAACCAGAAAAAATTTGGCATAAGCAAGCTTCCTTTATTTGTCTGTTGAGAACGCTTGCTGAACCTAATTGTTTGTTTTTGTCGGAAATCCAGACTTTAATAACTACCGCACTACTATTACAAATCTGCAATTCTAAGAGAGTTTGAAATTTTTATGCATATTCCTATAATTTGAATATATTACTCAAATGTGTTAGTGTCATGACATGCCCCAAATTTTTATTTAGTGTACGGGTGACCCCAAAAAAGGACACCCACATTTACCTAACAACTAAACTTGTGATTGTCCCCAAAAGTTTCAGTAATCTAGTAGGTTTGTACAAAAGTTATGTTCCAAAGGACACAGCTTCTCTTTGTAGTAGCTCAGTATCTTCTAATTTTTAAAACAATTCTGGTATTGTGATGCACGAGTGTAGTTTCGAACAATGCATATATCTCATTTTGAACCTTTTTGGCAATATAAATCGCAGCGTCTTCATGATCAGGGTTTTAATTGGCATTTTGAAAGTAGTGGGGTAACAAAAGGCTTGCTATTATACAAGATTACAATGGCATAGATAAACTGTCTAAGACAGGGGTGGGCAACTTCTCTAGTCGGCAGGCCGGATTATTACAAAAAATACTTTGGTATCCAATCTTTGTTAAATGCTGGAACTCTCTGTCAACTTTACGTTTCTTGGGATATTCTATGGTTAATATAAAAAATCTAAATCTAAAATCCATTTAGAATCTAAATATAACAGATAACAGTAGTGGGGAATGTTTACAACGCTCTCTGCTTTGGCCTTATATTGTTTGTTTTTACCAAGTGTGCTAACGCAATTGTTTGTTTACTTCACCAGCTCGCACTGACAGTGCGGTGAGAGTAGAGCGATCGGCAACTTTCAGGAATGATGAGTCGAATCACATTACAGAGTGTGGTTGGATACAGTCCAGGGCCGGTCAAAATCTCTAGCCGTATGTGTATGTTGCCCACCCCTGGTCTAAGACCACAAATTTAATTTGAAATGGTTTTAAGGAAATATTTAAAACGAAATGTTGATTCATACGTCATCATATTCAACTGATATAACAGCAAGTTTTTTGTGTTTTGGTCCATGCTTCCTCTTTACTGATTTATGAAATAAAACAACATTTTGCTATTTGTGTTGCGATTTTGCGTTTGAAAGTGGAAATAGTACTAATAAGATATGCATGTCCTTTGTTGAATTGTATCAATTTGATGTCAGGGGAACAGAAGCAATTTTGAAAAAGTCAATAGAAAGACTAATGAACCCTTATTGCTGGTCTGGTGGAACTAACAAAAAACCCATTAGCAAGAGAAGGAATTTTCTATGAATTCAGCGAAGTTTGAACATTTATGATATTCAGCTGTCGGTTGCTTGAGCCTTAGTGATAGGGCCAATAAGATAGATTGGTTGCACAACAAAAGCATGGATTACTCCATAGTGCCATACTCTTGGACGACTAGACTAGTCGAATATAACAAATGTGCTTTTGTGCCCTATCATATAAGAACTGATTGCGATCACTACAGCTACAGAACAGGCTAACCTAGACAGCGTTGCAAAAGATAAACATCGAATTTACTGACCGATATTGACAGCTTGAAGACAATAACTATCTACCCAATCTGAAGCCAATGATACTACTAAATATACACAACAGCCAGACGAAACCATTTTTTGCATTTATTGTTCGCAAACATAATTATTCGCCACCACCCATCATCTTCTGACGAGCCATCTTTTTCTTTGATACCTTCTTCTTAGTTTTAGTTTCCTCCTCTGGTTTTGGTACGACTTGTTCTCTTTCTACCAAAAACATTTCGATGTGGCAGGGAGAGCTCATGTAGGCTGTAAGAAAATAACAACATTTAAATACATACATGTTTCAAGCCTTATGCAATGAAAATACTTCATGGTGCTTCGAGGCTCACATTCACATTGGGCCTAAACCATTTTAGAACTAAAAATATACAGTATTTTACCTCACTAATAATTGCTTATGCAACAAATTGCCATTAATGTGTGTTAACGAAATATGTCAAGACAGATTGAAAATACTATATCAAAGAGCGCTTCAGCAAAAGGCCACAATGCCCTTAACCCCAGAACTTATAAGGTTTTGTTGGTAGAGATTGATCAAAATAAGAAATGCGGAATTCATTAATAAGATTTGCATATGAATGAATGCGGCAGACCCAAAAAAGATGAGAAAAAACAAACTATCAGTAGAAGTTACGCGAGACTTACTCCCAATCCTTCCTCAATGCCTTTGCGCTGGTGGATTCATATGCGTATAATGCAAGTATGCAGTAGCAGGAATAAAAAATACCATACTATGTTGAACATACCAAATTGTTGTAAACTGCTTGTCTGATTTTAGTCAGATGAAACGTTACAGAAATACATTTGTATGCAGCAGGACTATTGAATTGCATAATAAAATCAAAGCCTGACATTGAGGCCCTTATAGTTTAAACTAGTTGGTTATTATAACTTACGATTTATCCTTCCATGGGCTCTGTATGTTCGTCGCCTCATTTTAGCTGCAGCATTAACTTGGATATGTTCGATAACCAGTGAGTCTACATCGAGAGTTTTCAGCTCAGCATTACTTTCTGCGTTCTTCAGCATTTGCAGCAAAAATTCAGCACTCTTCTTGGGCCATCGTCCCTGAGTTGTCTTGAATTGCTTGGCCTGAAAGTTTTGGTATGAAACAGAATGACTACACAAAGAAAGTTACATTCACAAGAACACGCTGAATTGTTTGAAAACACCTCTCTAACTCTATATATTTTTCTAACAAATATTTAATCAAACATTTTTTTTGAATGTATACAATATTTGAGATGAAGTTCTCATACAAATGCCTCGTATATAGTCATCAAAGTAATGACATCAGACTCGTCATCTAACGATAATCATTGAACTTCATAGTTGCCGACAGTATGCTCAGTGAATTATATGAATAAATCATAAAACCTTTGTATAATTCAAATGATAGAGCAGATTACTGACAGCAGAGCAAACCCTAATTTAACGACATATATGTGTCGTTAAGCACCATAGGCTTTTGTGCTGTTAATGACTTCAGTTTTGGATGCGAACTTCGTTCGGATTTTGTGAGAGGGTAATAAGAAGCGACAGATTCCTTGATGAAATACCACATTACAAACGTACGGCTCAGTTCTCGATATTTGATAACAAACACTTCATTAGTCCCAGAATCAGCAGCGTTTGATATCACAGCAGATATTTAAAATTGTGTAATGTTGGACGTGATAATATTATAAATCTATCGCCACATGAATACTACACTACAGACTACGGTTAAATTTTTTCTTTAGTGAATGGAATTTGAAGACTTAAAAAATTGTCAACATTTTAGATTGCGCTTCTCTTTCCAAGTGCAGTTTTAAGTAGCCTATTCTGTGGCGTCTGCAGCTGCCGCAAAACCATGGCGGTATTTCCATACCATGGCTGATATGGCCAAACCCATGGCGACTGAGTTTTTAGCTGCCACAAACCAATGTCGAGCTGCCGTTACCGCGGCAGCAAATTGAAAACCAATGGCAGGTAAAATTTTGCTGCCGTAACCGCGGCAGGTGAGTCGTGAAGACAGGGCTGTCTTATATGTTGACAAATATTGGGTAAGTTGGGATGTTTTTCTTATGGATACAGTTTTGATGGATTTGGGGTTAGGGTTTAAGTTAATATAATTCCACATGATCAATTCAAATCTGGTTCATTAATTTGTGAATGCACCGTAAATGCTGATTACTGAATAGCGCTATAAAACCATGGCAAGAGCTGCCGCGGCTCGTTCGTGGCAGGAGCTGCCATGAAGTGGTAAAAACTGCGCCTCTCGCTTTTTTGTGGCGATATGGAAGGACAGAAGCAGAATGTGTTGTAAATGAAGGGTTCAAAACAATATATACAATACCATCCAAGTTAGCTGGTTTTACGATAACCATTTCCAGAAGTCAATACAGCAATATGACATACCTGAGCACATCTGCCAACAGCCCCATTGAATCTACGGAATGGTACACAGCGTTTCTTCGCAATTACATCCTTGAGATACTGGGTGGCTTTGCGAACATGCATTCCTTTGATGGTCTTTGCAGTTTCTCTTGTGTTCTTGAAGTGAACACGGAGGTCAGAACCTCTGGCCTTACAGGTTTTTGCCGGGTTTTCCGGGTCCAACGCGTACCGCACCATTTTGTCGGTTACCTGAAATGGAATCAAAAACATTAATAGAATTAACGATATACAGAAACTTCGAAACTGAACACAATTTTAAAAATTCAGTAGGCCAGATTACAATGCCAATAACTGATAAAATACATATTTACAGCTCCCGCCATAATATATTTATAACAAATCCGTTTATTCTCGTATACCCTTGCTAATTACAAATATAATACACTCGAACAAAGGGCCGATTACATTAAATATAAAAATGAATACCAGAAGAAGTAGAAAACGAAAGAAACTCACTGGAGGACCTATGATAAAAGACAGATAAAGGTCAAAGGTCAAAACTTGTTTCTAAAATTTTGGAGCCATATGACATCATCGGAAATATTTAATAACAAATGACTTGGCGCTTATGTTCATTTAATATTGCAGCCAATTCTGATTGCCAACTTTTCATTTGTTTTGGATATTGTGGTTTTGCTGTAAAAGGTCTTGAAATTTAGTATCATTGCCTTGCAAAAAATTTTTTTCGTCTTCTAGTTTGATGCTGAAAATCACCTGTACGTTTTTATCATTATGCATTTATGTATTTTACCTATTTTGAGTCACTTTATGTTTGATTGCTGCTCTAAAGTCAAATTTAAAATAGATACGCCAATATATTATCTTTCATTGGAGTGTCTAAGACACAGAACAATATATTTAAAAACAAGTTGTCAACTTAAATGGAGACTAATATTGAATATGAAAGAACTTCGCTCGTCTCGCGTAGATCCAAGATTAGACACGAAATAAATTGTGTTTGGGTACGTTCTTCGATTGTCAATTTGTGCGTTTCATCTGTAAGCCCAATATAAGATCATTTCTCAATTTCCCAACCATAATTTAAATATAGCAACAGTCTTGATCATGAAACTGTTAGGAACGGGAAAAATCGGTAATGCATGCCTCATAAAATGATCCCCGTTAGTACGGTTTTGTCGATTATGTGCAACCCGGTAGGATAGGATAGGAATTACATATTTATCCCGGAGGAGAGAAAAATCGATAAGACGGCTTATCCCTATGGCGAACCACGGCCTCTCGTCCGGTTACCATTCCAAGTCGGGTATGGGATTAGTTATATATTGTTTGTTTTTGGAAGCATGGACTTGGTATGTTAGTCGTTGGTGCAAGCCTACTATGGTGGACTACTACAAACGCCAGGAGCTGACGTAATCATTCACGTTATAATACAACATATTATGTTCCCGTTTGGACTGGGAATGGTTACCGATTTAAATGGTTGGCGGTTACTATTTATTTTAATCGTTAACTTCCATGTCAGGCATAAATCGTCTTTATAATGTACAATGTCTTCAAAAATGATTAGTTCATTGCAGATTTAACTCCCGTGGCGTGTAATTCAAAAATTATCCCGAATTGTATTGGAAAGTGAATAAATGTGAAAAATAATTGAAATACAAATATTACTGATTATGAAAATTTGACAACGATAAAATCAGAATCAGTTTTTGGTTAAAATATATTGCTTAAGATTTTATTGCAAAAGAATCAATGTCACTCAACAAGTGCGCAGTTGATGCAGTTTTTCTCTGTGATATCTTAAAGACATTTGATAACGGGATCGGTTTCACTAAAATACTTCCGTAGGTTCAAAGCACGCCGCATATCTTGCAGCAGAGCTATCATGAAACTATCTCGATTCGTGAATACCGTATTTATCCTTGTATAATACGCACCCATAGATAATACTCACCTAAATTTTAGTATGTTGTTCACGGGAATTTTTTAAATTCCAATACGCATATAAGAATTCAGTTTCTCTCTTGCGTTGCAGGTGTTTTTTTCGACAAGTGTTTCAGGCATTCTGTCTGCCTGCCTTTTGCTAACTTTGTATTTGACCGTGAAACGCCTGCCAATCATGATGTAATGTTATTAATGACATTAAAGTTTCATGTAAAGGTATTTGTCTATCCTCCAAGGCCTGACGTCAGAATGTGTTTTCAGACGCCGCACTTCAAAAAGAAACCGTCGGTTTGAGTGACTTATGGTGATTTATGACGGTGAAGTTTTGTCGATTCGGCGAAAAAAAACAGAGAAACAGACCAGACAATGCCAGCAATTAATGGATGTACAGCAAGTTTTTACCACTTTCATTCCACGGTTATTTCGGACGCTTGAGTTTACGAACTGTTTCGCCTTTATCAACGCTTATTTGTTGTTGAACTGGGTATGCTTCTATATAATCAGGCATGATCTGATTCCACCAGACTTTGCCACATGAAATTGAGAACTTAAGATTATTAAATGTGACAGTTATAGCATAAAATGTGAATTAATATTTTTCAATATTTTCTAGACCAATGGATAATACGCACCCCCTTATTTGGGAGACTAAATCTGACTATGAAAGTGCGTATTATACGCAGAGAAATCGAGCGATACCGTTGTGACGTAACAAGCTAAAATTATAACTTGTAGCGTCAAACGTCACGCTACGGTGAGCCGGTTAATTTTATCCGCGCGGCGCGGCGGTGTGGCTAAACGGGCTAAGCGTTAGGAATACGCTCGCCACCGCACCTCTAATTACTCTGCGTGTGTTCGCAGGTTCGAATCCCAGGCAGGGATGGTTATGTGCGAGAGGATTGCTGGACTCCTCGCCGTCGTTGGGTGGTTCACGTAACCGCTGGTCGGTTACGGCTTCCTCCACCACCAAGTCCATGCTTCCGAAAACAAACAATACAGTAAAACTAATCCCATACCCGACTTGGAATGGTAACCGGACGAGAGGCCGTGGTTCGCCATATGGATAAGCCGTCTTATCGGCTTTCCTCTCCCCCGGGATAAATAGGTAAATCCTATCCTATCCTATCCTGTGAACGGTTAAAGTGTTTTCCCTGAAATTCCTAGCCCTAGCTTTTCGCGGATTTCTCGAAATGCAAGTGCATTTTGCAATCTTTTCATGGGATTTTACTTGCATTTGTTTTCTCGAACATTGACTACGGGCTGGTCGCGTTGTCGCAAAAGATCATTTCGGTTTGCCATTCGGAAATGTTATTTATTTTTATTGCCAAACAATATGAATTGGAAATCTTTAATAAATCTCATTTCAAATCGACTTTCCTGATAAGTCATTTTAGGCTTTTTGATGCAGTATAACTGCTGTCAAACTGACGAAGGAGTATTTTCTCACTTCTAAAAACGAGAGAATTCACTGGATTTACGGGGAACAAATAAAATAACTTGACACGTGTATTCAAAATGTTACGTGACTTACGTCCATATATATTAAACAGAGCATGGTCAAATTTATCATGCGTAGGCTACATTGCGAATGAATATTAATATGAACTCTCGCTGCACGCAACAAACGATCCTCGAACGACATTTCTTTCCCCCTTTATCTGACAACTACATCTTTAGTGTATTGTTTGGTTATTTGGCTTTCGATATTAACAATAACGACAATGTCAGAGTGGATTGCGTCTCTTTTGGCGGCCGAACAATCACTTACGAAGATTCTATTCATTCCTGATAGTCAGTGATTTTGTTTGTATCAGTGTAATATACTTTTCAATACAATACCGGTAATTGAACTTCAGAAACGGTATGGCGAACGAAGATAAACTCTAACGTGATGCATTAATTTGTTACATTTTGCTTTCATAAAATGTGATTGTCAGCGTGTATTATTTAACCAAGAATCGCGGCCAAGGAAAAGGATTTATATATTTATCCCGGGGGAGAGGAAACAGTTAGACGGCTTGATCATATGCATGGGAAACGGCCTTTTGTCCAATTACCAGTCCATGTCGGGTATGGGATTAGTCAGCCAATTGCAAATGTTCGCGGGTGCAATCTGAATGCGCGGTATTAACCTGTGGGTACAGACATGGGCGCAGTTTAGGGTACAGATGTGCTGTCAACACATCAGTTTCACTTACAAACATTTTTCTAAATGTCGCAGTCGTCTACTCATACGTTGGTTACCTGTTCGGCATTTTTTACCCAGTCAGCACAACCCAGTACGACATTGGAGACGCTTGAACTTCAAACGGCGGCGCCTTCATAGCTACCGCGTTAACGATTAATCGGATGAACTACCACAAGTGCCAAGGCCCGAATGGACCGTTCATGTTTTATGTTTAACTTAGTACTTGAGCAATCTTCATGGTTTTCCCCGCATGCAAGCGCGTACGTTGGTTCCTTTCGGAATTTCTTATCCCGTCAGCACAACCCAGGCGACATTGGAGACGCTTGAACTTCAAACGGAGGCGTCTTCATTAATCATCGCGTTAACCATTAATCGGATGAGCTACCACAAGTGCCAAGGCCCGAATTAACCGTTTATCATCTGTTTATTAACTTCGTACTTGCGCAATCTTCATGGTTCCCCGCATGCAAGCGCATATGTAATTTGTAATCTCATAGTTTGACTTTTTTGAATTTGTTTTGGCGGAAGAAATAATTAGTAATTACCAATTATCATCAGCCCAGAAACATCAACTGCGGACCAATCACGACGGCGCAAACTAACGTTTGACTTGCGATAATGGCAGTTTTGTCTGATTCTTGGGCGATAGAGCTTGGAAAGCCGTCTAATAACTCAAAAAAAAAAAACATCATTTTAACGTTGGTAGACTTCTGCGCGTTGTTGACAAACGATCCTCGAACGACATTTCTTTCCCCCTTTATCTGACAACTACATCTTTAGTGTATTGTTTGGTTATTTGGCTTCCGATATTAACAATAACGACAATGTCAGAGTGGATTGCGTCTCTTTTGGCGGCCGAACAATCACTTACGAAGATTCTATTCATTCCTGATAGTCGGTGATTTTGTTTGTACCAGTGTAATATACTTTTCAATACAATACCGGTAATTGAACTTCAGAAACGGTATGGCGAAGGAAGATAAACTCTAACGTGATGCATTAATTTGTTACATTTTGCTTTCATAAAATGTGATTGTCAGCGTGTATTATTTAACCAAGAATCGCGGCCAAGGAAAAGGATTTATATATTTATCCCGGGGGAGAGGAAACAGACGGCTTGATCATATGGGAAACGGCCTTTTGTCCAATTACCAGTCCATGTCGGGTATGGGATTAGTCAGCCAATTGCAAATGTTCGCGGGTGCAATCTGAATGCGCGGTATTAACCTGTGGGTACAGACATGGGCGCAGTTTAGGGTACAGATGTGCTGTCAACACATCAGTTTCACTTACAAACATTTTCCTAAATGTCGCAGTCGTCTACTCATACGTTGGTTACCTGTTCGGCATTTTTTACCCAGTCAGCACAACCCAGTACGACATTGGAGACGCTTGAACTTCAAACGGCGGCGCCTTCATAGCTACCGCGTTAACGATTAATCGGATGAACTACCACAAGTGCCAAGGCCCGAATGGACCGTTCATGTTTTATGTTTAACTTAGTACTTGAGCAATCTTCGTGGTTTTCCCCGCATGCAAGCGCGTACGTTGGTTCCTTTCGGAATTTCTTATCCCGTCAGCACAACCCAGGCGACATTGGAGACGCTTGAACTTCAAACGGAGGCGTCTTCATTAATCATCGCGTTAACCATTAATCGGATGAGCTACCACAAGTGCCAAGGCCCGAATTAACCGTTCATCATCTGTTTATTAACTTCGTACTTGCGCAATCTCCATGGTTCCCCGCATGCAAGCGCATATGTAATTTGTAATCTCATAGTTTGACTTTTTTGAATTTGTTTTGGCGGAAGAAATAATTAGTAATTACCAATTATCATCAGCCCAGAAACATCAACTGCGGACTAATCACGACGGCGCAAACTAACGTTTTGACTTGCGATAATGGCAGTTTTGTCTGATTCTTGGGCGATAGAGCTTGGAAAGCCGTCTAATAACTCGAAAAAAAAACATCATTTTAACGTTGGTAGACTTCTGCGCGTTGTTGACAAATTGGCAAAGGGTTATTGCTTCATTTTAAAAAACGAGAGTATGACATCGATTCAAGAAAAATTTCACGGCGAAAAACGAGGATCACGAGACAGTTGCATCACGATATCAGAACATTGCAGCAGTAATGTTGCCGAGTTTTTGTTTTGTCAAATTCCATATTTGCACTCCATATTAAAGGTTTGAGTGTGAGTTATGACATGGGTAGGTCAGTAAATAATCCACTGATTCAAGCAATTATTTGGCTTTTATCATTTTAAATTGAGTTATAAGCACTGCTTCATATTTTAAATCGTGTCCATATTTTTTTGTATACTCGTATTATTCTTATTTTATTTTTTGGTGGGTGGGCACGTACTTGTACGTTTTTTAACTTTATTTTAAGATATGCTCGAAGTTATGCTCGCCTTCCAGGTATCTCTGTATTTGTTGTCTGTTTACTTTTTTGTATTATTGCGTTTTAGTCAGAGAGCCGAGATAAAATGATTGATAGATTCAACAGCGAAATTAACTACCGTATTCATCTACCTGGACTACTAAATATGTAGGAATTTATTGTTTGTTTGATGATGTTGTAATGTGAGACGTGCGTACAGATGCGATAATTGAAGATGCCTGGATGCGGACCATAAACTCTGAAAGTAAATAATAATCTGATAACAGGATATTAACGAGTAACTTTTGAAAATGAAATACTAATATTTAAGACACTCAACGAGCACTGGAGCATATGATATTCTTTTTTTTAAGTTCTCAATCCGGACATATGATACTGTAATTATGGGTGAAAGTGTTGCTTAATTTCTCACTGCCTTAGGGCTGTAGGGTGGTTAGCTCATGTAACTGCTGGTCGCTTACCGGACTGCTTTCTCTATCATCAAGTCCACGCAACTGCATAACAAATAGTGCAACCAAGATCATAGCCAGCCCAAAATATCTTGAAGAATCTCGATACAGACTTATTTCGCTGTCTAAATTATCCAAGCTAGAAAAGTGCAAATGGCTTTCCTCTCTTGTAAGTTAGACATGGAAATCTTATGATATTCTCTAAGCCTAAATTCATTATTTTTAAAAGGCCAATATGACCCACTAAAAATTCATGTCAAATAGGGAAATTAGTGTGTAATTTCTAACACATCAAATCAAACTGTATTGCAAAGCTATTATTTCAGATTGTCATTTATTCATTTGTATTTGTTCACCTCAGTTTTCAGGTTTTTGTTTGTAACTAGTTAATTTATGAAATGCTGTGGAAGATATGTATTTTAGGCACAGTTGTACTGTTAAGTATAGCTTCATGTCCGGTTGAAAGCAGGACAACACAAACTGATATTGTGAAAGGTGTAATCAGAAATGGTAAATTTTTTGGTATTTTTTATTCAGTATTGTTGCTTATTGCCTTAAAATTTTTTCTTCTATGGAAAGTGTAATATGTGAAATGAGCTCAAATCTCAATTTTTTGTATAGTAGATTTTCTGACATATCCAAAAATCGAAATTAATTCTTAAATATAATTTCTCCTACTGGGAAAACATGCAAGCGCTGTACATGTATGTTGTTTGTATTTTATACGTTTCAGGTAAAAAATAGTTTTTACTGTTCCATAATATTTTAACCAAATAATTGTTTTCTGCAGCATTCACAGTGAAGGATGTGAAATGTGGCAACACCACTTCAACCTGCAATGACAATTACACATGTTGTATGATTACACCCACTGTATTTGGGTGCTGCGACCTAAAAGAGGTGAAAAAATTTATGTTGGCATAAAATCGTAATATTTTTTTAATCATGGACAATAATTTTTTTGTGTTGAGTATAAATTTCCGATTTTCAGTGTGCTAAACACATGAAGTTTTTAATCAGTGTTATATATCCCTAGAGACTGCTTTTATTGAGCCTTGCTCAATGCAAAATTAAGCGCATTAGGAAGAAGACTGCTATGATTTAGGATGACAAGACCCTAAGCGAGCAATTTTTTTTAAAACTCATTTCGCAATTAAATAACGAAGAAAACTTTTCTTTGGAGAACCAGATGCAACAAATTACAGAGCATGGCAGTTGTATTAATTGAAGCTTTGTATTCAATTTCCTGGTACAATTTGATTGAAATTATGCACAAATTTTTTTTGTTCTTTCGTCAAATTATTCTAGCCAAGCAGACACTTTTGAAATGATTCCGTTTTTAGAAATTGCTTTTTGTTTATGCTGAGTTAATTTTTTTAACAGGCAGTCTGCTGCGAGGATCATAAAAGCTGTTGTCCACATGGATATAAATGTGATATTGAACATAAAAAATGCATCCCTACTTTATCTGGTGATGCTGTTTCTCTCAAATTATTGTCAACAGCAAATGGAAAGGTACATTCCTGCATTTTTGTTGACCAACTTGGCATTTTCAAGAATTTTCTCAAATTGAGAGTGAAACGGAACGCTTGTAAACACTTGCTGTCAAGGAGTTAAATTTTTTACTTGCTGTCAAATAAATTATCCCAAATGTAATAAAAGTAGAAATCTAGAATCTTTTTGTACTTTTTCAGAAAGAAAATGTCAAAAATGTTCAAAAAGATGTCGTGTGTCCTGATAAAATTTCCTATTGTCCAGAAAACACGACTTGTTGCTCCGTTGGGAAGGGACAATACGGATGCTGCCCCTACCAAGAGGTATTTTATTTTAAATTATTTGAAATCATGTTTGATTGACCATAAATCATAGATAAACTAGTGCTGATTTAAATCATGTTTGGTTGAGCATAAGCCATAGATAAACTATAATGCTGCTGAATAGGCTTAAAATGTCATAAACATGTGATTTTTGAAATAGGTCTGTTGGCATTTCTAGTTTCCTTCCTGACTGACTGTTTGTATAGTGTAGGTGCAAATTTCCTTAGATGACTAAGTTTTGTTAAGTTTTATATGTGGCTTATCTGTGTCTAAATATGAATGCCAAGTGTAAGGAGGAAAAATCTGCCAATTCATATCTAAAACCACAAACTTCAGTAGTTAAGTATCGCTTTAGGTTATTTCTGAAATCTTATCATGTGATTGTTTGATGTTAACTGTATTTTGTATTTTGCAATAACAAATACACACATATATATCAAGATAATAGTTCAAAATTGAAAGTTGAAAATTGTATTTTAGTGAAACTATAAAATAAATTTTAAAATCTTCGTTTCATATGTCTTTCACTGTTAACAAGTCTCTATTCAAGCAAACATTGCTAAGTATGGAGCTATCATATTCTAACGACTAGAATCTTTATGCTTTATCATAGTCTACCCAGGTTATTACACTTGGAGTGTGTTGTGCTGGTGATCATGGTTTTAAGCTAGAAATTTATACGAAATTGAATATTCATAATGGTCAAATAATTTTTTTAAACAAAATAAATAACATTGAAGGAAGTGCTTTTTTACAAAAAAAAATGCAATATTGTGAAAGAATTTACTTTGACACATATTGAGATTTCTTTTTTTGCTTTTTCATTCCATGACATCCTGTTACCTTGTGAACCATTGATTGATTTTATTTAAATTTTTTTTATCACGTTTTGGTCTTGTCTCTGGTCATGTGACTATTGCATAACAGTTGCTTGAAAGAATTCTGATTGGCTTATAATGCCTAGCTATGTAATTGACCGTGCGCGATACTTCGCTGCCAATATTTTCACACTTGCTATTATTGATAAATGTAAGGATGTATATTAATCACACATCCGAAGTATATTCAATTTGACATAGTGATTGTGCATTTTAACAATCTTTTACTATATCTTTATTCTTGATTTATTAGCAAGTAATAGGATTTTATTGTACCACTCTGTTTTTGTAATTATAAACTTTATATTTTTATGTCCAAATTCAGGCACTTTTGATTTTTCAGAGTAGTAATTTACTATTATTAGTATTACTGGTCTTATAATATATATCTACTATGTATCTCTTTTTTCAGGCTGTCTGTTGTAAAGATGGCGTCCATTGCTGTCCGAAAGGCTACACTTGTGATTTGGTAGACCAATCATGTACAAAATCAGATCATAAACTTAAACTAGAGAAAATTGTAATGAATATTCCTGAAATTTCTATAAAGAATTTACGAAGTAAGTATGCAAACTTTAGTAGAGCATCCTTATCTTAATTAACAGTTACCATTCAAATATAGTTTCTGCTATGCGGCTCTTGTTTTGGTGCCGCTTGTGCACAATTTTCATTTAACCTCAAACATCGGGCTTTTACCTAAGCTTGATCGGGCATTCAATTTGTATACAATTTGTGATAATGATAATAATTTTAATAATAATAGTAATATGCTCTTCAGTTCAATTTTTAAGAAAAAAGGGATTTAAAGTGTGTCTTTATGGTCGGTAAAATATGATACTTGAGTGGTATAAGTTATTACTTATCAATTTTAAACCGTAAGTATGTTGATAGGTATGTATTTGTCTGTCTGTCTGTCTGTCTGTCTGTATGTATGTATGTCTGTTTGTCTGTTAGATGCACGTGATATCTCACGAAAGCGATGAATGCATGTGCATTCATCATATGTCGGACCAGAAACCTATTGATTTTGGATGAATTATGTCATATAATTAGCGAGTTATCAATTAATTAGTGATGGGACACAAGGTGTCACTATGGAGTAAGAGCACTTTTTTGGGGGATCCCCTAACTTTTGATTGATCAGTCTTCGGTCTCTGACCGATATTCTCGTTTTGATGTTAATCAGTGTTTTTATTTAGATCTAGGCTCCATAACATGTCCTGATAGAAGATCCCAATGTCCTGATGGTACTACATGCTGTAAACTTGCAACTGGTACTTATGGATGCTGTCCTATTGAACATGTATGCAATTTTTTATGCTCTCATATCAGTTTTGTTATGAATATGCAATTTTCAATGCTCTTTATGCTCTTTTTTATTAGCAATTTCATTTTGATTATTATGTCTTTATTTAGGCTGTTTGTTGCGAGGATGGACTCCATTGTTGCCCCAATGGTTATAGATGTGATACAGGCGCTGGAACTTGTGTAAAATCAGGATCAGAAATTAGAATGCTAACAACAATTGTGTCACAGCAAATATTAACCACCGCAAAGATGGATGTACATGATACAGGTGGACTTGAAAATTAATCCCCTCTGCAAACTGTATTGTACGTATATAATTTATGCCATCCAGCGATAAATTTACAAAAAAATTCGAGCAATTAAATTCAAAGTATGAGTCATCTGTCTGAACAGTCTGATTTACATAAATAAGCATGGCAACTCAGTTCGGGGACTGTCTATGTTATCCAAGTGAATATACCCCCTGCCCATAGGCTTCCGTCCCTTCACACAACTGGATGTAAAATAGGTGAACATAATTAGTTACCCCCATATTGGTACACATACTTCTGGAGCGCTGATTTTTAATCTCCCAACTTTAACCAATTTTAAGCCTCTGATACCTGTAGATCAGAACATTTATTTCATATTTCTTATAATTTCAGTCGACAGCTCTACATGTTCTGATGGTTCTCAATGTCCCGGAATAGAAACATGTTGCAAACTCAAATCTGGTGCATGGGGATGTTGTCTCTATCCTAATGCAACATGTTGTGTGGACGGTGTTCATTGCTGCCCAAGCACATACAATTGTGTGAGCGGAAAATGCGTCAAAAAAGGAGAAATTATAGTTGAAGCTCTTGAAAAAGTACCAGCTGTGAGAGGTTTGGATGCTAATGTGTTAGTTTCTTAGCGGAGGAAAATATGAAACATTGGACTTTTTGTGCTTAGAGCAGTGGCTCTCAAACTTTTTAAACCGCGCCCCCTTTTAGAATTTGTCAAGTCTCGCACTCCACCTCAAAAATAACTACCTAATAGGAAGCTACAAATAACAGATAGTAAGGCGAAAGTACGTTTTATTCAAAAAACATGTTGAAAATATGTGGATGAAACATAAATATTCAAAATAAAGAAATGTACATATCCAAAATGAGGCAGGCAAGATCAAATCTAATAATTAATGAATGTTTTTATCTTTGATTAGCTTCATGCTCCCTCAAAAATTGTCTACTACCCATCTGTGGGCACACCCCATCGTTTGAGTCATAGTCATAGTCAATTTTATTTTTTCCAACCAGCAAAAAAATAACATACAAAATCAAAAAATAACATACAAAATTTAACACACATTTTTACTGGGGAAGGGAAGCCGCGGGGAACCAAATTTGGTTATCGAGCAGCGACACCCAAGAGCCACTGGTTTAGAGTGAGTACCACTGGTTTAGAGTGTTTTACCCCGGATTCTTGTGTTAAGCGCTAGAATACTCTTACTCCATCGCAACCTGATTACACTTCGTGGGGTCAAAGGTTGGAATCCTAAAAATTCTGATTGATTGATATTTGTGTTTTAGTTTCGAATGTGATCTGTCCTGATGGTCAATCAGAATGTCTAGATGGAAGTACTTGCTGTAAATTAGGTTCTGGACAATATGGATGTTGCCCTATTCCTAAGGTAAGATTACACAATTTCAACGAATACACTATTAAATTTGTTTTAAAATATGCATTATTGCGTTGTTTAGGCTGTCTGTTGTGCGGATGGAAAACACTGTTGTCCCCAAGGTTATGCTTGCCATGTTTCAGCAGGAACCTGTGTGAAAGGACTGGAAACAATCAAGGCATTGCTGAAGATACCAGCATCGGGTATAATTAGAAAGGATTTGGGAATTTATTTTCGAATTATTTTGACAACTCTTCTTGTTAGGCTAGTCTGAACTCTTAGCTAGACATGTATACAAATTACTATTTAATTTCTCGTATTTCAGTTCCAAATGTGATCTGTCCTGATGGTGAATCGCAATGTCCAGATGGAAGTACATGTTGTAAATTAAGTTCTGGACAATATGGATGTTGCCCTGTTCCTAGGGTAAGTTTTTCATAATTTTATTAATGAATATGACTTTGAAATTTGAGAGCTCCCGAAGTAAATGGCGCACAACCTGATCATAGTATGTGTACCAGGTTGGAGTTCAGGTTGTGCGACCTTGGTGCACATATTTCGAGGGCACCAAAATTTGTTATAAATTATTAAGACAATATCAAACTTATTTTCAGGCTGTCTGTTGTGACGATGGAATGCATTGTTGTCCTGAAGGTTATACTTGTCATGTTTCAGCAGGAACATGTACGAAGGGACTTGAAACCATCAAGGCTTTGTTGAAGATACCAGCATCAGGTATCATCTCAATAATGTTTGTATAGGAGTTTCTAATCTATAAATTTTATTTTGCAATTCATTTTGGTGTCGGTCAACCCAAATAAAATCTAAATAAAATATTTCAAATTTTTTGGGTTTTGGGCAACCTTTTTGTATTATTTTTATAAAAAGTGGAAGGCTATAATGCATATTTATTTTGCTACGTTTTGAAATTTGAAATTTTTTCTTGAAAGTTTTGAGCATTTATACTTTTTTTAATATTTTTTTATAATTAATTTTAGATTACTGTTCGGATATTATATGCATTCTCATCCCAGTAATTTTGTAACGACATACAAATTCTGTTCAATTTCTAAAATGGTATATTGCTCATAGAAAAATCTAAATAATTTTATATAAATAGCATAAAGATTATCATAAGAGGGTCCTGTGTTCAAAGTGCTCCCTATTCACTGATCAATTTTTCTTTGTTTCAGTTTCAAATGTGATCTGTCCTGATGGTCGATCAGAATGTCCAGATGGAAATACATGTTGTAAATTAAGTTCTGGACAATATGGATGTTGCCCTGTTCCTAGGGTAATTTTTCATGATTTTACCAAATATAAGTATTTACTTTGCTACAGATTCAGCAATATCAAACTTATTTTTAGGCTGTCTGTTGTAAGGATGGAATGAATTGTTGTCCTGAAGGTTATACTTGCGATTCAGCAGGAAGATGTACGAAGGGACTTGAAAATATCAAGGCTTTGCTTGAGATACCAGCATCAGGTATGACCACCTCGTGTTCAAGGTTGCTCAAGGTTTCGTCGAAAGTCTACGAAATTTAACCATCACTACGCTAATATCCCATGGCAATCTATGGCCATAAAAATGTTTGGTAAATTGTCCCTATATATTCAGTTTTAATTCAAAATGATTCGATTTTGTGAATTCGTCATTGGCGTTAGAAAAATCTGCAATAAAATGCTGAAGAGTACAATTTATTTCAATACGAATTGAACATACTTTACATTTCTTAGCTTATAATATCATCATAATCCAGGAAATAAGTCTCAATGTGACTACGACATTAAGTTATAAAATTGAAGACTTCAGTGACTATGGTATAGTCTCCTAAATTTTCAACTAAGCATAATGTGTGTCGCAGTCACATGGAATTTTGTTGATTTACAGCGTCTGAAATGACGTTTTTTTATCTGTCACATGGTTCCTAAAACGATCTATAGTGTTTTCAGTTGTATTTTTAATATTTCATAACACCGTTTTTCATTCTTGTTATTCGCTCCTGCAATCATTTTTATAGAGTCTTGTCAACGATTACCCCTTGATGCAATCTGATATGCAAATCACTTTTTAGCTTTTGTCTTTGTTTCAGTGCCCAATGTGATCTGTCCTGATGGTGATTCCGAATGTCCAGATGGAAGTACATGTTGTAAATTAAGTTCCGGACAATATGGATGTTGCCCTATTCCCAAGGTAAGTTTGTCCTAATTTTAATGTGTTTAGATGTTCAAATTAGTTACAAACAAAGACTATATCAAACTTATTTTCAGGCTGTCTGTTGTAACGATGGAATGCATTGTTGTCCTGAAGGTTATACTTGTCATGTTTCAGCAGGAACTTGTACGAAGGGACCTGAAATCATCAAGGCTTTGTTGAAGATACCAGCATCAGGTATGTAATGTTTGAATATGAGATTCCATAAAATTTGTTTTGCAAGTAATTTTCATATTGGACTACATGAATGAAAATCTTAAAGCTTGAAATTAAATATGCTGAAAATTTTGAATCGGTGTAATTAAATTTTTGGGGAAAACCTTGTGCCTTTTTTTATTAAAATTTGTAGGTGAAGATGTATATTTATGTTGGAAAGGTTCTGGAAAATGTTTGGCAAATAATCATATTGTAGTTCGAGCTTATGATCAAAACCTGACTTGTACTTCTCTAATGGGAAACTAATTTGGTATTTGTACAAGAGATCTATACAATGTGCTCAAAGTTGGCACCATAGCTTACTCAGTGAAATATCTAGACAAAGGGAATACTAAAGAGTGGAGGTTTCATGTGTAAAATAGGAATAACTACCCCTGATTACTATATGGAAGTCCAGTAATTATATCAGGGTAGGTGACATTTTGAGGCTGCTTGTTTTAATATTGTTGTAAAGAGAAAAGTATATCCATTTTTCAAAGTGCAACTCACAATAACTTGTAATTGTCCATTTTAGTTTTTGCAAGCCACTGAGTCGTTTTGCACAATAATATATCCATTTCTCCTTGTCAAAAACTGTTGTCAAGATATTTTATCATCACTAATCAGTCAATTGTTTCTATATTTCAGTTTCAAATGTGATCTGTCCTGATGGTCGATCGGAATGTCCAGATGGAAATACATGTTGTAAATTGAGTTCTGGACAATATGGATGTTGCCCTGTTCCTAGGGTAAGTTTTTATGATTTTAACAAATATAAGTATTTACTTTGCTACAGATTCAGCAATATCAAACCTTTTTTTAGGCTGTCTGTTGTAAGGATGGAATGAATTGTTGTCCTGAAGGTTATACTTGCGATTCAGCAGGAAGATGTACGAAGGGACTTGAAAATATCAAAGCTTTGCTTAAGATACCAGCATCAGGTATGACCACCTCGTGTTCAAGGTTGCTCAAGGTTTCGTCGAAAGTCTACGAAATTTAACCATCACTACACTAATATCCCATGGCAATCCATGGCCATAAAAATGTTTGGTAAATTGTCCCGTTATATTCAGTTTTAATTCAAAATGATTCGATTTTGTGAATTCGTTATTGGGGTTAGAAAAATCTGCAATAAAATGCTGTAGAGTACAATTTATTTCAATACGTATTGAACATACTTTACATTTCTTAGCTTATATATCATCATAATCCAGGAAATAAGTCTCAATGTGACTACGACATTAAGTTATAAAATTGAAGACTTCAGTGACTATGGTATAGTCTCCTAAATTTTCAACTAAGCATAATGTGTGTCGCAGTCACATGGAATTTTGTTGATTTACAGCGTCTGAAATGACATTTTCTTTTATCTGTCACATGGTTCCTAAAACGATCTATAGTGTTTTCAGTTCTATTTTTAATATTTCATAACACCGTTTTTCATTCTTGTTATTCGCTCCTTCAATCATTTTTATAGAGTCTTGTCAACGATTACCCCTTGATGCAATCTGATATGCAAATCACTTTTTAGCTTTTGTCTTTGTTTCAGTGCCCAATGTGATCTGTCCTGATGGTGAATCGGAATGTCCAGATGGAAGTACATGTTGTAAATTAAGTTCTGGACAATATGGATGTTGCCCTATTCCCAAGGTAAGTTTGTCCTAATTTTAATGTGTTTAGTTGTTCAAATTAGTTACAAACAAAGACTATATTAAACTTATTTTCAGGCTGTCTGTTGTGATGATGGAATGCATTGTTGTCCTGAAGGTTACACTTGTCATGTTTCAGCAGGAACTTGTACGAAGGGACCTGAAACCATCAAGGCTTTGTTGAAAATACCAGCATCAGGTATAAACTTTGTAATGTTTTAATATGAGATTCTATAAAATTTGTTTTGCAAGTAATTTTCATATTGGACTACATGAATAAAAAGCTTATTAAGCTTGAAATTAAATATGCTGAAAATTTTGAATCAGTGCAATTAAACTTTTGGAAAAACCTTGTGCCTTTATTTATTAAAATTTGTAAGTGATGTATATTTATGTTGGAAAGGTTCTGGAAAATGTTTGGCAAATATTCATATTGTAGTTCGAGCTTATGATCAAAACCTGACTTGTACGTCTCTAATGGGAGTCTGATTTGGTATTTGTACAAGAGATCTATACAATGTGCTCCAAGTTGGCACCATAGCTTACACAGTGAAATATCTAGACGAAGGGAATACTAAAGAGTGGAGGTTTCATGTGAAAAATAGGAATAACTACCCCTGATTACTATATGGTAGTCCAGTAATTATATTAGGGTTGGTGACATTTTGAGACTGCTTGTTCTAATAGTGTAAAGAGAAGTATATCCATTTTTTAAAGTGCAACTCACAATAACTTGTAATTCTCCATTTTAGTTTTTGCAAGCCACTGAGTCGTTTTGGACAATAATATATCCATTTCTCCTTGTCAAAAACTGTTGTCAAGATATTTTATCTTCAGTCATCACTAATCAGTCAATTGTTTCTATGTTTCAGTTTCAAATGTGATTTGTCCTGATGGTCGATCGGAATGTCCAGATGGAAGTACATGTTGTAAATTGAGTTCTGGACAATATGGATGTTGCCCTGTTCCTAGGGTAAGTTTTTATGATTTTAACAAATATAAGTATTTACTTTGCTACAGATTCAGCAATATCAAACTTATTTTTAGGCTGTCTGTTGTAAGGATGGAATGAATTGTTGTCCTGAAGGTTATACTTGCGATTCAGCAGGAAGATGTACGAAGGGACTTGAAAATATCAAAGCTTTGCTTAAGATACCAGCATCAGGTATGACCACCTCGTGTTCAAGGTTGCTCAAGGTTTTGTCGAAAGTCTACAAAATTTAACCATCACTACACTAATATCCCATGGCAATCTATGGCCATAAAAATGTTTGGTAAATTGTCCCATTATATTTAGTTTTAATTCAAAATGATTCGATTTTGTGAATTCGTCATTGGCGTTAGAAAAATCTGCAATAAAATGCTGAAGAGTACAATTTATTTCAATACGTATTGAAAATACTTTACATTTCTTAGCTTATATATCATCATAATCCAGGAAATAAGTCTCAATGTGACTACGACATTAAGTTATAAAATTGAAGACTTCAGTGACTATGGTATAGTCTCCTAAATTTCAACTAGGCATAATGTGTGTCGCAGTCACATGGAATTTTGTTGATTTACAGCGTCTGAAATGACGTTTTTTTTATCTGTCACATGGTTCCTAAAACGATCTATAGTGTTTTCAGTTGTATTTTTAATATTTCATAACACCGTTTTTCATTCTTGTTATTCGCTCCTGCAATCATTTTTATAGAGTCTTGTCAACGATTACCCCTTGATGCAATCTGATATGCAAATCACTTTTTAGCTTTTGTCTTTGTTTCAGTGCCCAATGTGATCTGTCCTGATGGTGATTCCGAATGTCCAGATGGAAGTACATGTTGTAAATTAAGTTCCGGACAATATGGATGTTGCCCTATTTCAAAGGTAAGTTTGTCCTAATTTTAATGTGTTCAGTTGTTCAAATTAGTTACAAACAAAGACTATATCAAACTTATTTTCAGGCTGTCTGTTGTAACGATGGAATGCATTGTTGTCCTGAAGGTTATACTTGTCATGTTTCAGCAGGAACTTGTACGAAGGGACCTGAAACCATCAAGGCTTTGTTGAAAATACCAGCATCAGGTATAATCTTTGTAATGTTTGAATATGAGATTCTATAAAATTTGTTTTGCAAGTAATTTTCATATTGGACTACATGAATAAAAATCTTATTAAGCTTGAAATTAAATATGCTGAAAATTTTGAATCTGTGTAATTGAACTTTTGGGAAAAAACCTTGTGCCTTTTTTTATTAAAATTTGTAAGTGATGATGTATATTTATGTTGGAAAGGTTCTGGAAAATGTTTGGCAAATATTCATATTGTAGTTCGAGCTTACGGCCAAAATCTGACTTGTACTGCTCTAATGGGAGACTAATTTGGTATTTGTACAAGAGATCTATACAATGTGCTCCAAGTTAACACCATTGCTCATTTGGTGAAATATCTAGACAAAGGGAATACTACAGAGTGGAGGTTCATATGTAAAATAAAAATAACTACTCCTGATTACTATATGGTAGTCCAGTAATTATATCAGGGTAGGTGACATTTTGAGGCTGCTTGTTTTAATATTGTTGTAAAGAGAAAAGTATATCCATTTTTCAAAGTGCAAGTCACAATAACTTGTAATTGTCCATTTTAGTTTTTGCAAGCCACTGAGTCGTTTTGGACAAAAATTTATTTATTTCCCCTCGTCAAAAACTGTTGTCAAGATATTTTATACCTTACTAATCAGTCAATTGTTTCTATGTCTCAGTTTCGAATGTGATCTGTCCTGATGGTCAATCAGTATGTCCAGATGGAAGTACATGTTGTAAATTAAGTTCTGGACAATATGGATGTTGCCCCGTTCCTAAGGTAAGTTTTCATGATTTTATTATTTGCAATATTTCGAATTGATTTTTATAAAATTATTTTTTTTACATATATGCATTGTTGAATTTATTCTAGGCGGTCTGTTGCAAGGATGGAATGCATTGTTGTCCTGAAGGTTATAATTGTGATGTTTCAGCAGGAACATGTACAAAGGGACCTGAAACCATCAAGGCATTGTTGAAGATACCAGCATTGAGTAAGCCCAAAATAACAACGTTGTTAAAACCAATATGTGCTATTTATATATATCTTCTATTAAATATTTTACTGTTAAGAAAGCTTGATAAGTTAACCGAATACTAATTGTTATTGTTCAATGTCAATTTCATGAAATACATTACTAATAGGCCTGCTTACATTGTTGTACAATATTAATGCTTCAATTTTTATTTTCAATGTAGATGTCAATGAAAAAACATGTCCTGATGGTAAATCTAGATGTCCAGATGGAACTACTTGTTGCAAATTACAAAGTGGAGAATATGGATGTTGTCCGTTAGCAAAAGTACGTAGAAGTATTTTAATTTCAGATCTTTTGAAAATTTGTATGAAATATTTGGGTAGAGGAAAGCGACTACGATCTGCGGAAATTCTTTTACAAAAATGACTGAATTTTTTGTGTGTTTTTAGGCTGTTTGTTGTTCTGATGGTGTGCACTGTTGTCCCAATGGTTACACGTGCGATTCAAGTAGTGGGACTTGTTCCAAAGGATCTGAAGTTATCAAAGCATTGACAAAGATCGCTGCAAAAGGTATTTATTTAACTTCTGTATTATAATTCAGTCGCCATGATCATTTTGCATTGTGAATGTACACGAACTGTTTTAGGTATCAATGACGTCGTATGCCCTGATGGTCACTCTTCGTGTCCAGATGGAAGTACCTGCTGTAAACTATTTTCTGGACAATGGGGTTGCTGTCCTTTGCCGAAAGTAAGTAATTCTTAATTTAATTTGAAACGTTTTGATAAAATTTATAATTTTTATATATCTGTGTTCACTTTTAGGCTGTTTGTTGCAATGATGGGGAACACTGTTGTCCAGCAAGTTATAGTTGTGATACAACTGGAGGAACATGTACTAAAGGAACCGAAACAATCCAATCCGCATTGAAAATATCTGCTATGGGTAATATATGCTTGATAATTGTTGATATAATTGTCGAAACTTGTAGTTCAAAAAACTGTCAATATACAGTTTCAATCACGAAACAAAGAAGAATCGAATTTTTTTCAAGTCCTAATGACTGAAGTTTTAAATGTGAAAATTTAATATTTCTTTTTTGGTGGTTGAGTGCTAGTAACATGCTTGTCATTACACTCTGTATGGGTTCTGTATGTTTTTATTATTATTATTTAGGAGCTAATTCTGTTACCTGTCCTGATGGTCAGTCACAATGTCCAGATGGAACTACTTGCTGTAAATTATCTTCTGCACGATGGGGATGCTGTCCTTTACCAAACGTAAGTAATTCACAAGTGAATTTGGAATACGCTTTGACCTTTGAGATAAAATTTACAATAATTCTCCATATTTGTGTTCACTTCCAGGCTGTTTGTTGCAATGATGGGGAACACTGTTGTCCAGGAGGTTATACTTGTGATACAACTGGAGGAACATGTACTAAAGGAATTGAAACCATCAAATCATTGCTGAAAACGTCTGTGATTGGTAATGATTAACTTTAACACCTAGCATTCAGATCTGCTAAAATTTCTCGATTGAGCGCACAAACAGATATTTGCTCATCATGGTTTCATGTAATATATGATACCGTGTTTCATAAGATGTCAAATATGTTGAATTTCACTGAATTTCCATTTTTTTCTGAAGTGTTTTCACTCCAAATAAAGCTATATATATATATAGTTAGGTCTAGCACTCCAAATTTGCTGGTATCTGCCTTTATTTCCATATTGCTGGTTGTCTATCTCTTTGCATGCACACTATGAAAGCGCACCGTTCTAAGCGTTACGTCGCACTTCTTGATTATTCTGTGCAAGTTCGATAACTAATGGGATGAATATGTGAGGAAGGATTGCTGTACTCGCTGCCATTAAAAAGTTCATGCATCTAAAGCAAATAACTGTTCAACTATTAGCATGCCCACATTGACTGGTAACTCCACAAGAGACCACAAGGCTAGAGATGGAAGTTTTGAATATTTACCCCGTTTTCCAAACTGGATTTCTATGATGACCGAATTTTAATCTGACATGTATTGCTTATTTCAGGTCTCAATTCTGTGATCTGTCCTGGGGGCCAGGCTCAATGTCCAGATGGAACTACTTGCTGTAAATTATCTTCTGGACAATGGGGTTGTTGCCCTATTCCTAAGGTAATTGCAAATTTAAACAAAAATGATGTCACAATAATTTTGATGGTAAATGTGTGAATATGTTCACTCTTAGGCTGTTTGTTGCAATGATGGGGAACACTGCTGTCCCGAAGGTTATACTTGTGATACAACTGGAGGAACTTGTATTAAAGGAACTGAAACAATCAAATCTTTAATGAAAACATCTGCAATTGGTAATGATAACTCTAACATTATACCCTTCCATCCAAATTCTCTCTAATTTCTGTTTGAGAGCAGAAACAAACATTTGCATATTATATTTTCATAGTATAGTTTCAGCATTGAATATTTAATTTCTGAATTTTTATTTTTTTATTGAAGTTTCTTAGATCTTCACTCTGAGCAAGGATCTGTAGAAGCAGTCGTTGATGATTTTTGTGGTTCATTATTGCCTACCCGATTTATTACACGCTTGGTGAGGTCATGAGGTTAAACGTATGATCTCTAACTTGTGACGGCAGCATAGTTAGGTTAGGTCCCATGTTTTGAACACTAGACCACTACCACTCCAATTCTGCCAGTTTTATTCTCAAAGTTTTTTACCACTGTCGATAAGTTCAATTAACAAAATGTTTGTGCTGATTGTCCATCTTTTTACAAGATTATGTAGTTTGAATACTGGCACATATGATAATTCTGTACGAGAAGAGTGCTGGACTCCTTGTTGTTGTAGCATCAATTTTGTGCATCTGAAACTAATAACTATAAAGAATAGGTGCTCTTCGCTCACTGTGATGACTATGAAACTGCTATCCTATTGTCCTCATTTCTTATGATGCAACAATTGCAAACAGATGTCCAAAATATTACCCTGTACCTTATAGATCTTCCAAATAGTGGGAAGAGTTTGGAAAATGACCAAACTGCAACTTCTGACACTATCTCAACAGCCCTAAGGCTAATCGTATCAAAAATTGAAATTAATTGCAAATGGCAAATACCACTCGTTTTACTCTTTTCAAATGGGAAAATTCTGATTGAGTTATGGAACTCTGTTTTCTGAAATATCCGAACTGATGATTATAATCTGATTTATATTATTTGCTTCAGAACTCAATTCTGTAATCTGTCCTGGTGGTCAGTCTCAATGTCCAGATGGAACTACATGCTGTAAATTATCTTCTGGACAATGGGGATGTTGTCCTATTCTTCATGTAAGTTGGAAATTTAAAATAAAAAGCTTCACAAAATGGCATTCTGGTGAAAATATAAATTGTGTTTACTTTTAGGCCGTTTGTTGTAATGATGGGGAACACTGCTGTCCTGAAGGTTATACTTGTGATACAACTGGAGGAACTTGTATTAAAGGAACTGAAACCATCAGATCATTGTTGAAAACATCTGCAATTGGTAATGATTAACTCTATACCCTAGCAATAGGATTTGCTGAAATTTCTTGATAATCGCAAAAACAGATATTTGTGCATATCATGATTTAAGTAATATATAATAATGAGATCCACAAGCTTCCAACATATGATGATATGTCTCCGAATTTCATCTTTTTTCCTAAGTGTTTTCACTCCAAATAAAGCTACATATATATAGTTAGGTCTAGCACTCCAAATTTGCTGGTATCTGCCTCTATTTCCATATTGCTGGTTGTCTATCTCTTTGCATGCGCACTATTAAAGTGCACCGTTCTAAGCGTTACATGGCACTTCTTGGTTATTCTGTGCAAGTTCAATAATCAATGGGATAAATAAGTAAGGAAGGATTGCTGTACTTGCTGCCATTGTAAAGTTCATGCGTCTAAAGCAACTAACTGTTCAACTATTAGCATGTGCACATTGACTGGTAACTCCACAAGAGACCACAAGGCTAGAGATGAAAGTTTTTGAATATTTACCCAGTTTTTCAAACTGGATTTCTATGATGACCGAATTTTTATCTGACATGTATTGCTTATTTCAGGTCTCAATTCTGTGATCTGTCCTGGTGGCCAGGCACAATGTCCAGATGGAACTACTTGCTGTAAATTATCTTCTGGACAATGGGGTTGTTGCCCTATGCCTAGGGTAAGTTGCAAATTTAAACAAATGATGTCACAATAATTTTGATGGTAATTGTGTAAATATGTTCACTTTTAGGCTGTTTGTTGCAATGATGGGGAACACTGTTGTCCAGAAGGTTATACTTGTGATACAACTGGAGGAACTTGTATTAAAGGAACTGAAATCATCAAATCATTGTTGAAAATATCTGCAATTGGTAATGATAACTCTAACACTATACCCTAGCGTCCAAATTTCCTCTAATTTATGTTTGGGAACAGAAACGGACATTTCACTTGCCCTTGTTTTGCAGTATTTTTTCAGCTTTGAATAGTTTATTTCTGAATTTATTATTTTGTATCGAAATGTCCTTACATCTTCACTGAGCAAGGCTCTGTAGAAGCAGATAGGTAACAATCTACTATTTTTTTAAATGACAGATTTATTTTCGTTTCAATATTGCCTACCCAATTTATTACACCCTTGGTGAGGTCATGAGGTTGAACTGGAGATCTATACCTCGTGACGGCACCATAGTTTGGTCCCATGTTTTGAAAACTACCACTGTACCAACTCCAATTCTGCCAGTTTTTTACTACTGTCCATTATTGCTCATTAGCTTTAAAGTTCAATTAACAAAATGTTTGTGCTGATTGTCTATCTTTTTACAAGATTATGTAGCTTAAATACTGGCAAATAGATAGGATACTTATGTACGAGAAGAGTGCTGGACTTCTTGTCGTCGTAGCATCAATTTTGTGCATCTGAAACTAATAACTATAAAGAATAGGTGTTCTCTTCACACTGTGAAGACTATGAAACTGCTATCCTATTGTCCTCATTTCTTATGATGCAACAATTGCAAACAGATGTCCAAAATATTTCCCCGTATCTTATAGATCTTCCAAATAAACTCTTTTCAAATCGGAAAATTCTGATTTTGAGTTGTGGAACTGTTTTCCGAAATATCCAAATTTGATATCTATGATGACTACCGGTAATTCTAATCTGATTTATATTATTTGCTTCAGAAGTCAATTCTGTAATCTGTCCTGGTGGTCAGTCTCAGTGTCCAGATGGAACTACATGCTGTAAATTATCTTCTGGACAATGGGGATGCTGTCCTATTCTTCATGTAAGTTGTAAATTTAAAAGAAAAAGCTTCACGAAATGACATTCTGGTGAAAATATAAATTGTGTTTACTTCTAGGCCGTTTGTTGCAATGATGGGGAACACTGCTGTCCTGAAGGTTATACTTGTGATACAACTGGAGGAAGATGTACTAAAGGAAATGCAATAGTTGAGGCCTTAACGAAGATAACAGCAAATGGTACTTGGTTAATAATATCGTGGTATAATAGATAACTGGAAACAATATGCATTATCCAAGCCATAGGACTGGTTTTTTAAAGGCTTGCTCACCGCCAAATGGTCATGAGATCATAACAGTAAGATATATCGCAGGTTTACGTGATTCTGAACATTGGTGTCCCGATGGCACGTCTAAATGTCCGAATGGAACCACCTGCTGCCATGTTGAAACTGGCGATTGGGGATGTTGTCCTTTTGAGAATGCTGTCTGTTGTGGAGACAAAATTCATTGCTGCCCCAAATATTATACCTGTAACATGACGGAAAATTTGTGTAATAAAAAGAATAGCAAAAGTGTCGGTATGGGTGTGAAACTAGTTAATCAAAAAAGTGAGGGTTTTTGCGTATTTCACTAAAAAATTTGATTTTTAGAATTTGTTTTGGTAATTTTGGCATGAATGATGTAATAAAAGAGGCAGAAATTTAATTTTTTTGATTGTAAATAATTGAATATGGCAATTGTGATTCAAGACTTTGGTGGTGAAAATCGAGACTTAAAGTTGATTTTTGCATTATCATACCTTTTCAAATGTGCAACCTTCATTTCCTTATATTGGAGCATTAATCTCTTGGTACCTTACTAATTGAACGTGTTCCATGCATTTCAACTAGTATCATTTGATTATAATTGTAACCTTTTTTATTATATAATTCCAGAACAAATTACTCCTCTTTCTACTCTGAAACCTGCAACAAGGAACAGCTTCTTGGACATTCTTATCAAGCATGGTGTATGGGAAAAACACAAGTAATTTATACTTGTAATTGTAATTTTTTCACTCAGATTTTGGGCGCGTGTCAGATTAACCACCGATAATAAGTCGAGGTTATTTTTGCTGACGACGGCTCTAGACAAGCAGCTACAGATATCTACGATTATTTTTGACTGGTCCATAGCGTTATGTAGATACTTTACACCTCAGATGAGCATGCTATGTCAACCTAATTTGGTCATCAGAGATGGAATTTGGTCATCAGAGCCCAAATTAAGAGATTTTCCTTTTTTTCTGTATTCTAGTAGTATTCTCTCAACGACAATATTAATTAATAACAAATTAAAGGGACAAAACTTGTGAAAGCTGTTCGAAAAAAAACATAAATTTTTCTTTTTTATTTAATATTTTTTTTTCAGTTTTTTTCTTCGGCCCTTTGTCTTAACACCCTCAATAATTATTGTTTTGACTTTTTTATCTTCTGTTATCAAATGAAATTTTAATTTTCTGTTTTAGGGGCAATTGTGTAATGTGCCCTGATGATTCTGAATGTCCGAACTTCAGTACTTGTTGTCAACTTCCTGATGGAAAGTATGGTTGTTGCGGACATCCATCTGTAAGTATTTAATAACTGGTATTTCTAAGTACTGGTGGAATTTGGAATCTATATTGTAAAATTTTATTTATTTTTGGATATGTGATATTTGTAATCAAGATAGGATAGGGTTTAACATATTTATCCTGGGGAGAGGAAAGGCGATAAGATGGCTTAATCATATGATAAACCAAGGCCTCTCATTCGGTTACCAGCCCATGCCAGTTATGGGATCAGAAGCATGGACTTATTGGTGGCTAGTTTAAAATTCATGATTACCGGTATATGAATTTTTTTGAATGCAATATTTATCAGGAAGAAATATATCTTATCAAGACTAAGTAATGATAACCTGAAAGATAAGAGAATTACTATTTAAAAGATATTTTGATATCAGGATATGGAGGAAAACACTAAATATATTGCATTTCTTATAACACTCCATTATTTTTTTCAGGCCGTATGTTGTTCAGACCATTTGCATTGCTGTCCTCACGGCTTTGTCTGCGATTTGAAGAGTAGCAAATGTATCGGCAGGCAAGATATCGGGAGTGAACCTTTGACGAAAATGACGATTGACGATCGCTCATACAATAATGAGATTTCTGCTGGATTGGATGAAATGTAAACTATAAACCTATGCATTTACAATAGTCTTGTGATTTTCATATTTTCTTCAGTATAATAGTATGAAATATTGCTACTAAGGTCCGTTAGTTAATTTTTAGGGAACGTTATCTTACAATTTAATTTTATTTTCCGTAATATCAATAATATGATCTCGTTGAAGCCAACTAGCCCTGAACCTGGACTTGAATTTCGTATTTTTTTTCAAGCCAGATCGCATTTCACAATGTCGAGCCCTTTAAAATCCATGTCACATTCTCATATTTTAATGTCTTTTGGAATATAACAGTGTGAATACACTTTTGCATAACTTTGCAAATTCCTGAAGTTCAAAAGATTTTGCTCAGCGTTATTAGATTTACGGTGATAGCAATCGTTTTCATTGATTGAAAGATTTGTGTTAATATCGTAATGACATTTAGGTTGACAAAATGATTTTTTTTTTCATTATCCCTTTGAATGAAATCACAATCAAATAAAAATTATGACCAATTGCTTGTATGTCGATTAGCGAGTTATTGTAATTATAATCTTGAAATTTAGTTTCAGTTGGCCAAAATCCAGTTATCAAAATCAATTCTAAAGCACCCATTTTTATAGTTAGGTGATGTATGTAACATTTCTATTGACATTACACATTATGGCTGAAATCAACATACTTTATAACATCATTATGGTGAATGTTAGTAACCCGTTTATTATCAAATGCATTCCCTGATTCAGTACCAGTTTTCCGAGATTTTGACAAATTTGAAATTGAATGTATGTATAACAACTTTTTATGAATTCAATCTTCCATCCATCTTGGATACCTCTGACAGTGACCGATATCTTTTTGTATTATGGACATGATTGAATCTTTAAAACTTTCGGTTAAGTCTTCTTTGCTATTATGTGTTAAACAATTAATTTTTCTTATACAATGTTCTTTGTTTTGCATTTGTATTGCCTTTTTTGATTTAGTTCAGTGAAAATTGACCTAAAGTTCCAAGCTGTGCAATTTTGATCCATATTAAATAAGCATATTAAATCTTGTTTTATCTTATGGCCTTTCTGGGGTGGGAATTCGTAATTCAGAATAATTTACCATTCAAGAATACTATACGGAGTTCTACCACCAAATTTCCAGAATAAAATCAGCAAAAGTCTCTTTAGTGAAGGTATTTCGTTGGGGGCAAAGTGGCTTTTTCATGGGTGTAAAGGTCGCCGGCTTGAGTGCATTTTATATGAAAGTTCTAATATTCGTGGGCAGGAATGGCTACTGGTATTCATTCTCTTACTAACCTTGTGCAATGAATCTTCATGAGTGGTGATTAATTTGTTAATTTGGGAGTCTGCGCACAACGGTAACATATTTTTATAGTGTTTGCTTGACATTGTTGTAGGAAAGGCAAACTGCTTTTCTTGTATGATTACTCTAATGATCGATTATTGGACACGTGGTGGACATAACGATCGTTTCAATATTATGTTGTTCTTGTTCTTTGACACGTTTTTAAAAAGTCTCTTTTCTCTTCGAATACTGGACCAATTGCTTTGAAATTTTCAGTGGTTAAAGATAAAAATATTCTCCAGAAGGCTATTACTTTTTTTTTCGCTATGACGTCATCAAAATTATGTGACTCTACGGTCTACGTGTCCATATATTTGAGCATAGCTCTCTTGTTTTATTTCGGTTCGTTTTGTTGATGAATTCTGGTTACAGACGATCAAGGGGTCGAAGTTCACCGGCTTGTGTAGACTGGATTCTTCATTAGGTATTTCAGCGTTGCTTAAGGTTGCCAACCGCTAATTGTCCTTTATTCTTTCCGACGTCGTTTTGCCCGATAGTTATAGTACTGTGTTCGATATTATTCCGTTTATAAAAAATCGCCTCCGTTTATGTATTTGCAAAAATTGTAGAGCACTTAGAGCTAAACAACAAACCTAATGTTGATATGAATGACCTATTTGGTAAAGTTGCTCTCATTCAAAAAAAAAAAATTTGGCACGATTCAAAGCACTAAATGACTAAACTGTGTCTACAGAATGCAAAACAGCATACAGTAAATGGCAGTCTAACCTCGAAATGCTTTAATCTTGAGTGTGTTAATGTTTTCAAAATAGTTTCATTTGTGCTCTCAATTTCCGGAACCTCAGCTTATTGTGAACGCATTTTTAGTGTAATGTCATCTAAATGACGCAGTGAAAGGAACAGATGCTCCATACAACTATTGAAAAGTGAGCTTTTAATATACTTAAACTTGAAAGACACGTGTCGTGAATTTTTGGAAAAAATAAAACGTGATATACAATTGTCGAACTCAGCGAAGAGTCGGTAGAAATATAACTTTAGGAATTATAAAATTATGCAACTGCAAAATTAAAGCTTGTTTGGGTCAATGTTAAATAAACAATAAATGAAAAACATATGAAGATTTTTTTAATATATCTTTTTAGCTTGTATATAATTATTTATTGAAACTTTCATAGTTGGCAACCCCAGCGTTGCTCCATTTTGGATATGGCATTAATTTTCATAAAATATTCATCTTCAACAAACTGAAAACCGATGTTAAAATGGGAAGAGAAAAATTTTACTAACATGCGTATAATTTTGATATATATATATTTAAAATTACTGCAATAAATGAAAAACAACAATTAATGACTATTAAAATATAATCAATAACATACTTAAATAAAATATATATGTAAAACAAATGAGCATGTAATATATCCAACATAATATTTATACATATCAATGGACGTAGAACGAATATGCAGGTCAGTATGAGAGAGATGAATTTCAAGGCGTAATAACAGTTGATGACCGGCGTTAAAAAACGGTTCTCCCGAAGTATGTGAACCAGGATGGCGGACACCGGAACGTAGTATGTATACCAGGTTAGAGTTAGGCCATAATTTCAGGTACAAATACTACGGGAGTCATTTGGCTAGTTCCCGAACTCGTAATATACCTAAAATGAGAAAAATTGGAATCAAATTATGGCCTAACCTGGTACACATACTAGACTATGTTCCGGTGTCCGCCATCTTGGTTCACATACTTCGGGAGTACCCAAAAAACACATGTTATTCGAGATTCTGTTTGCGATTGCTGTTACTGACTAGAAACGCATTTGACTATGGTCATCGAGAAATCGAATTGCCGAAAGAAATATCTGAATTCCGTAAAAAGGGGGTTCGGATATTGCTCTTGATCATTCCAAATTACGCGTTACTCTCATCGAGATAATTTTATCTTGCTTTCAGTTGTCCAAAACAGGAAAAAAGATTTAATACCAAAACCACGAGTCATATATACAATTACTTCGTACCTGAGGTACAGAATTTAGCAAAATTCTTAAAAGTTTATTAATAAAAGTTTATTTTATGAATGAAAGTTTGACTATTGCACAACACAAGATGATGTGGTATTGGATTAACTTCATGAATTCGAAAACATATTTAGCGTTACTGCATTTTTTTTTCTTAATGCCAATTTTTAGCTGAATGACTTTCAGATTTTTTGCGAACTTTTCCAAGGTACAATCAGTATATTTCTGAATGTTACAAAAGTTGCTAAAATGCAAAAAGTGTTGATAAGTATTCCAGTTTCATATACAACAACTGTTATTACACGAGGAATCGTCCTTGGAATTATTATTCCCACAAACACCATGGCGATTAAATCAACAACTATGGTAACACAGGCTGCTGATGCTGATCGGTAAATTGTTCGTTCAAGGTAGGTGAGCTTCCGGTACCATTTCCTAAGTTGAAACTTTGTGCAAATATTAGATGCATCAAGGCAGCAAACGTCGTTAGGTTTTACCACTGTACTTTTGTGATCCTCCTCAATTTGCAAATGATTTCTGATTGTAACTTGAAATGATTTCTTTGCAACTTTAGTCCGCATCATTGGGTAGATGTACAATCCCAGTAGAGATAATTGGGATAGTACGAGTCCAGCTCCGAGTAAATAGTAACTGATATTGCCGACATTTTTTCCTTCACTGGTTCGAATGTCATCCGGTTTGAGCATACAACCATAGGGTCCCAAAGCGTAATCTTGAGGAATTGCAAAGACACATGTACATGCTATGGTTATGAGCGTTATACAAACGATAGAACAGCAACTAAAAATAATAACTTTTTTACCAACTATGGACGCAATGGCAGGATGTCCGTGTATGATTCTTTGGCGGAGCCACAAGAATAGATACGTCATAAAACCTGATGCTCCGTGAACGAATGCTTGCGTATCCATCACGATTTCACACCAGTTAGGCGGATCTTTTGGTGGGTAAAACAGTGCATGATCTATGACTGATTTGATAAGTGTGATCCCGACTATTGCAACGGAACAAATATGCACCATTTTTTTGTCTCCAGTTTTCCCCATTTTCTTTCCCGTCCACTTATTAGTCTTGACTCCATATACGATAGTACTCAGTAACAACCAGATAGAAATCGCTACGTTAGTGAGGTTGATAACTTTAAACGTTGTTAATAGTGACGAAAAATCCTCAACATCTTTTATAAATGTTGCATTTTCAACTTTTGGAATTACTGTTATGGCGAATGAACTATTTTCAGCAATCATAACAACTATTATATAAGCTCAACTAAATTAAAACTGAAAGGTATGAACAACGTGTTTTCAGTGATGAAAATTGAGGTACTTGATTATGTTAATTTCTAAAATTGGCCAATGATTGATGTATTATCGCCCAAGATATTGGTGTAGTTAGTTATCAAGTATGCTGATGGTAGAAGTATGCTATGCACATTTAGTATCTCTCATAATAGTACTTAATGATACGATTTATGTAAATTCACTATTGGCAGAAAAATAAAAATTGGCTGACAGTGCAGTCATTCAAATCATTTTTAATCATGATTGCTTCCTTGGAACTTGTTTTTTGGACAAAGCATGAAATTAGACAAGTCGTAAACTATTAAAACCGATTTTTATTAACATTTTTAAATGGAAAGCTAAGATTCTCCATAGAAAGTAATCGAGGAATTTGAATGTGCTATTTTTTTTTTTTTTTGTTCGATCTTATATATATATCTCAATTTACAACTACTATAAGCTTTCAAAATCGTACGATAAATATGCACTCATCCATCATAAGCTATACAGGATACACTAGGTAACAATCAGCGCTTTTTATGATTATTTCCCGGCCTTGTTATTATTTTCTATACAAATACCTATTTATAATAGGCCACACCAGCATTGATATCTGAAGCGCACTGTGAAAGCGGTTCAAGGAAATATCTTGTTTGTGACGCACAATGCCTCTTCCGTCTGTATGTTAGTGAGCAGTTATGACAAGCATGTATTAAGGTAGCAATCATTTCATTACTTAGCATCAGTGGCCTACTCTTCTTCGTTCGGTATCACATTGTCTGAAGCAATGAGTATGACTTTTGAATCTACAAAATACATATTTTTGTGAAACTAGCCTACAATATCACTATGCTAATCATTATTTTTAGTATATAGTCTATGGTCGTTTTTTCATCGTCTGTAAATTAATCCTTTCATCTTTCTGTGAACAATATTGTCATAACAGACTTTGGGATTTGAATTGAATACAGGATTAAAATCCGTTTGTAAAGGAACCCTTCCATTCTTATGTAATCTTAGAGATTTGAATTTTCGTGAAAGCGATAGTTGACATCTTTCTGCTTGTATTCGTATTTCTATCGCATCATTCATTTGGAGTTAGTAAAAACTCCGCAGAGTTGTCGTTTCTTTCCAGTAAAAAATATCTCGTCTGTAAATTTCTATTGTTGCATTTCCATTAAAATATTGACAAAGGCGACGGTAGTGTCATTTTATGTGAGCATAATTCTAGAAACGTTTTATAAATAACCGCTTTACCTGGTTTTCCTGCTTCGTAATTTAATTTTTTTTTCTGATTTGGTGTTTCGCTATTACAATATACTACACTGCTTATCTAAGCAAAGTTCATTCATTTTTCCTTTTCTAGTTGGGCCATTGTACACCGAATCCTGTCTTATAATGACGTTCAATATCGAATTCCTCGCTTACAGCGATAGACTAACTAATCATGTGGCTTTATTGAATGAAGTGTATTGTGGAAAAGTACATCATTAAAACTTTGGCACTCGGCATCAACTTTTCGATGTTTTGCTAACGATATTTAATTGCCTAAAATTTTAGATAATCAACGACAAACCACTAGAATGATAATACAGCTAACACGTTTGCTAACTGCCGTTACCGTTACTGACCGTCATTGAAGTATCTGACAAAATATTATATGCAGGGAAATATGCAGACGTGCAGTAAGGCACTAGCGCGCTCACCGCTCAGCGTCCTCATACCGACAAAAAAGAACGATTCTTGGGGGTTCACTCTTTTGTACAACGAACAAAAACAAAATTAAATATTTCCCCATACTTCTACGGCCACCAAGTGTCCAATACTATGAATGAAGACGGGAATTGATTCGTTGCTGGAACATATCTGTCTGCTTACTTATGTTTTCCACAAACAAGTATCTTTCCTCTTATAATAATCGAGTTAAAAATCTATTCGAATTGATCAGCTTTCTTTTCGAATTGATAGATTGATAGATTACTTAGTTTCAGTAATTGTAAGGAAAAGTTGAGTAATTAGGCTACTAAATTTTCATAAATAGGCAATATAACTATATATAACATACAGGCAACATTTTTTGTATCCTTGTTTAGGCTGTTTAGAAGGCATAGACAACCTGGGATACCCGATTCCTCATTCGATTTTTATTCGTCTATGGAGCCTATTGAAATATTGTTAGCGGATATTCCTGAAGGATAAAATTAATTTGTGATAGTTTGAGGCTGTCGAAATTGAATAACCGACTTGGGATAGTTAAAAAATTAATCCAGCCAAACAAGCTATACCTACTCTACTAACATAAAATCACTTGTGTCTGTTTACTGATTGTCTCAGCTAGTCAATTCAATTCTACGTCGGTTTTTCTGATTATTTGTATAACGAAACAACACCAAAAGCAATTTTTGATCATCCTCCAGCAAATGTGACGCGGGCCACAGATAATGTCGCGGGCCTCGGTTTGGACCACCCTGGCTTAGTATATGCGCAATGTCAGCAACGCTCGTATTTTTGAAATGATGAACAGGGGGAGCGGGCCAAAAAAGGTGGAAAATACTGGTATAGACAATACAAACGTTTCCTAAAACATATCGTTTGCTGCTTATTAGTCATACTTACTATAAGACGTCAGTGTTGTGTCAGGATGTAATCTTGGGGGACGATTTTCGAGTTTCACAGAGTTATTGTGTGATGAAAAAAATACTTATGAATGATATTCTACGTCCTTAGATCAGCAGAAGTTGACTTTTATTTTCAATAATTTTCAGTAATCTGAGCCCGGTACTGAAGTGGTCATTTTACATTGGTACATAAAAGACATCAAAAGATAACATTTCGTGGAAAATGGCGAATCGAAAGAAAAGTTATACACAGAGGTACGTGGATGACCCGAATTGTCTCATCTTGAGATATTCAGTGATTCGAATATTCGTAAAAAATAATTAATTTTATTCGGCGTAAATTATTATTCTATACCGAGAAAGGAGTCCCGTAAACGAGTTCCGAGTTTTGAGGCGCTCCGTTCATCTATACTCTAGCTTGTTCTCGCGCTTGTTCTAAATAGCAATTCCCATATTTAATAGAAATATAACCATATAAAGAATCGAGCTGTGTTGAACTTAATAAAATGCATTTTACTTGAGTAGATTATAAATTCAATTTATTCGGGTACTTTTTTTCACTGTGTTCAGTTAAAGCGTCGGGACCTTGTATGAGCAACGCGCCCACAATATGCTAGACTAGACATTTAAGGAATCTGCACAATTTGAATATATATATTTGTAGTTATATCAAAATGAGTAATTTTAAATCACAATGATTGATGAATATTTCGATTTGGCTTCAGATCTCAACAAGGAACTAGGCTTGCAGTCCTTTTAACTCGGCGGTCAAGTTATTGAGTGTCTTCCGGATAGATCTCGAGTAACTTACCTGCAAACTCGGATTGTCACAAATTAGGTGTACTTTTTCTTTTGTCTCGTTATTTTCTGACTTCTGGTCATGTGATTCCTAATAACCAATAGAGAAGCCTCTTCTCCCACTTCTCTTGCGCTGTCTTTGTTTCTTTATTATACCTACACTTTTTTCTTGCCACGTCAAAATTTGTCTGAGCCCAGGCGGTCTTTTCAAATTTGACGCCGCCAGGTAAGCAGATATTATTTTTGTGAATTTCTAAGTTTAATGGTTTTTGTGCATCCTTGTGTCGCTAATCCTCTTACAACCCAACGCTTGTATTGCAGTCATTTTACAGCTATACTAATGCAGTTAAACTAAACTTAGGCCTACAATTATTGATTCAAGTGTCTGCAAAGTGGAATTGAGTTTATCGGTTCTGAAATTGGTGTGAGGAATCTAAATCGGAGGCTGCAATGATTATTATTAGAGATAATGTTATTCCTTCAGTTAGGCCATAGAATAATACTAAATGATTTTGGGTGTGTGATTATTGAATCAAAGACGACGGCGTAAACAAATGGAGGCGATCGAGGATCGGGAAATGTTCAAGTAAGAAACTTGAATGTATTCAATTTTACGCTTTGGATAGCTTCCAAATATATTAATTACTGTTTTTTGATTTTAGCTCATGTTAGCTTTTATTCAGCCTGTATATTGCATTCTATCTATATAATATATTTCAGATCATGTTTATGCAAACTGATTGAATGTAAACAAGCTGGAATTGTTTACTTACGGGAACTGCTGGGGCGATATAGACACAACGGTGAAATAAATATTTATTAAATTAGAAATTTCAGTTAAGACATAATATAGCACTAGATTGAAATTGAGGAGGATATTTGTGTTGAATCAAAGAACCGGAGAAGATATGACTGTGCAAAGATGTTTAGACCATTTGATAAATAATATTCGCAGATTTTGGACATGTGTCAGATTTAACCACCGATAATAAGTCGAGGTTATTTTTGCTGACGACGGCTCTAGACAAACAGCTACAGATATCTAAGATTATTTTTGACTGGTCCATAGCGTTATGTAGATACTTTACACCTCAGATGAGCATGCTATGTCAACCTAATTTGGTCATCAGAGATGGAACGCCCAAATTAAGAGATTTTCCTTTTTTGCTGTATTCTAGTAGTATTCTCTCAACGACAATATTAATAATGAATTAAAGGGACAAAACTTGTGAAAGCTGTTCGAAAAAAACATAAATTTTTCTTTTTTATTCAATATTTTTTTTTCAGTTTTTTTCTTCGGCCCTTTGTCCTAAGACCCTCAATAATTATTGTTTTGACTTTTTTATCTTCTGTTATCAAATGAAATTTTAATTTTCTGTTTTAGGGGAAATTGTGTAATGTGTCCTGATGATTCTGAATGTCCGAACTTCAGTACTTGTTGTCAACTTACTGATGGAAAGTATGGTTGTTGCGGACATCCATCTGTAAGTATTTAATAACTGGTATTTCTAAGTACTGGTGGAATTTGGAATCTATATTGTAAAATTTTATTTATTTTTGGATATGTGATATTTGTAATCAAGATAGGATAGGGTTTATATATTTATCCTGGGGGAGAGGAGAGGCGATAAGATGGCTTAATCATATGATAAACCAAGGCCTCTCATTCGGTTACCAGCCCATGCCAGTTATGGGATTAGTTGGCCAGTTATTTGTTTTCAGAAGCATGGACTTAATGGTGGCTAGTTTAAAATTCGTGATTACCGGTATATGAATTTTTTTGAATGCAATATTTATCAGGAAGAAATATATATTATCAAGACTAAGTAATGATAACCTGAAAGATAAGAGAATTACTATTTAAAAGAGATTTTGATATCAGGATATGGAGAAAAACACTAAATATATTGCATTTCTTATAACACTCCATTATTTTTTTCAGGCCGTATGTTGTTCAGACCATTTGCATTGCTGTCCTCACGGCTTTGTCTGCGATTTGAAGAGTAGCAAATGTATCGGCAGACAAGATACCGGGAGTGAACCTTTGACGAAAATGACGATTGACGATCGCTCATACAATAATGAGATTTCTGCTGGATTGGATGAAATGTAAACTATAAACCTATGCATTTACAATAGTCTTGTGATTTTCATATTTTCTTCAGTATAATAGTATGAAATATTGCTACTAAGGTCCGTTAATTGATTTTTAGGGAATGTTATCTTACAATTTAATTTTATTTTCCATAATATCAATAATATGATCTCGTTGAAGCCAACTAGCCCTGAACCTGGACTTGAATTTCGTATTTTCTTTCAAGCCAGATCGCATTTCACAATGTCGAGCCCTTTAAAATCCATTTCACGTTCTCATATTTTAACGTCTTTTGGAATATAACAGTGTGAATACACTTTTGCATAACTTTGCAAATTCCTGAAGTTCAAAAGATTTTGCCCAGCATTATTAGATTTACGGTGATAGCAATTGTTTTCATTGATTGAAAGATTTGTGTTAATATCGTAATGACATTTAGGTCGACAAAATGATTTTTTTTTCATTATGCCTTTGAATGAAATCACAATCAAATAAAAATTATGACCAATTGCAAGGATGTCGATTAGCGTGTTATTGTAATTATAATCTTGAAATTTTAGTTTCAGTTGGCCAAAATCCAGTTATCGAAATCAATTCTAAAGCACCCATTTTTATAGTTAGGTGATGTATGTAACATTTCTATTGACATTACACATTATGGCTGAAATCAACATAATTTATAACATCATTATGGTGAATGTTAGTAACCCGTTTATTATCAAATGCTTTCCCTAATTCAGTACCAGTTTTCCGAGATTTTGACAAATTTGAATGTATGTATAACAACTTTTTATGAATTCAATCTTCCATCCATCTTGGATACCTCTGACAGTGATAGATATCTTTTTGTATTATGGACATGATTGAATCTTTAAAACTTTCGGTTAAGTCATCTTTGCTATTATGTGTTAAACAATTAATTTTATCTTATACAATGTTCTTTGTTTTGCATTTGTATTGTCTTTTTTGATTTAGTTCAGTGAAAATTGACCTGAAAAGTTTCAAGCTGTGCAATTTTGATCCATATTAAATAAGCATATTAAATCTTGTTTTATCTTATGGCCTTTCTGGGGTGGGAATTCGTAATTTACCATTCTTTTGGAGTTCTACCACCAAATTTCCAGAATAAAATCAGCAAGAGGTATTAGTGTTCGAAATGTCCAAGAGCGTTTGATTTTATTTGATATTTTGCGGTACAATTTAGTCTTTTTAGTAAAGGTATTTCGTTGGGGCAAAGTGGCTTTTCCATGGGTGTGAATGTCGCCGGCTTGAGTGCAGGCAGGAATGGCTACTGGTATTCAGTCTCTTAGTAACCTTGTGCAATGAATCTTCATGATTGGTGATTAATTTTTCGTAATTCGGCAGTCTTGCTGCGCACAACGGTAACATATTTTCATAGCGTTTGCTTGACATTGTTGTAGGAAAGGCAAACTGCTTTTCTTGTATGATAACTCTAATGATCGATTATTTTATTTCGGTTCGTTTTGTCAATGAATTCTGCTTGCAGACGATTAAGGGGTCGAAGTTCACCGGTTTGTGTAGACTGGATTCTTCATTAGGTATTTCAGCGTTGCTTAAGGTGGCCAACCGTCCTTTATTTCAAAGGACAATCCTTCAATTAAGTTTTTTCTGTCCTTGTCCTCTTTAGCGTTTAGAAAAGATGCTAATTGTCCTTTATTCTTTCCGACGTCGTTTTGCCCGATAGTTATAGTACTGTTTTTGATAATATTCCGTTCTTAAAAAATCGCCTTCGTTTATGTATTTGCAAAAATTGTAGAGCATTTGAAGCTAAACAACAAACTTAATGTTGACATGGATGACCTATTTGATGAAGTTGTACTCATTTAAAATAAATTGGCACGATTCAAAGCACTAAACTGTTTACAGAATGCAAAACAACAAGCAGTAAATGGCACCCGATCTTGAAATGTTTTAATCTTGAGTGTGTTAATGTTTTCAAAATATTTTTAATTTGTGCTCTCGATTTCCGGAACCTCAGCTTATTGTGAACGCATTTTTAGTGTGATGTCATCTAAATCAGTGGTTCCCAACCTTTCTACCCTGGCGGACCGGTAAAATTAAATTTAATGTACTCGCGGACCGGCAAATAATTGAAAAGACCGGAACAGAAAAGAATAACATATATTTGCGTAATATAATGCAATGTCGGGCACTCAGTATGCTTTTAGATGAAAAAAGGCACACTTAAAAATATCATATAATGTGCCGGCCAAAAATTGAAATGGGTAAAACATGAATATATTTGCGTAATGAAATGCAGCGCTGGGCACCCATTATGAATGTAAGAAACGCACACATACAACATCTCACATGAAAAACATGTAAATGCCACTGCAGTTGATCGACGCATCAAACGAATTGAATTTACATCACAATGACAAAGTCGTCGGTAACTTGGCACCAGGCTCAAAATCCAACTGTGCCTGCTCAAAATACTGGAAAAGATCTCAGCGGCCCGTGCTTTTTTGCGCATCTTGTGACCACCTGCAGGGTCGGAACAAGTAGGCCTACATATCTTACTGGAATATTATACTGTTTTTACCGGTTTTCGGGTTTAAACAAAGAAATATGCATAACGTTTTATATGGATGGTAATGTTAATTAGGAAAAGCATGCTGAACAGAAAAAGTACGCGTGCCGATTTTTAGGTTTCTCAATCTTGCGAGATTTGATGCCGCGCATTCGCGATTAATCGGAGCCAAAAAAGCGAAAAGTGTGATTACTTGGCGCCAAGATGTCGTGAAAGAAGTCGCCAATATGACGGCGGAAGAGAAATTGCGTAATAAACTAACGTAAACTCGTCTTCGGTAAAGCGATTGAGACGGCATAAAAACAACGAAATTTCTCGCGGACCGGCAAAAAAGCTTAGCGGACCGGCACTGGTCCGCGGACCGGCGGTTGGGAACCACTGATCTAAATGACGCAGTGAAAGGAACAGATGCTCCATACGACTAATAAAAAAGGGAGCTTTTAATATACTTTAAGTTGAAAGACACGTGTCGTGAATTTTCGGAAAAAATGAAACGTGATATACAATTGTCGAAGTCAGCGAAGAGTCGGTAGAAATATAACTTTAAGAATTATAAAATTATGCAACTACGAAATTAGAGCTTTTTTGGGTCAATGTTAAATAAACAATAAATGAAAAACATATGAAGATTTTTTTAATATATCTTTTTAGCTTGTATATAATTTTTATTTCATTGTTTTATATTGTTCCTTCCTGCAAGTTACAAAATAAATGATGACGGTAATCTATGTTCTTTATTGAAACTTTCATAGTTGGCAACCCCAGCGTTGCTTCATCTTGGATATGGCATTAATTTTCATAAAATATTCATCTTCAACAAAATGAAAACCAATGTTAAAATGGGAAGAGAAAAATTTTACTAACACGCGTATAATTTTGATATTTAAAATTACTGCAATAAATGAAAAACAACAATCAATGACTATTGAAATAAAATCAATAATATACTTAAAATATATATATATGTAAAACAAATGAGCATGTAATATATCCAACATAATATTTATACATATCAATGGGCGTAGAACGAATATGCAGGACAGTATGAGAGAGATTAATTCCAAGGCGTAATAACAGTTGATGACCGGCGTTAAAAAACGGTTCTCCCGAAGTATGTGAACCAGGATGGCGGACACCGAACGTAGTATGTATACCAGGTTAGGGTTGGGCCATAATTTCAGGTACAAATACTACGGGAGTCATTTGGCTAGTTCCCGAACTTGTAATAGAACTAAAATGAGAAAAACTGAAATGAAATTATGGCCTAACCTGGTACACATACTACGTTCCGGTGTCCGCCATCTTGGTTCACATACTTCGGGAGTACCCAAAAAACACATGTTATTTGAGATTCTGTTTGCGATTGCTGTTACTGACTGGAAAGGAAATTTGACTATGGTCATCGAGAAATCGATTTGCCGAAAGAATATCTGAATTCCGTAAAAAAGGGGTTCGGATCATTTCAAATTACGCGTTACTCTCATCGAGATAATTTTATATTTTGTCAGTTTACATCTTGCTTTCAGTTGTCCAAAACAGGAAAAAAGATTTAATACCAAAATCACGAGTTATATATACAATTACTTCGTACCGGAGGTACAGAATTTAGCACAATTCTCTGTACGCTACTACCTAATAGCTGAGATTGATAAAAGTTTATTTTTTGAATAAAAGTTTGACTATTGCACAACACAAGATTATTGTGGCCTTGAATTAACTTCATGAATTTGAAAAATATTTAGCGTTACTGCATTTTTTTTCTTAATTCCAATTATCAGCTGAGTGACTTTCAGATTTTTTGCAAACTTTTCCAAGGCACAATCAGTATATTTTTGAATGTTACAAAAGTTGCTAAAATGCAAAAAGTGTTGATAAGTATTCCAGTTTCATATACAACAACTGTTATTACACGAGGAATCGTCCTTGGAATTATTATTCCCACAAACACCATGGCGATTAAATCAACAACTATGGTAACACAGGCTGCTGATGCTGATCGGTAAATTGTTCGTTCAAGGTAGGTGAGCTCCCGGTACCATTTCCTAAGTTGAAACTTTGTGCAAATATTAGATGCATCAAGGCAGCAAACGTCGTTAGGTTTTACCACCGTACTTTTGTGATCCTCCTCAATTTGCCAATGATTTCTGATTGTAACTTGAAATGATTTCTTTGCAACTTTAGTCCGCATCATTGGGTAGATGTACAATCCCAGTAGAGATAATTGGGATAGTACGAGTCCAGCTCCGAGTAAATAGTAACTGATATTGCCGACATTTTTTCCTTCACTGGTTCGAATGTCATCCGGTTTGAGCATACAACCATAGGGTCCCAAAGCGTAATCTTGAGGAATTGCAAAGACACATGTACATGCTATGGTTATGAGCGTTATACAAACGATAGAACAGCAACTAAAAATAATAACTTTTTTACCAACTATGGACGCAATGGCAGGATGTCCGTGTATGATTCTTTGGCGGAGCCACAAGAAAAGATACGTCATAAAACCTGATGCTCCGTGAACGAATGCTTGCGTATCCATCACGATTTCACACCAGTTAGGCGGATCTTTTGGTGGGTAAAACAGTGCATGATCTATGACTGATTTGATAAGTGTGATCCCGACTATTGCAACGGAACAAATATGCACCATTTTTTTGTCTCCAGTTCTCCCCATTTTCTTTCCCGTCCACTTATTAGTCTTGACTCCATATACGATAGTACTCAGTAACAACCAGATAGAGATCGCTACGTTAGTGAGGTTGATAACTTTAAACGTTGTTAATAGTGACGAAAAATCCTCAACATCTTTTATAAATGTTGCATTTTCAACTTTTGGAATTACTGTTATGGCGAATGAACTATTTTCAGCAATCATAACAACCATTATATAAGCTCAACTAAATTAAAACTGAAATGTATGAACAACGTGTTTTCAGTGATGAAAATAGAGTTACTTGATTATGTTAATTTCTAAAATGGGCCAATGATTGATGTATTATCGCCCAAGATATTGGTGTAGTTAGTTATCAAGTATGCTGATGGTAGAAGTATGCTATACACATTTAGTATCTCTCATAATAGTACTTAATGATACGATTTATGTAAATTCACTATTGGCAGAAAAATAAAAATTGGCTGACAGTGCAGTCATTCAAATTATTTTTAATCATGATTGCTTCCTTGGAACTTGTTTTTTGGACAAAACATGAAATTAGACAAGTCGTAAACTATTAAAACCGATTTTTACTAACAATTTTAATTGGAAAGCTAAGATTCTCCATAGAAAGTAATCGAGGAATTTGAATGTGCTATTCTTTTTTTTTGTTCGATCTTATATATATATCTCAATTTACAACTACTATAAGCTTTCAAAATCGTACGATAAATATGCACTCATCCATCATAAGCTATACAGGATACACTAGGTAACAATCAGCGCTTTTTATGATTATTTCCTGGCCTTGTTATTATTTTCTATACAAATACCTATTTATAATAGGCCACACCAGCATTGATATCTGAAGCGCACTGTGAAAGCGGTTCAAGGAAATATCTTGTTTATGACGCACAATGCCTCTTCCGTCTGTATGTTAGTGAGCAGTTATGACAAGCATGTATTAAGGTAGCAATCATTTCATTACTTAGCATCAATGGCCTACTCTCCTTCGCTCGGTATCTCATTGTCTGAAGCCATGAGTATGACTTTTGAATCTATAAAAATAAATATTTTTGTGAAACTAGCCCACAATAACACTATTTTATGCTAATCATTATTGGACACGTTTAGTGGCCATAACGATCGTTTCAATATTACGTTGTTGTTGTTGTTCTTGTTCTTTGACACGTTTTTAAAAAATCGCTTTTCTCTTCGACTACTGGACCAATTGCTTTGAAATTTTCAGTGGTTAAAGATTAATTTCTTCGCTAGAAGACTATTACTTTTATTTATTTCAAAATTTTGCGTGAATTCTATGAAATTTGATATTTCGTCTAAAATTTTGCTGTATTATTTTTTATCCATGGGAACACGGATTTTAGTCAGTGTCATGACTGGCTGTACGTTTTGATTCTGCAAAATTCATGCTACTGGAAATTCAGAACTTTTTTGAGGGTACCGGTAGCGTCAAAGGTACCGGTAAAGACTGATTCGCTCTGGTCTAACGTGTCCATATATTTGTGCGTAGCTCTCTTGTTTTTAGTATAGTCTTTGATCGTTTTTTCATCGTCTGTAAATTAATCCTTTCATCTTTCTGTGAACAGTATTGTCATAACAGACTTTGGGATTTGAATTGAATACAGGATTAAAATCCGTTTGTAAAGGAACCCTTCCATTCTCATGTAATCTTAGAGATTTGAATTTTCGTGAAAGCGATAGTTGACATCTTTCTGCTTGTATTCGTATTTCTATCGCATCATTCATTTGGAGTTAGTAAAAACTCCGCAGAGTTGTCGTTTCTCATCAGTAAAAAAATATCTCGTCTGTAAATTCATATTGTTGCATTTCCATTAAAATATTGGCAAAGGCGACGGTCATCTCATATGGTCAAAATTCTAGAAACACTTTATAAAATACCGCTTTACCTGGTTTTCCTGCTTCGTAATTTACATTTTTTTTTTCTGATTCTGTGTTTCGCTATTAAAATATACTACACTGCTTATCTAAGCAAAGTTTATTCATTTTTCCTTTTCTAGTTGGGCCATTGTACACCGAATCCTGTCTCATAATGACATTTAATGTCGAATTCCTCGCTTACAGCGACAGACTAACTAAGCATGTGGCTCTATTGAATGAAGTGTATTGTGGAAAAGTACATTTCCGTTCATACACCATTAAAACTTTGGCACTCGGCATCAACTTTTCGAAGTTTTGCTAACGATACTTAATTGCCTAAAATTTCAGATAATCAACGACAAACCACTAGATAATACAGCTAACACGTTTACTAACTGCCGTTACTGACCGTCATTGAAGTATCTGACAAAATATTATATGCAAGGTAATATACATACGTGCAGTAAGGCACTAGCGCGCTCAGCGTCCTTATACCGACAAAGAAGAACGATTCACTCTTTTGTACAGCGAACAAAAACAAAATTAAATATTTCCCCATACTTCTACGGCCACCAAGTGTCCAATACTATGAATGAAGACGGGAATTGATTCGTTGCTGGAACATATCTGTCTGCTTACTTATGTTTTCCACGAACAAGTATCTTTCCTCTTATAATAATCGAGTTAAAAATCTGTTCGAATTGATCAGCTTTCTTTTCGAATTGATAGATTGATAGATTACTTAGTTTCAGTAATTGTAAGGAAAAGTTGAGTAATTAGGCTACTAAATTTTCATAAATAGGCAATATAACTATATATAACATACAGGCAACATTTTTTGTATTACTGTTTAGGCTGTTTAGAAGGCATAGACAACCTGGGATACCCGATTCCTCATTCGATTTTTATTTGTCTATGGAGCCTATTGAAATATTGTTAGCGGATATTCCTGAAGGATAAAATCAATTTGTGATAGTTTGAGGCTGTCGAAATTGAATAACCGACTTGGGATAGTTAAAAAATTAATTCAGCCAAACAAGCTATACCTACTCTACTAACATAAAATCACTTGTGTCTCTTTACTGATTGTCTCAGCTAGTCAATTCAATTATACGTTTGTTTTTCTGATTATTTGTATAACGAAACAACACCAAAAGCGATTTTTGATCATCCTCCAGCAAATGTGACGCGGGCCACAGATAATGTCGCGGGCCTCGGTTTGGACCACCCTGGCTTAGTATATGCGCAATGTCAGCAACGCTCGTATTTTTGAAATGATGAACAGGGGGAGCGGGCCAAAAAAGGTGGAAAATACTGGTATAGACAATACAAACGTTTCCTAAAACTTATCGTTTGCTGCTTATTAGTCATACTTACTATAAGACGTCAGTGTTGTGTCAGAATATAATCTTGGGGGACGATTTTCGAGTTTCACAGAGTTATTGTGTGATGAAAAAAATACTTATGAATGATATTCTACGTCTTTACATATGATCAGCAGAAGTTGACTTTTATTTTCAATAATTTTCAGTAATCTGAGCCTGGTACTGAAGTGGTCATTTTACATTGGTACATAAAAGACATTAAAAGATAACATTTCGTGGAAAATGGCGAATCGAAAGAAAAGTTATACACAAAGGTACGTGGATGACCCGAATTGTCTCATCTTGAGATATTCAGTGATTCGAATATTCGTAAAAAATAATTAATTTTATTCGGCGTAAATTATTATTCTATACCGAGAAAGGAGTCCCGTAAACGAGTTCCGAGTTTTGAAGCGCTCCGTTCATCTCGCATCTTGTTCTCGCGCTTGTTCTAAATAGCAATTCCCATATTTAATAGAAATATAACCATATAAAGAATCGAGCTGTGTTGAACTTAATAAAATGCATTTTACTTGAGTAGATTATAAATTCAATTTATTCGGGTACTTTTTTTCACTGTGTTCAGTTAAAGCGTCGGGACCTTGTATGAGCAACGCGCCCACAATATGCTAGACTAGACATTTAAGGAATCTGCACAATTTGGATATATATTTGTAGTTATATCAAAATGAGTAATTTTAAATCACAATGATTGATGAATATTTCGATTTGGCTTCAGATCTCAACAAGGAACTAGGCTCGCAGTCCTTCTAACTCAGCGGTCAAGTTATTGAGTGTCTTCCGGATAGATCTCGAGTAACTTACCTGCAAACTCGGATTGTCACAAATTAGGTGTACTTTTTCTTTTGTCTCGTTATTTTCTGGCTTCTGGTCATGTGATTCCTAATAACCAATAGAAAAGCACCTTCTCCCACTTCTCCTACTCTCCCTTTGTTTCTTTATTATACCTTCACGTTTTTCTTGCCACGTCAAAATTTGTCTGAGCCCAGGTGGTCTTTTCAAATTTGACGCCGCCAGGTAAGCACTAATATCATTTTTGGGAAAAGTTTACTGGTTTTTGTGCATCCTTGTATCGCTAATCCTTCTACAACCCAACGCTTGTATTGCAGTCATTTTACAGCTATACTAATGCAGTTAAACTAAACTTGGGCCTACAATTATTGATTCAAGTGTCTGCAAAGTGGAATTGAGTTTATCGGTTCTGAAATTGGTGTGAGGAATCTAAATCGGAGGCTCCAATGATTATTATTAGAGATAATGTTATTCCTTCAGTTAGGCCATAGAATAATACTAAATGATTTTGGGTGTGTGATTATTGAATCAAAGACGACGGCGTAAACAAATGGAGGCGATCGAGGACCGGGAAATGTTCAAGTAAGAAACTTGAATGTATTCAATTTTACGCTTTGGATAGCTTCCAAATATACTAATGTTTTTTGATTTTAGCTTATATATATGTTAGCTTTTATTTAGCCTGTATATTGCATCCTATATTCCTATCTATATAATATATTTCAGATCATGTTTATGCAAACTGATTGAATGTAAACAAGCTGGAATTGTTTACTTACGGGAACTGCTGGGGCGATATAGACACAACGGTAAAATAAATATTTATTAAATTAGAAATTTCAGTTAAGACATAATATAGCACTAGATTGAAATTGAGGACCATATTTGTGTTGAATCAAAGAACCGGAGAAGATATGACTGTGCAAAGATGTTTAGACCATTTGATAAATAATATTCGCAGATTTTGGACATGTGTCAGATTTAACCACCGATAATAAGTCGAGGTTATTTTTGCTGACGAAGGCTCTAGACAAGCAGCTACAGATATCTACGATTATTTTTGACTGGTCCATAGCGTTATGTAGATACTTTACACCTCAGATGAGCATGCTATGTCAACCTAATTTGGTCATCAGAGATGGAACGCCCAAATTAAAGAGATTTTTCTTTTTTGCTGTATTCTAGTAGTATTCTCTCAACGACAATATTAATAATAAATTAAAGGGACAAAACTTGTGAAAGCTGTTCGAAAAAAAACATAAATTTTTCTTTTTTATTTAATATTTTTTTTTTCAGTTTTTTTCTTCGGCCCTTTGTCTTAAGACCCTCAATAATTATTGTTTTGACTTTTTTATTTTCTGTTATCAAATGAAACTTTAATTTTCTGTTTTAGGGGCAATTGTGTAATGTGTCCTGATGATTCTGAATGTCCGAACTTCAGTACTTGTTGTCAACTTCCTGATGGAAAGTATGGTTGTTGCGGACATCCATCTGTAAGTATTTAATAACTGGTATTTCTAAGTACTGGTGGAATTTGGAATCTATATTGTAAAATTTTATTTATTTTTGGATATGTGATATTTGTAATCAAGATAGGATATGGTTTACATATTTATCCTGGGGGAGAGGAAAGGCGATAAGATGGCTTAATCCTATGATAAACCAAGGCCTCTCACTCGGTGACCAGCCCATGCCAGTTATGGGATTAGTTGGCCAGTTATTGTTTTCAGAAGCATGGACTTAATGGTGGCTAGTTTAAAATTCGTGATTACCGGTATATGAATTTTTTTGAATGCAATATTTATCAGGAAGAAATATATCTTATCAAGATTAAGTAATGATAACCTGAAAGATAAGAGAATTACCATTTAAAAGATATTTTGATATCAGGATATGGAGGAAAACACTAAATATATTGCATTTCTTATAACACTCCATTATTTTTTTCAGGCCGTATGTTGTTCAGACCATTTGCATTGCTGTCCTCACGGCTTTGTCTGCAATTTGAAGAGTAGCAAATGTATCGGCAGGCAAGATACCGGGAGTGAACCTTTGACGAAAATGACGATTGACGATCGCTCATACAATAATGAGATTTCTGCTGGATTGGATGAAATGTAAACTATAAACCTATGCATTTACAATAGTCTTGTGATTTTCATATTTTTTCCAGTATAATAGTATGAAATATTGCTACTAAGGTCCGTTGATTAATTTTTAGGGGACGTTATCTTACAATTTAATTTTATTTTCTATAATATCAATAATATGATCTCGTTGAAGCCAACTAGCCTTGAACCTAGACTTGAATTTTTTTTTCAAGCTAGGTCGCATTTCAAAATGTCGAGCCCTTTAAAATCCATTTCACGTTCTAATATTCTATTTCTAACGTCTTTTAGAATATAACAGTTTGAATACAGATTTGCATAACTTTTCAAATTTCATTCCTACCTTTAAAGTTCAAAAGATTTTGCTCAGCATTATTAGATTTACGGTGATAGCAATTGTTTTCATTGATTGAAATATTTGTGTTAATATCGTAGTGACATTTAGGTTGACAAAATAATTTTTTTTATTATCCCTTTGAATGAAATCACAATCAAATAGAAATTATGACCAATTGCAAGTATGTCGCTTAGCGAGTTATTGTAATTATAATCTTCGAAATTTTAGTTTCAGTTGGCCAAAATCCAGTTATTAAAATCAGTTCTAAAGCACCCATTTTTATAGTTAGGTGATGTATGTAACATTTCTATTGACATTACACATTATGGCTGAAATCAACATAATTTATAACATCATTATGGTGAATGTTAGTAACCAGTTTATTATCAAATGCATTCCCAAATTCAGTACCAGTTTTCCGAGATTTTGACAAATTTGAATGTATGTATAACAACTTTTTATGAATTCAATCTTCCATCCATCTTGGATACCTCTGACAGATATCTTTTTGTATTGTGGCCATGATCGAATCTTTAGAACTTTCGGTTAAGTCCTCTTTGCTATTATGTGTTAAACAATTAATTTTTCTCATACAATGTTCTTTGTTTTGCATTTGTATTGACTTTTTTTTATTTAGTTCAGTGAAAATTGACCTGAAAAGTTCCAAGCTGTGCAATTTTGATCCATATTAAATAAGCATATTAAATCTTGTTTTATCTTATGGCCTTTCTGGGGTGGGAATTCGTAATTCAGAATAATTTACCATTCTTTTGGAGTTCTACCACCAAATTTCCAGAATAAAATCAGCAAAAGATATTAGTGTTCGAAATGTCCAAGAGCGTTTGATATTTTGCGGTTCAATTTAGTCTCTTTAGTAAAGGTATTTTGTTGGGGGAAAAGTGGCTTTTCCATGGGTGTGAACTGTGAAGGTCGCCGGCTTTTATATGAAAGTTCTAAAATCCGTGGGCGGGAATGGCTACTGGTATTCATTCTCTTACTAACCTTGTGCACTGAATCTTCATGATTGCTAATTAATTTGTTAATTCGGGAGTCTGCGCACAACGGTAACATATTTTTATAGTGTTTGCTTGACATTGTTGTATAAAAGGCTAACTGCTTTTCTTGTATGATAACTCTAATGATCGATTATTTTATTTCGGTTCGTTTTGTCAATGAATTCTGCTTGCAGACGATTAAGGTATTTCAGCGTTGCTTAAGGTGGCCAACCGTCCTTTTTTTCAAAGGACAATCCTTCAATTAAGCTTTTCGGTCCTTGTTCTCTTTAGCGTTTAGAAAAGATGCTAATTGTCCTTTATTCTTTCCGACGTTTTGCCCGATAGTTATAGTACTGTGTTTGATAATATTCCGTTCTTAAAAAATCGCCTTCGTTTATGTATTTGCAAAAATTGTAGAGCATTTGAAGCTAAACAACAAACATAATGTTGACATGGATGACCTATTTGATGAAGTTGTACTCATTTAAAAAAATTGGCACGGTTCAAAGCACTAAACTGTTTACAGAATGCAAAACAACAAGCAGTAAATGGCACCCTATCTTGAAATGTTTTAATCTTGAGTGTGTTAATGTTTTCAAAATAGTTTCATTTGTGCTCTCGATTCCCGGAACCTCAGCTTATTGTGAGCGCATTTTTAGTGTGATGTCATCTAAATGACGCAGTGAAAGGAACAGATGCTCCATACGACTAATAAAAAAGGGAGCTTTTAATATACTTTAAGTTGAAAGACACGTGTCGTGAATTTTCGGAAAAAATAAAACGTGATATACAATTGTCGAAGTCAGCGAAGAGTCGGTAGAAATATAACTTTAAGAATTATAAAATTATGCAACTGCGAAATTAGAGCTTTTTTGAGTCAATGTTAAATAAACAATAAATGAAAAACATATGAAGATTTTTTTAATATATCTTTTTAGCTTGTATATAATTTTTATTTCATTGTTTTATATTGTTCCTTCCTGCAAGTTACAAAATAAATGATGACGGTAATCTATGTTCTTTATTGAAACTTTCATAGTTGGCAACCCCAGCGTTGCTCCATCTTGGATATGGCATTAATTTTCATAAAATATTCATCTTCAACAAAATGAAAACCAATGTTATAATGGGAAGAGAAAAATTTAGTATAATATAACGAGTATAATTTTGATATTTAAAATTACTGCAATAAATGAAAAACAACAATCAATGACTATTAAAATAAAATCAATAATATACTTAAAATATATATGTAAAACAAATGAGCATGTAATATATCCAACATAATATTTATACATATCAATGGGCGTAGAACGAATATGCAGGACAGTATGAGAGAGATTAGTTCCAAGGCGTAATAACAGTTGATGACCGGCGTTAAAAAACGGTTCTCCCGAAGTATGTGAACCAGGATGACGGACACCGAACGTAGTATGTATACCAGGTTAGGGTTAGGCCATAATTTCAGGTACAAATACTACGGGAGTCATTTGGCTAGTTCCCGAACTTGTAATAGAACTAAAATGAGAAAAACTGAAATAAAATTATGGCCTAACCTGGTACACATACTACGTTCCGGTGTCCGCCATCTTGGTTCACATAGTTCGGGAGTACCCAAAAAACACATGTTATTTGAGATTATGTTTGCGATTGATGTTACTGACTGGAAACGCATTTGACTATGGTCATCGAGAAATCGATTTGCCGAAAGAAATATCTGAATTCCGTAAAAAATGGGTTCGGATATTGCTCCTGATCATTTCAAATTACGCGTTACTCTCATCGAGATAATTTTATATTTTGTCAGTTTACATCTTGCTTTCAGTTGTCCAAAACAGGAAAAAAGATTTAATACCAAAATCACGAGTTATATATACAATTACTTCGTACCGGAGGTACAGAATTTAGCACAATTCTCTGTAGGCTACTACCTAATAGCTGAGATTGATAAAAGTTTATTTTTTGTAAAAGTTTGAAATAAAAGTTTGACTATTGCACAACACAAGATTATTGTGGCCTTGAATTAACTTCATGAATTTGAAAAATATTTAGCGTTACTGCATTTTTTTTCTTAATTCCAATTATCAGCTGAGTGACTTTCAGATTTTTTGCGAACTTTTCCAAGGCACAATCAGTATATTTTTGAATGTTACAAAAGTTGCTAAAATGCAAAAAGTGTTTATAAGTATTCCAGTTTCATATACAACAACTGTTATTACACGAGGAATCGTCCTTGGAATTATTATTCCCACAAACACCATGGCGATTAAATCAACAACTATGGTAACACAGGCTGCTGATGCTGATCGGTAAATTGTTCGTTCAAGGTAGGTAAGCTTCCGGTACCATTTCCTAAGTTGAAACTTTGTGCAAATATTAGATGCATCAAGGCAGCAAACGCGGTTAGGTTTTACCACTGTACTTTTGTGATCCTCCATAATTTGCAAATGATTTCTGATTGTAACTTGAAATGATTTCTTTGCAATTTTAGTCCGCATCATTGGGTAGATGTACAATCCCAGTAGAGATAATTGGGATAGTACGAGTCCAGCTCCGAGTAAATAGTAACTGATATTGCCGACATTTTTTCCTTCACTGGTTCGAATTTCATCCGGTTTGAGCATACAACCATAGGGTCCCAAAGCGTAAGCTTGAGGAATTGCAAAAACACATGTACATGCTATGGTTATGAGCGTTATACAAACGATAGAACAACGACTAAAAATAATAACTTTTTTACCAACTATGGACGCAATGGCAGGGTGTCCGTGTATGAGTCTTTGGCGGAGCCACAGAAAAAGATACGTCATAAAGCCTGATGCTCCGTGAACGAATGCTTGCGTATCCATCACGACTTCACACCAGTTGGGCGGATCTTTTGGTGGGTAAAACAGCGCATGATCTAAGACTGATTTGATAAGTGTGGTCCCGACTATTGCAACGGAACAAATATGCACAATTTTTTTGTCTCCAGTTTTCCCCATTTTCTTTCCCGTCCACTTATTAGTCTTGACTCCATATACGATAGTACTCAGTAACAACCAGATAGAAATCGCTACGTTAGTGAGGTTGATAACTTTGAACGTTGTTAATAATGACGAAAAATCCTCAACATCTTTTATAAATGTTGCATTTTCAATTTTTGGAATTACTGTTATGGCAAATGAACTATTTTCAGCAATCATAACAGCCATTATATTAGCTCAACTTAATTAAAACTGAAAGATATGAACAACATATTATCAGTGATGAAAATAGAGTTACTTGATTATGTTAATGTCTAAAATGAGACAATGATTGATGTATTATCGCCCAAGATATTGGCGTAGTTAGTTATCAAGTATGCTGATGATAGAAGTATATATGCTATACACATTTAGTATCGCTCATAATAGTACTCAATGATACGATTTATATAACTTCACTATTGGCAGAAAAATAAAAATTTGCTGACAGTGCAGTCATTCAAATTCATTTTTATCATGATTGCTTCCTTGTAACTCGTTTTTGGACAAAACATGAAATTAACAAGTCGTAAACTATTAAAACCGATTTTTATTAACAATTTTAATTGGAAAGCTAAGATTTTCCATAGAAAGTAATCGAGAAATTTGAATGTGCTATTATTTTTTTTGTTCGATCTTTTATATATATCTCAATTTACAACTACTATAAGCTTTCAAAATCGTACGATAAATATGCACTCATCCATCATAAGCTATACAGGATACACTAGGTAACAATCAGCGCTTTTTATGATTATTTCCTGGCCTTGTTATTATTTTCCATACAAATACCTATTTATAATAGGCCACAGCAGCATTGATATCTGAAGCGCACTGTGAAAGCGGTTCAAGGAAATATCTTGTTTATGACGCACAATGCCTCTTCCGTCTGTATGTTAGTGAGCAGTTATGACAAGCATGTATTAAGGTAGCAATCATTTCATTACTTAGCATCAATGGCCTACTCTCCTTCGTTCGGTATCACATTGTCTGAAGCAATGAGTAGGGCTATGACTTTTGAATCTACAAAATACATATTTTTGTGAAACCAGCCTACAATATCACTATGCTAATCATTATTTTTAGTATATAGTCTATGGTCGTTTTTTCATCGTCTGTAAATTAATCCTTTCATCTTTCTGTGAACAATATTGTCATAGCAGACTTTGAGATTTGAATTGAATACAGGATTAAAATCCGTTTGTAAAGGAACCCTTCCATTCTTATGTAAACTTTGAGATTTGAATTTTCGTGAAAGCGATAGTTGACATCTTTCTGCTTGTATTCGTATTTCTATCGCATCCTTCATTTGGAGTTAGTAAAAACTCCGCAGAGTTGTCGTTTCTTTCCAGTAAAAAAATATCTCGTCTGTCAATTTCTATTGTTGCATTTTCATTAAAATATTGACAAAGGCGACGGTAGTGTCATTTTATGTGAGCATAATTCTAGAAACGTTTTATAAATAACCGCTTTACCTGGTTTTCCTGCTTCGTAATTTAATTTTTTTTTTCTGATTTAGTGTTTCGCTATTATAATATACTACACTGCTTATCTAAGCAAAGTTTATTCTTTTTTCTAGTTGGGCCATTGTACACCGAATCCGGTCTTATAATGACGTTTAATGTCGAATTCCTCGCTTACAGCGACAGAATAACTAAGCATGTGGCTTTATTGAATGAAGTGTATTGTGGAAAAGTACATTTCCGTTCATACACCATTAAAACTTTAGCACTCGGCATAAACTTTTCAATGATTTGCTAACGATACTTAATTGCCTGAAATTTTAGATAATCAACGACAAACCACTAGATAATGCAGCTAGCACGTTTACTAACTACCGTTACTGACCGTCATTGAAGTATATGACGAAATATTATATGCAGGGAAATACGCGCTCCGCGCCTTCATACCGACAAAGAAGAACGATTTTCGTGGGTTCACTCTTTTGTACAACGAACAAAAAAAAATTAAATATCTATTTCCCCATACTTCTACGGCCACGAAGTGTCCAATATTATGAATGAAGACGGGAGTTGATTCGTTGCTGGAACATATCTGTCTGTTAAGCATTGCTTAAGTCTGGGGGCCACGAAGCGATTAATTAAAGGGAGGCAACAATACCGGTCGCCTATTGATTGTGATGTGATTTCGTTTGCATACTTTTCCCTTTATAAGAAAATTTCTAGTAGTCGTATTACTTGAAGCGGTTATTTTCAGTCACGGGGTGTTCTTCTGAATGAATGTTTGATCATAATGGGATTTTGAATCTACCAATCAAATACCACTTTAATATCTCTTTGCTCCGCGTATTCTAACCTTGGTAGTTCAGTTGAGATGGCTTAGAACACTTTTTTTTATTATTTTGTATTTTTCGCTAGACACATTAGTACAAGAATAGATGAATATCACAATATAGAATCAAAACTTTACTGTACAGACACATTGGATCATCTTTCTATACCAACATTTATATTTCAGTCTCTTCATAACGAAAAAGTGCTTTCGTAAATGTAAGTGGTCGCGAACATTGATTTGATTCTCAAAGCAAACTGCTCATTGCTCACAAGATTCCAAAATGCCGTTCTAGATTATATTCTTTTGGCACCTACACAATTTGCAGACATATCATATCAAGAATTGTTTCTTACTTATGTTTCCCACAAACAAGTATCTTTCCTCCTATATCGAATTGATCAGCTTTTTTTTCGAATTCTTGTTCACAAAATGATTCTGGTTATTTTTATGATGAAACAACATCAAATGCATTTTTATTTTTATGATTACCTTATATGACTAAGACTCTAGCAAAAGTAACGCGGGCAAAAGACAATGCTGCTGCGGGCCACATGTAGCCCGCGTCCCGGATTTGACACACTTTGGCCTAGAATATGCGCAATGCTTGTATTTTTGGAATGATGAACAGAGGACACGAGCCAAAAAATGTTGGAAACTACTGGTATGGACGTTCCCTAAAACATATCGTTTGCCTCTTATCAGTCATACTGTAAGTGAGTGCGTACTACGTTAGTGTTGTATCTGGATCTAATTCTGGAGGGTGATTTCCGAGGTTTAGAGAGTTATTATCTGATTAAAAAATACTCATGAATTATATTTTACGTCACTACATATGATCGACAGAAGTTGACTTTGTATTGTCGAATATGAGCAATATTTTCAGTAACCTAAGCCAAAGCAATGGTCAGTTTCACATTGGTACATGAAAGTATGTACATGGTCGTAAATGTTCAAATGAAAATTTTGTGGAAAATAGCCAATTGGATGAAAAGTTATTCACAGAAGTTTGCGAATAGCCTTAAGGGCCTCATCTTAGTATATCCATTGGATCGAAACTGAAGAAACGAAGTCTATTTTGTCCAAAATGTGATTCGAGTAACGTGAATAAGTCCCGGCTCCGTTCATCCATAGCTAGTCCACGGCAAATGGCAAATCATCATTTAATATAAAAATAAACTTTGGAAGCTTATCGGTGTTTTAAACATGACGAGTCAGTTAGAGGATATCTAAATTATTCGAGTACTTTTTTTACTATGTTCAGTTAAAGCTTCGGGACTTTGTACTGAGGAACGCGCCCACAATGTGTTGCGCATTTGAGGAATCGTCACAATTTGAATATATAGTTTTAGTCCTGCCAAAATGGGTATTTTGAAATCACAACGAGGAATAGATATTCTGATTTGGCTTCCGATCTTAACAAGGACCTCGACTCTCATTCTCTCCAGCTGTCAGCAGTCAGTTCATGGGGTGTCTTCCGGATATGTCTCTATTAACTTACTCCCAGATATGGTTTGTGACAAATCACGTGAATTTTTCAAAAAATAATCAGGTTGCGCAGAATACAGGAATGTGGCATATTAAATATTGTCGAGATTGTTACAAGGGTTGTCTTGATGAAAAGTTAATGCGACAAACAACATGTTCCACCATTTTTCTCTTGTATCTTTATTTTCTGGCGTCACTTGGTCATGTGATTCACAATAACCAATGAGAGAGCATCTTCATTTTGTGATCTACTTCGCTTACTTTGTTTCTTTATTATAACTGCACTTTTTTCTTGCCACGTCAAAATTTGTCTGCGCTCAGACGGTCTTTTCAAATTTGACGCCGTCAGGTAAGCACTGATTCAATTTTCGTAATTTTTTTTAAGTTTTATGGTTTATGTGCTTCATTGTGTCGCTAATCCTCTTTCAACCCAACGCTTGTATTACATTACAGTCATTTTACAGCTATACTAATGCAGTTAAACTAAACTTAGGCCTACAATTATTGATTCAAATGTCTGCAAAGTGGAATTGAGTTTATCGGTTCTGAAATTGGTGTGAGGAATCTAAATCGGAGGCTGCAATGATTATTAGAGATAATGTTATTCCTTCAGTTAGGCTTAGAATAGTACTAAATGATTTTTGGTGTGTGATTATTGAATCAAAGACAACGGCGTAAACAAATGGAGGCTGTCGAGGACCGGGAAATGTTCAAGTAAGAGATTTAAATGTATTCAATTTTACGCTTTGGATAGCTGCCAAATATACTAATTACTCTTTTTTGATTTAGCTCATGTTAGCTTTTATTCAGCCTGTATATTGCATTCTATCTATATAATATATTTCAGATCGTGTTTATGCAAACTGATTGGATGTAAACAAGCGAGGAATGTTTACTTGCGGTAACTGCTGGAGCGATATAGACACAACGGTAAAATAAATATTCATTAAATTAGCAATTTCAGTTAAGACATAATATAGCACTAGATTCATATTGAGGAGGATATTTGTGTTGAATCAAAGAACCGGAGAAGATATGACTGTGCAAAGATGTTTGGACCATTTCATAAATATTATTCGCAATTTCACATCGTTGCTAAGAGAGCTGTTATGGACATAGAACAGGTGATATTATTTGCTTATGTTTTTGTCACTGCAGAATATCGATTGTCTTTGTTTCTTTATTATATTAAAACCTTTTTCTAGTACGTTATAAATTTATGCTCGCCTAAATATGGCGAGCACAGTTTTTATTACGTTTTTTCTCGTAATTTTATTTCTTCGTGTGTTATGTCCAACCTCTTCTATTCTAGCGTTTCTCTTATTTCAAACCTATTTTCTAAGTCCTTCACAGCTATACTAATACAGTTCAGCCTGGGTTGAGCCTGCATTTGTTGATTGAAATCACTGCGAAGTGGAAATGTCGAAGTGAAACGAAAACGAAAGATACAATGACTACTAGCTAAATATAAAATAGAAATAATCTAGTTAGGCCATAAGATAGTATTAATGTGACGGTTGATGTCTGATTCGTGAATCCAGGACTCACGGAAGTGTAGTTGAAAAGATGCGATCAAGTATTAATAAGGTAATTGTGCCAATTGCATTGTTTTCTCATATATATATCCCTCAACCAAACTCCAAATGAATATGGAGGTTTCATACTATACTGGGCTTGTAAACTGGACAGCATTTGTTGTTCCTTAAACTTACATTTTGATGTATTACATTACAATGTATGCGATTTTATACATACAAATTTTCCTTTTGCCTGTTATAGAAATATTTATTATAACGGCAATTAACGAATGATCTGATTTCTTTGCGGTTTTCTCGTTTCGCTGTAGGCTTATATAGTGGAATGAGGACAAAACAATTCTGGAATTGCCCGAAGGAAACGAAAATGACAGATTGAAAGACAGACTTCACTCGACTTGTTAGTCGTGATTTAGGAACTTGACCGTGGCACAGAGAGAACACTGGGGCACGATGAAGTAGACTGTGGTATGCGATACTTTCACATGAATAAGTATACAGTATTAGATTGGTATTGATGACCGTGTTGAAGTTATTTCATTCTTTGTGGCTTTCGTATTTTGTAAAACCAATATCGATTCCATCAACCATAAGGATCATTTGGCGCTCCGGAAGTAATCGTACCAAGATGGCGCACAATCTGAACAACCCCACTCTGATACACATACTATCTTCAGGCTGGGCGCTATCTTGGTACGAATACTTCGAGAGCATCGATTATTTTTGCTGAAAGTAAAGCGTTAATTAAAAGAAAGGAAGTCTCTTTTAAGTTTTAATCCACTTACAGGAATAAAGGGCGAAGAGAGAAGCACAAGAGAGATTCTCGAACGGCAATGTGACGGTTGATCGTTATGAGATGAAAAAGTGGTTCATTTTTCTCAGTTTTCATGACGAGTTCAGACATTTACCAGTAATGGGAAGGATAGAGTCGTCGACTCGACTCGAATAGTTACTGTCACGTAAATGGGCGAAGTAGTCTTTTAAACTACTGGTGATTTTGTTTTAATTTCTGTAAGAAAAAAACGTCAAATAATGCTTTTTACTGCTTTTTTGGTATGTTTTGTTGGTGTGGTATTTGGTTTGGGGCTGATCATTCTTGATCGCTTGTGTAGATACACACAGTAGAAATATTTCGTGTGTGGTATTTTGTAGTTATATCAATGCATTAGTGTGAATAAACCCCAAATAATGCTTCCCGTTGCTGGTTTTCTTGAAATTTATCAATCTCTCTACACTACACCACAATAATATCATATATATTGTATAATATATTGAAGATGTGTCGAGAAAACGAGATGGATACAAGATAGAAGGAATAGCAACCACTAAATCACTGAAACTTGTCATCGACGGAGTTGCATTTTGTGAGTTCATCTAATTTAAGTCGAGGGTCGTGCTATTTAACATATATTTATATATAGAGAGATGAGGTATAAAATTATTTAACGAATACAACAGGTACATTTCAAGAACTGATTCAGACTGCATATTTAGAATAGAAACAATTTGTAAATGCGATTCTGTGGTTGTCTCTATGCATTAGTTTTAGGATGTAGCTTCAAATAATGTTCACATTGTCATCTTTCGCGTGGCTTGTTTGCCATTTACACCGAAATACAGCGTTTTTTTTCAATATTGAAAAGCACATCAAGTAAACAAGAATGGTCAAAGAAGAATTATGACAACTAAAGAACAATCGCTTGTTTCGGACGGACCCGCAATTGGTGAGTTGTATTTTATACCTTGGTGTCCCTTTAATTTACTGTCTTAAGTCGTTCCAAGCTAAAGCTGATTTTCCCTACACAAGTTCTGCAACTATGACGCAGTCAAACTGAATCTTTTGTTCGGGTTGTAGGTATTTTGGTTGACCATGTCATGAATGTTAGTGATGTAGGAACTGCGTTCAGAATTGCGAAGTACAATACTTCTTCTGTTCAATCGTTTGTTCCAATATGTTATATATGTGTATTCTACCTTTGCTTCGAATCTGCTATCTGGACTCACTCATTTTTCCTTATAATCGATCTACCAATACCAGTTGGATTAATATTATGATTATGCTACGCCATGCTATTAACTCGAGCTTCATTGTTTAATTGTGGAGTATTTTCACAACTAAATAACGCCCATATTTTCTGTTACAGTAATATGGATGTGCGAACAACAAAAAATGAATTACAAGATCGATGTAATGTATAATGGCTGCTAATAACTGAATTACTTGGTGAGTTTTTTTACCGCTCATGTTTCTAATATTACGAGATCATAGGTCGGAGCCATAAGAGTCTAATAAGAAATTGTGTTCTCGTTGTAGTTGTACTTATAAATACGCTTCCAAAACAGTAACTTAAATTAATCTGTCACAACCCAGCATTCGTATAGGTAATTTAATTGACTTAGGTGCGAACATACAACTAGATACAATTACTCAATTAGTTTTATTTACTACCACGAATTTACTGAAATTGTCCCGTCGATGTAGTTAACCTAACCAGGACTAGCCAAGTGACTCCCGTAGTATTTGTACCTGAAGTTATGGCCTAACCCTAGCCTGGTACACATACTACGGGAGTACCGCTATTTGACGCAATTAAATGTTCTTCAACCGTGTTGCCTCCCGCCCCATTTTTTTCCAAATTGCTCATTTTATTACTAATCGTTTGATTTTGAATTTCTAAGCTACTCAATCCCCGTATGTCCAAGCATGTCCACGACCGGAATATACCATTTTATTTTGCTTTATTATAGGTTTCTGAATTCATAAACAAAAATCAGTAAAGAATAGTCTGACGTTCAGAACAAAGACATTCGGGAGTATTATCAAAAGTAAGCATTTAACACTTTCGAGTCTAATCTCTTCTACTCTTTTTGTGATGAAAACTGCATTTTGCACAGACTATTGAGATTGATTAATCGGCTTGGTCTCAAATTCATATCTATTTTCGGGTTGTATGGGCTCTGTACTTTCGAAATATGCTTATCTTACTAAGTTTTGACACTGACGCTGCTGCCAGAAGACACTGACGTAATACCATAAACTTATTCACGAAGGGCGTAGTTTTTGAACAATTTCTTCATAATCAACCCAATTAAATACGATAGACGCAGTTTGCGCAATACGTGTGCGTTTACTGTTCACCTTTCCAAAAATGCGAAATAGGTTTAGCATTACATATCTAAACAATCTCAATTTGTTTCAGGTACACGAATATGATGACGAGAGAAATGTTTCTTCGAATACAAATTGTATGCAGTGTTTTCATATCCACCTTCTCCGTAAAAACACATTTCTATATTATTAATACTGTGAATCGACGGTTTCGTCTGTTGCAATGCAATTTATTAATGAAAGCTCAATTTAAGATATATGCTTATGCATTTTCAATAATCATAACTCCTTTTTGCATCTGTCGAAACGACCCATATGAGCTACAAGTGCCGAAATTTTTACTTCTTTCCTCTTTCCTCCGGAGAATTTGTTCAAAGCAAGGTGACCACTCTGAACCAGTAAACCCCAATTTATGCGAGTTTGGAAGTCTATTTGATGATCAATGAAATTACCGAAAAAAAAACGTTCCGGCATATAAATTTAACAAATATTCGTAAATAAATATTTGGAAAACAGCCGACCAATTTTCATTGTTGTTGGGAGAATGCACTTAATTAAATTTAACAACATCGAGTAATTTTAACCAAATTTCTTGCATCTGAATTAGTAAAATACGGCTGAGATAACTCTATCTCAACAACTCAACGAATTCATGCATGGCAAGTTTTCGAATTGCGATGAAAGTTTCCAAATTTTAACTAATTTATAAAGTTGAACCATAATACTTGATCCAAATGCTCCTCTCTGTCATTTAGGCTAAGAAGCCTAATTACGTTATTAACCGCTCTGCAATGTACATATTTAGTAATACAGGATATATACGTGTATTACGTATATATGGTTTGCTTTTGTTATTATTATATCTTTTTTTGCCAGATATCTTAAAATGTTTTCCTGGTGACCTTGAACTTGGTATTTATTTGTGTTTTATTTCATTTAAATCTTGAAGCAATAAAAATTTCTCGGATTCTGGACATTTAAGAGTTTTGTTAAATAGGCAGGGAAAGTTTGACAGGCAGGAACTACAACTCGGAAGGCTACAGGGCTCGTTGTGCTGGAGCGGGATAGGGCCGGTCGGACAGCCGGGATGCCTGGGCGCGGCGGCAGGGGCCCGGTCGCGGGCCAGAAAATCCTGGAAAATTATCTTTGGCCGAAGATAAAATATTATGTTCGGGTATGTACGGCCCGAGGATAATAACCGATTTTTAGGTAAATATTATCTTTGGCCATACTTGGCCGATGATAAATAAATTGAACCAAATAAATTATCTTCGGCCACACTTGATCGATGGATAATTTTTGGGATTTTGATATTTTTAAGGGTTGGACCTTGGATTTTTGTCGATTTCTGCCATCGAATATTTTAACATTTTGCCTCGTACTTCATCCCATGACGTCACATTCATTCTTTCCTTTAGTGATTTCTGGATAAGATCACAAGATATTTTTAAAATACTGCACTGGACTCGAACTCTGGTCTTAAATTTCGCTCGATGCGCACTTAACCGCTACACCACGACGATGTTAAGTTCTGAACTATTTAAAATTCTGATACTAATTTACCGAAAATGAGTTGATTACCCCTTTGATAGATAAGTATTAGAGTTAAACCGTTTAGAATTCAACTTTTCTATGGTGTAATGGTTAGGTGCACACAGAGCTAAACTTGAGTCCAAAGTTCAAGTCTAACGGATTCTTTTAAAACAAATGAAAATTTAATTCGAAAATAAGGTAAGGACAGATGAAGGTGACGTCATGGACAAATATATCAGGCTAATTGTTGACCAATATCCGATAAAAATGGCAGAAATCGACAAAAATCCAAGGTCTAACCCCTAAAAATATCAAAATCCAAAAAATTATCATCGATCTAGTGTGGACCGAAGATACTTATTTGGGTGAATTTTATTTATCATTGGCCAAGTATGGCCAAAGATAAATTTACCGGAAAATTTCGTTATTATCGCCGGGCCATACGTAACCGAACATAATATTTTATCTTCGGCCGACGATGATCTTTCAGAATTTTACGGGCCGCGCGTACCCCCCTGCATCCGCCGCCCCAGCGCACCCTACTCTGTAGCCCTCGCACTTAGTCAGTTCTAGTTTCCACCTGTCAAACTTTTCCCGCCCTCGTTAGAACTTAAACATTTCAGTTGATTTAGAATTTTTTTTTATTGTTTCAAGAGGATTTAAATGAAATAAAACACAAGCTACTGACAAAATGACATCAAGTTCAAGTTCATCCTGAAAACATTTCGAAACGAATTTTGGCAAAAATTTGATATAAACAGTGAAACAGTGAACACACTTATAAATTCATTATTAAAATATATTGGAAAATGAGAGTCTTTAGGTAGAGTAACTTTTTTAAAATGAATCTCCGGTGAAATTAAATGCGTTTGAAATGAAATTTGGCTGTATTACCATTGAATTGACGAGAATTGCTTTGCATAATTATTATCGTAGTTTTTTTTCAGGGTTGATGATAGAATTCTTGACAACATATTAATCATGGTACACTGACCTCTAATCAAAATTTTACGATTTAGTATATCATATCACGATACTGGAGTGGCGTCGTCAAGATTAAGCCGCGTCGAATAATTTAGGGTGGCCTATTTCCAGAAATTACGAGAAAAAAAATATTTCGTTGTGTAAATTGTATTCATTTTGCGCAGACTTAATTGTCTGAACGCTTAAAATTTATAGTCATTCGGCATCGAAATCTTTGAGAACCCTTGGCCTTGTGATTCAGTGTTGTGATAACGTGATTTTGTGATTTTGTGCCGATCAAACTCGTAAGCAAAAAGTCTCAGAAGTATATCATAAAAGTTTTGAGAGGCGTTTTATTAGGTGCCATGATTCCACAAGATTAGGATTCCACAAGATTAGAACAGTTAGGCAAAATACCAAAGTAAATCTCGTATAGATTGCCAGTCGATTTTAAAGAGGATCTTGGGGACTATGTAAAACTTCGATCTCTTCTCCATCAAGTTACGTTGCAATATATGAACTGAACAATGTGCGCAAAAATAGTTGACACAAAATTATTAGTTTCTTCAGTCACCACGGTTTAGTTTTCTTCAGATATGTTTCGTTTTTTTTCATAGATGTATACCTGAAATAATTGAGGATTAGTTAGATTAGATATAGTAAACCGTATTATTATGCACACGCCTACTAATTTGGAATGCTCAACGGTACAGGACTTATTTTATATATGATGCAGAATAGGGAGGGTCCGGACTTGTTCATTTTGTTAGGTTAGTATATAAGAGGGAAATGTCCAAATAAGGTAACCATTTTAATTTTGAAACGGGGATGACAAAAAGGCACGCTTCACTAAAATAATATAAGTTAGAGACTGATAAATTACTGATCTCTATTATTCGTGCCAAGAAACTTCCATCTTTCGAATCAAAGCTACAAGATTTGTTTGTGTTGTTACTTTCAGTTACATTGTTTTGATAAATGTGGGATGGCTGTGTGATGAAGATTTGTCGTCTCCTCCGTACATTGAGTCCTGTAACAAAAGAAAAATGATTGATATTAGAGTCATGAAATATTTTACTATCCAAAATCCGGAAATTGACTTTTTTACTCAAAACGAACCAACTCACAGCCTCGAAATGGCACCAGAATATACATATTATATATATCAGTTGTAAACAATTAAGTTTGTAGTATGAACCAAGACCAGTTATTATTTTACGCTGTAACAAAACTAATACGTTTCGACTAAAATGGAAGTTTTATATCATTTCCGACATACATACATTCGCTATCCCAATGCAATTCTTTAAACCATCAACAGCCTATGATAACAAGGCTGGATATTTGGAATGACTGTTCAATGGAATCGAATAGTAAAATACATCGATTCAGACAAAAATATTGAACGACTGCCATCTTACTGATTCAATGTTTTCAGTTTCTGGAGAAAATACAATGAGAAGTTGAATACAGTTATGTCATTTAATATGAAAATTTATATAACTTCCCTAGTATTCTAGAATCTAGAATCTATTCAGAAATGCCCAGCTTTAGTTAAGCATGCAACTAAAACCAATTTAACGGAAGCTCAGCACAGCCCGAGACGCAGTATAATAGATACATCAGAGTAGAACTCACCGACTGCAACTATATCCCGGGACAAGCAATTATTCTTCAGCGTCCAATATTTCTTAAAAATGTCATTTTTCATTCGCGGTATGCCGTCTGTATAAAAAAAACATTTAGTGTAAGAATATTGTATAGTATCAGACGGGAGACCGGTTGTATAGCAGTATATGTATTAGTCCTAATTAAATAGTACTTTTATACATTTTTTTTTTTTCTGGCAAAAATGCAATCATGATGGGTTTTTATGAAATGCTTTTTATTAGGTTTATTTTTTATTCTTACTACATTCGGCTTTAATTTTATAAATAAAACACGAAAACCTAAATTTTGATACGCGAACTCTGAAGTATTTCACCAAAATGTGCATGGTTCACATTTTTTGCTGAAATAGCCATATTCTATAAAAGATTCTACTATCACCCCTGAGTGACGCATACCATATAGACACAAAAACCGCACATTCACCTTTTATACTTCGCCCATTTAAATTATGATTTCATTCATATGTACTTGGTGTTGTGTTGTCTCTATTTATATAATATTGTCTTGTCTTATAAACTCCTCTCAAACAGTTTTCAATACTCCAACCCATCGCCCCACCTTGCACTACCGTCTATATAAGAGACCACATTATACATATTTAATCTAACATTCTTTGTTTTATGTTTGTCAAAAGGGGTGCAAAATGGCAGAAATCGACAAAAATCCAAGGTCTAACCCCTAAAAATATCAAAATCCAAAAAATTATCATCGATCTAGTGTGGACCGAAGATACTTATTTGGGTGAATTTTATTTATCATTGGCCAAGTATGGCCAAAGATAAATTTACCGGAAAATTTCGTTATTATCGCCGGGCCATACGTAACCGAACATAATATTTTATCTTCGGCCGACGATGATCTTTCAGAATTTTACGGGCCGCGCGTACCCCCCTGCATCCGCCGCCCCAGCGCACCCTACTCTGTAGCCCTCGCACTTAGTCAGTTCTAGTTTCCACCTGTCAAACTTTTCCCGCCCTCGTTAGAACTTAAACATTTCAGTTGATTTAGAATTTTTTTTTTATTGTTTCAAGAGGATTTAAATGAAATAAAACACAAGCTACTGACAAAATGACATCAAGTTCAAGTTCATCCTGAAAACATTTCGAAACGAATTTTGGCAAAAATTTGATATAAACAGTGAAACAGTGAACACACTTATAAATTCATTATTAAAATATATTGGAAAATGAGAGTCTTTAGGTAGAGTAACTTTTTTAAAATGAATCTCCGGTGAAATTAAATGCGTTTGAAATGAAATTTGGCTGTATTACCATTGAATTGACGAGAATTGCTTTGCATAATTATTATCGTAGTTTTTTTTCAGGGTTGATGATAGAATTCTTGACAACATATTAATCATGGTACACTGACCTCTAATCAAAATTTTACGATTTAGTATATCATATCACGATACTGGAGTGGCGTCGTCAAGATTAAGCCGCGTCGAATAATTTAGGGTGGCCTATTTCCAGAAATTACGAGAAAAAAAATATTTCGTTGTGTAAATTGTATTCATTTTGCGCAGACTTAATTGTCTGAACGCTTAAAATTTATAGTCATTCGGCATCGAAATCTTTGAGAACCCTTGGCCTTGTGATTCAGTGTTGTGATAACGTGATTTTGTGATTTTGTGCCGATCAAACTCGTAAGCAAAAAGTCTCAGAAGTATATCATAAAAGTTTTGAGAGGCGTTTTATTAGGTGCCATGATTCCACAAGATTAGGATTCCACAAGATTAGAACAGTTAGGCAAAATACCAAAGTAAATCTCGTATAGATTGCCAGTCGATTTTAAAGAGGATCTTGGGGACTATGTAAAACTTCGATCTCTTCTCCATCAAGTTACGTTGCAATATATGAACTGAACAATGTGCGCAAAAATAGTTGACACAAAATTATTAGTTTCTTCAGTCACCACGGTTTAGTTTTCTTCAGATATGTTTCGTTTTTTTTCATAGATGTATACCTGAAATAATTGAGGATTAGTTAGATTAGATATAGTAAACCGTATTATTATGCACACGCCTACTAATTTGGAATGCTCAACGGTACAGGACTTATTTTATATATGATGCAGAATAGGGAGGGTCCGGACTTGTTCATTTTGTTAGGTTAGTATATAAGAGGGAAATGTCCAAATAAGGTAACCATTTTAATTTTGAAACGGGGATGACAAAAAGGCACGCTTCACTAAAATAATATAAGTTAGAGACTGATAAATTACTGATCTCTATTATTCGTGCCAAGAAACTTCCATCTTTCGAATCAAAGCTACAAGATTTGTTTGTGTTGTTACTTTCAGTTACATTGTTTTGATAAATGTGGGATGGCTGTGTGATGAAGATTTGTCGTCTCCTCCGTACATTGAGTCCTGTAACAAAAGAAAAATGATTGATATTAGAGTCATGAAATATTTTACTATCCAAAATCCGGAAATTGACTTTTTTACTCAAAACGAACCAACTCACAGCCTCGAAATGGCACCAGAATATACATATTATATATATCAGTTGTAAACAATTAAGTTTGTAGTATGAACCAAGACCAGTTATTATTTTACGCTGTAACAAAACTAATACGTTTCGACTAAAATGGAAGTTTTATATCATTTCCGACATACATACATTCGCTATCCCAATGCAATTCTTTAAACCATCAACAGCCTATGATAACAAGGCTGGATATTTGGAATGACTGTTCAATGGAATCGAATAGTAAAATACATCGATTCAGACAAAAATATTGAACGACTGCCATCTTACTGATTCAATGTTTTCAGTTTCTGGAGAAAATACAATGAGAAGTTGAATACAGTTATGTCATTTAATATGAAAATTTATATAACTTCCCTAGTATTCTAGAATCTAGAATCTATTCAGAAATGCCCAGCTTTAGTTAAGCATGCAACTAAAACCAATTTAACGGAAGCTCAGCACAACCCGAGACGCAGTATAATAGATACATCAGAGTAGAACTCACCGACTGCAACTATATCCCGGGACAAGCAATTATTCTTCAGCGTCCAATATTTCTTAAAAATGTCATTTTTCATTCGCGGTATGCCGTCTGTATAAAAAAAACATTTAGTGTAAGAATATTGTATAGTATCAGACGGGAGACCGGTTGTATAGCAGTATATGTATTAGTCCTAATTAAATAGTACTTTTATACATTTTTTTTTTTTTCTGGCAAAAATGCAATCATGATGGGTTTTTATGAAATGCTTTTTATTAGGTTTATTTTTTATTCTTACTACATTCGGCTTTAATTTTATAAATAAAACACGAAAACCTAAATTTTGATACGCGAACTCTGAAGTATTTCACCAAAATGTGCATGGTTCACATTTTTTGCTGAAATAGCCATATTCTATAAAAGATTCTACTATCACCCCTGAGTGACGCATACCATATAGACACAAAAACCGCACATTCACCTTTTATACTTCGCCCATTTAAATTATGATTTCATTCATATGTACTTGGTGTTGTGTTGTCTCTATTTATATAATATTGTCTTGTCTTATAAACTCCTCTCAAACAGTTTTCAATACTCCAACCCATCGCCCCACCTTGCACTACCGTCTATATAAGAGACCACATTATACATATTTAATCTAACATTCTTTGTTTTATGTTTGTCAAAAGGGGTGCATGCCGCACATTTGTGTTTTAGTTCAGTAGGTCTTGTGCATGCATCCGGTCTTGAATAATAATTGTCAAATTTATTTATTTCTCACTAATAAGACACGAATAAACATACATACATAGCAATTATAACACTCATATTTACTAAAGCTTGTCATAAAATTGAAACCAATGCCCAATGTTAGTCGTCACATAGCAGATCTCAACATAGACTAATTTCATAGATTAGTTTTAATTGTGCTGACAAAACTTACTTTGGTTGTATTGTTCTGTTCTGAACGTTCGATTCCAGTTCTGTTGAAGATTCTCCGCCTCTCCACATTATGCACACTCGTATTCTAGGAACAAAAAAATGAAGGATAGTTAAGACTGAAAATACTCAGCATTTTATCTTGATATAACCAAGAGTATAGCGTCTATCACTCTAGCCCATCTACCTATAATCACAAATAAGAAAAGTATAAACAAAATCCAATACCCTATAATGTATCATACGTGTTTACGTAGAACAAAGTGGTCGCGAACGTTAAAATTGGAGTTAAAATTACGGAAAAACACGGAAGTCATTTCAAAATTTTTTTATTATTGGATCGCTCTCATAATTCAAAGGCATATATTGTATTGTAGTTTGAAAATTATAAGACCTTCTCTACTTTAGATGTTGAATCAATTTTAGAGCAACTCCTACCTTGCCATTTACATCAATCAATCGCCACTCGACCATAAGCCGTGTCAATATCGTATATATGTCCAAAGGTTTTCTTTTACGGATTTCTTTGCTTTTCAGTCTATAATTCAGTATTGATGATTATTACTTACTTTTTTAGTTCATTTCTCGATATAAAAATCTCGAAGGACGATGGTACGGAGTTGTTGTTAGAAGGTAAACGATAAACAATAATACTTTAACACAGATTACAACTTACAACAAATTGATTATGTCTGGAGGAGATATTACGATGAAGTCAAACACAATTATGTCGTTTAAGTATGAAATTTAGATATCCTCCTAGTATTCGAGATTTCACTCGATTTAGAAATTTTCAAGTATTTTCAAATGCTCAGCTTCAGTAACGATGCTACCAAAGCAATTTAATGACAGCTCAGCACGACCCAATACTCAATAATAAAGTAGATACATACCTTGTCACGGGACAAATAATTGTTTAGCTGCCAATTTCTTTCAAAAATTCGTTTTTTATTCGCGGTATGCCATCTGTATAATAGGAAATTTAGTGTAAAATATTGTGGAGCGAGACGGAAGAATGGTTTTATGGTAGTATATAGTATTAGCTGAGGACGATATCAATTGTAACACTTGTGTCCTAAACTTTTCAAAATTGAAACCAACGCTCCTTCATTCGTCCCATCAAAGATCTTGACATGAACTAATTCTACTTTGATTAAGTTTTGATTGTGCTGACAAAATTTATCTTGCCAATATTGTTCTTCATGTTCGATTGCACTTGTGGTGATGAAAAGATTCTTCGCCTCTCCACGATATGCACAGTCGTATCCTTGACACAAAAAATATAAGAATCGTTGGGATCGAAACTACTTATCATTTTTATCTTGATATCACCCAAACATTCAGTGCATATAGCCTGGTCTAAATAATAAATCCGAAATAAGAAAAATGTAACAAAATCACTTGTGGGATCGCGAGCGTTCGAATTGAAGAGGAAAAATCTTATCAAAGTTTCTTGTAGTGAAGCGCTCTCATTATTCAAAAGCATATCTTGTACAAACAACACAAACAGGCAATTTAATTAATCATTTTTTACGTTAATATACGCCTTTTATTTTAATAAAAGTATAGAAAACATATGCGACCCACCTATCTATTTACTTTAAATCAGTCATTAGTCCAGCATCAGAAGTAACAATATCTTCTTCCTTCGTAAAAGTCCTGCAATAAATAGTGAGACCTTTGCTTTATAATCAGTTATGATAAGACTGGTTAACTTTTGATGTTGTAGCTTTTGACCTTTCCATTTACATCACGCAATCGCCACTCGAACATAGCCGTATCAATATCATATTTTGGAAGGTCTCCTTTCACTGCTTTCCTTGATTTTCAGTCTGTAATTCAGATTTATAGTTATAACTCACTTTTTTAGTTCATTTCTCGAGATAAATATCTCGAAGGACGATGGTACAGAGTTGCAGAAGTAGGAAAATGTTAAACAATAGCACTTCAACCCGGATTACAACTTACAACACATTTGACCAGCGAGCAAGACTTGATCTACATCCTTATGATTGACGTTCAAATAAATGCACTCGAAAGATATACAATAAATACAAAAAAGCAAAAGAACGCAATGCTGAAATGAATTTAATGCACATACAAAAGTCATGACTAATATTGACATGGAAACACAACAATACATAAGTGAAAATTTCAATCAGATCCTGAATATGAGTTACCTAAATGTATCGAAAAATGAAAAGTTATTTTATGTGATTCTGAGTTCTACGTACTAAAATGTTATTTATGAATTTTTAAACTCTAGCTTTGTTCAAAAAAGAATATGCCGTTATAAATATTAGGCGGCAGTACATTAATAATCTTGTCGAAACACTGTTGACGATTAAAAGTAGAATTTACTTATTTATATCCCGACCTTTCCTGTCTAAAAACTGTGCGTATATCTGGCGCAGACCAGCGCGGAAACGACCTCACGCTACCACGCCCTGGACTGAAATGTGGCACGCGCGCCAAAGATTTTTCCAAGGTCAGAAGAGAAGAAAAAGGGCAGTATAAAGGGAAACAAGAAGAAAACAGTCGGCCGTTTATAATAAAGAAACAAACAAAACACGAATTTCATTCTCACTCTGATCAGTGACCAATGATTAGGTAGTGATATTATTGTTTACTATCATGAGAAGCACATACGACCAAACATGACTTGGAGATAATAGAACGTAAATTTTATTTGGAATGTAACTGAGAAGATTGTCTAATTTAGCTTCATGGAAGATTTATTAAGACAATTCTTTGTTTGTTTGTATTTTGTTACCCTGAATACTCCCATCCCCAACATGGAAATGCTTCAGCAGCCATAATAGGGCTGGCTGCTTTCTAACGGGTAATTATATTAGGAATTGTCTTATTTAAACTCGTCTATGAATCTTATGGTACGTCTGTTCAGATGGTCGCCATAACTTCACTTCATGTTGTCCAAGCTTTGCGATATTTTCAGTAATTTGATACCTAAGCCTTGTAATTGTGTAGGTACGTGATACTTTACCGCGACAGAATTTTTGCCTTTTCTCATAACTATTGAAATAATGTCCTTCAACCCAATTTAATATATTGTTGACAATGGTGCACTTTATATTGAAATTATTCTTTTCACGATGCGGATATTCACTGCGCACATACGCCACAGTGGTAAAATCAGTATGATATATGAACCATACAGCGCGGTTTCATGCATAAGCGCTTATTGGATTATTATATGGCATGCTCTTAGTCAGTGATCGACGCAATTTTCCTTTCTATTCGACAAACGGTTGACTCTCTCAGCTCTGCAGAATTATGAACGCGCCAGTCATAACATTCGTTGCTGATGATATTCGGTCGAAGGTGATCATGTGCATGAAGACTGTTGGACCACAACAGGATGACCGCTTATCACATAAAGATATATATATATAATTCATTTTGAACTCCCCCACGTTACAAACACATTACAGCATATACAAGACAAGCACACAAGACTTGATTCCAGGAAAGTTCATTCTCGACTTTTTTTATCCACGACATCCATACCTGTTACATATGCAATGCTATGGCATTTAAAGTAGGCTATAATCTGCAGGCGACAATCTTTTAGTGCTTGGCCATGCCAAAACAATTTAGTAACAAATTTTACCGTGACGCTGTCATAATACCTGTTAATTTCCTTGTTCTTTGGTATCCTCGTTCTATTCGACTATAGATTATCCAAGTTATTTCCGAAATCGTGTGAAACGTTTCCTTGTCGCGTTCCATATGTTCATATCCTTCCTTATCTTGCCTTTTTAGCCAGAACATTTAATATTTGAAAGCGCGTTCATTGTTTCGTGTTGAAGATAAGAATGATGAATAGAATTATTTTCATTTGTGTGGTATTAGCTTGCGTGTGGAAGCCTTCATATGCAAAAAAGAAATGTGTACTACCAAGTCCACAGAAGATAAACTGGAGCAGGGTATATTTTTTCGCTAATTTAATTTTTCTTTGTGATAAATACTTTATGTATAATGTCTATAACAAACTCGTGATGTCGACACTTTACTAGGAAAATTATAGTGTAAATATTTCGAGGAATACTAAAAAGCCTGGATGCATATGCTTGCTTACACAGAATGGTCTTTTTGATGGAATAAAATATTTACGATAACGTGACTAAAGCTATATATATTTTGCAACTTTGGTAAACCGATTTTATGCTTTTCTGTCTAGTCTGTATATCATGTCCAATAAACAGTGGCGTATCTACGTAAAATGGCGCCAACCGCGAAGTTTAAAATTGCGCCCCCTTGATAGTTGGTTTATAATGACTGTTATTGATATGTAACGACTGTTATTGAATACTTGTACGTTGTCATTTAAGTAAAAATATGAATTTGATTTTTTTCCATTTTGAAATTATTTCATTGGAACATTTTACGATTAAAAATTTTCGCCGTTTTTGCGTCCCTGTCCAAATGGCGCCCATGATACGATCCATGTCTGCCACACCCTAGATTGGCTGTCAATAAATGCCTCATACAGGTGGAAATTTTACATAAAATTAAACGACGTGACACATAATATTATGTGCGCGCCTATCTGAAATACTCCATATTTCCTGATTGATTACGGTATAGTTGGAAACCTACTGACAAATGCATTCAGTTCGAAATAGTTTAATTTTTAAAACAGAATGATACTTATCCTATGTGGGTACTTTTTCCTATTATAAATTAAAAGAACAAAGCCAAATAATGCAAAATATTTTATTACCCTGCAGTTAATATTGAATTCGAAAAATTGTACAAATGAATTAGTAGATTAAATATGCCACAATTCAAATGCACTTTGTTTTCAGCTAACTGGAAAGTGGTATAATATTCTCAATAGAAAGACTCCTGGAGACAGATTAGTCAAATGTTTACAACTGAGAGATTTCGAAAAGAATAAAGCGGGCTTCTCCTACGTTATTGAAGACTATCACTTGTGAGTTTGAAGTATTTTCTCGCAATATCGTTAGGATACGTGAATACGTCTTAGGATACGCGAAAACTTGACAAATTCTGAAAAGAGGGCGCGACTCAAAAAGTTTGATAACCACTGCTCTTAACCTTTAAAATATCACCATTTTCAAATATATTAAATATTTTTTAATACAGGAATACTGGAACGTACGGAGGTGTTAAAGTCAATTTCAAGTTGAAAAAGTCAGGAATTTATACGCCTATACCCAAAGTAGCAACAGGTATGACTATATTACATCGTGACAAATCTATAAATCTAATTGTCAATATTTATTGCGTCATGCATATTAAATTCATTCAAATTCGTGTTATTCAGGACTGAAATGGTTGAAAATCGTTGGGAAAGACACTCCTCATCGCAGAGTTTCTAAGCCAGTCAAACACGGTATGTTGATTTCTGTATTCCACTCATTTTGAAAGATATGAAAATACAAAAATATGTTTTTGTTTATACTTCAGAGTTGATGGCAATGTCGACTTCGAATATTGTCTTTCTCACTGACTACAAGAATTATGTCATGGACATCCGATGCAGTGCAAATGGTTTGTTTCTAAAATGATATTTGGGGGTTCTGTGGATTTGTTTAGTGACTGTCCCAATTCTTTGTATGGGATTCCCAGCAGTACTAATACACTCAATCTTTCCATAACTCTATGGAGTACGGGATCAAATTTTAAATTCGTATGAAAATTCGCACTCATTCGACGGTATAAATCATAATTGTTCCTGTAGATCCTGACACTTTAGTGTTGGCCCGTGATATAGCTCTGCACACAATCTTCTTTATATTTGAGTGAGTGCGCTTTATCTTGCTTTGACAAAGTTCCTTCAAGAAAAAAGAGTAATCACAGAAAATAAAATCTGCGCCAATCTTGCGTTGTCTTGTTTCAAGTTTTTTTTTCCAGGAGAAAAGATGATTTGGGTTATGAGTAGAAATCCGCATCCTGGACCAGAAGATATTCTTCGAATAACTAACAAACTAAACAAAATCGGAAGAGGTTGGAACGATTTCCCTCTGTTCGTAACAGGATGCACTAAAACTTCCGGCCTGCATAATTTTAAACATGCATAGATGAGCCTGATATCACCATAAACTTTCTGATTATAAAATATATATAAACTGGATTTTACAATATTTTAATTTCTAATATGGTAATAAAGCATAGAAAAATTTGAGATTTATGTGATTTTACAATAGGGAATTATTACACGTATAATTTGAATTTTACCCAGATTGTCATGTTTAAAGTGTGCATAACTATTAATTCTACAAAACCAATTTATTGAAATGATTTGATTTCCATTTATAGATTTAATCATGTACTAATTCAAAGCATATCAGTCAGCTGAAAAAAAATACAACTCAATGATGATAATTTACCATAGATATTTCATAGAGAGATTTAGCCATGAACTCTTTCTGGCTTGGGCATGCAAACGTTTTAGATATAGATTTGCTTACCTAAATATAACCAATAACCTGCTTCGGAATAGATGAATTATGCTAATAAATACATTCTTCTACAATTAAACTCAATTCTGATGTTGTTCAAATAAAAGCTGTATCAATGTATATATAAAACTGCTATTTTCTTGCCGCTTTACTCGAAAGTTTTATGTGGGTAAAATGTAGTAATAGATATTGTATAATACAGTTCATGAAACTGTAAATTGATTAGTTAAATAATTTTAATGCTACTTCAAACAATTTCAGAAAGAGGTTCAGAATGCATTTGCACATTTTTTTTTCATTAGTCCTGCAGTTTGAGACAATTTGATCTTAATATATCGTTGAATTACGTCTGTGAGGTGCAACCTTGGTTAGTTGGATTGGTCATTTGGCCATGGGATTATAGGGGGAGAATGTTCCTATCTTCGTGTCTTTATTCCCGTATGTATTTATTATACATAGCGGAGTAAACCCCAATCCGAACTGCTCAGAGGTCAATGAGCATACAATAGATTGTAATGCCAAATATTCGTATATTGTAAAGTTGCACGATCAAATTGAATCCAAAACAGATATATTGAAATATACACCTACCAGTTATACGGTTGAAAATCCGAATCAGCAATAATGCACAAAAACTCGAATGGATGCCGGAAACACGTCACAGATTGCTCTGCATAAATAAAGCCTTGTGTTACGATAATAGCATCAAGGGAAATGCTGGAATGACCCATTTTCATTGAATTCACATAATATTAATACAAAGGGATTAAATAACATATACAAACCATAGTTATATTCTAAATTTTCTATAACACAGTCTTTTCTGAAAAACCACAATTTGATTACTAATGATCTATTGCAGACATGCTGATATGGTGTCAAATATGAGTCGAGCAAATTTTATTTCCAATTGATTTTTTAGCGATTAAAAACGTTAAAAAAAATATGTTATTCCAAAGTACTGACAATAACATTTGCTCAACATTACTGGTGTTTTTGCATTGAAAATATTGAGTCAAATATATCAAAATTTAAGCTTGACGCTGTCACGGCATTTGAGACAGTATATTTTTCATGCTAATAAAACTTTATAAAGAAGGAAGTTAGAAATAGAAAAAATTCCACTGTAATTTGATGTTATTTTTAGTGCAAAAATACAAAACATGAGCCATCAATTTGACGAAAGGGAAACCATATGTTCCCCATCTATTGCCACAATGAGTGAAATTTTTCATAAGCTTCGATATAGATCTTTATGCTTGATTGATATTGAATGTAATGAATAAAACCACTGGACGGCATCTCGCTAAACCTTATCTTTCGCCCAAGGTAATGTTAAAATAAGCGCTTCGTAATTAGCCATACCCCGACGTTTACGCATAATTGTTGTATTAGACAAATCAAAAATCTTCTTTATAAATTCAGAGGCTATGTAGAAAAATCCTGAGGCAATTTCATATATTTTTATTACGTATAATAATTACATATCTTTAAAGTTAGCCAACCCGCATTTGCTTCCCATACCTCCAGTATGATAACTTCATCATTGGATGAGTTTGTATGTGTTTAAAAGATTGGAATTTGCGAGAGCCCAACTAGCTAAATGCTGTAGCACTAACTTAGTTTTTGGCGTTGAACACACCAGCAGACACACAGATTCAGTAACTATAATTGAAAAAAGACATAAATACTTGGCTTTTAGACTATAGTCTGATTAGAAGAGTATTAGAATATGCTTCGACCGTCATTTAGACACTTATACCAATCTTAGACTGATGGCATTCTTAACAGATGTAATCAATGAGAAAGTTTTTGTTAGAATCGTCTTTATTATTGAAAGAAATTTAAAAAAATCACATCGGATCATTTTAACTAATTTACGCAAGCAAACAACTTCTCAATTATTGATATTAATAAACATAAAGCGAGTTGCAGGGTTGCTTGATAGCACAATTATTATGCAAATTTAACCTTTGGATATTAAACATTAGAATAATATAAAAAAACGATATTTATATAAATCGTTTTTGATATAAATATATATGCAAATTTCTTCAGAAAGGGTTGTCATTGTGCTCAGAATATACCGTATATATCGATTGTTGTTAAAAAAAAATGCTTTTATATTCAAGTAGAAACTGCTACTTTTCTGAAGGAGAGGTTTCTTGGGACTTGGGGGACGAGGAGAAAAAGTGTCGTAGGGTATTGCCATTTGTGGTGACCGTTGGTATACTGCAACCACCCGAGGATCCCTGTAAAACAAAAACTTCATAATTATTTTCCTAGATTTGATTATTTTAAACATAGATTGTGAAAAATAAAAATTCAGATTATTAGATCTTGAATCATGCTCATTGCTTGAATTGAACACATATGTCAACGCAAGAGGTGTTAAACAAATTTTCGAAAATACTGCTATACAATGTTATAAGGGTGAAATCATACCGTGGATTTTTTATTATTGTCCTTTGCATCAGAACTGAAAGAGTTTCCCCATCTATGTTGATCGCTCATCTTGTTATTAATGTCTTCAGTCTATCTTGAGTATTGTACTTGCGTTGCTCTTCGCTATAACAGACGTCGATGCACATAAGCTTATGAATGCTGTATCTATCTATATATTAAACAACAGTGGGATAAATAAATCAGGAAGTTTGTGGCGTAGTTCTTGACTCATTCTCAATGACTCAAGTTAAGTTCCTCCGTATTTAAATTGTTTAGAATATATCGACACAATAAATGAATAGGCTACAATTCACCAGGTATTAATTCCAATCAATCTTATTATTCAAAAGAAGTTAGAAAATAATGCCAATGTTCATCTAAAAGCGTTTCGAAATGTCGTCTCTTTGCTCTTTTCTTCATTTCCAGCTGTGCTATATCACCATACATCTATCACAGTGCTACCTAATGTATTAGAGAGCATCAGACACTAACTTATTAAAGACATTACAGTACGTACATTATAGAACACAATGCATTGCTGTTGTTGAGTAACACTCCTGATTTGATTTTTAATGACATACTCCATACTATGACACGAAGGTAAAGCTTTATTTGATTGAAAAAGATAAACCTAATAGTGACTGCACATTAAGTTACATATGACAAGTATAGTTATGAAGATACCTCAATAATCAAATTTACAATGAGCGAGACATGAATTTTTATTAAATCCTGAATATCAATTGGACACGAAATATGTATTTTATTCCGTCACGCTTTTTTATGGATTTTATTCAGTGAACTCGGCGCTCAGCTGAGGCCTTAGCGGTATCAAAGCGCCACCTTCGAAATACATTGGACATTGCTCTCTTGTTTATCTTCTAAATTAAAATAGATAATTCAAATTATTTTCGAACTGCATATGATGCCTATAACCGTGAATATTAACTGGACAAATAATACTCTTACTCAATTCGTCGAAACCAATAGATTTTAAGACAAAATAAAAATTTTATTTGTATGTAGCTTGATTTTTTCGAACCAACTTATCAAAGACAGAATAAAATTTTCTCTATTTTGATGACAATTTTCTGCTTTTTGTGTGTAATAAACGTAATGACACTCATTTGGGTGCTTAAATTTTATTTCTAGATTCGATATATTTTTATGATCTCGTAACAAGCGCCTCAAAATGAGAAAGTTTTAATAATATTTTATTGTTCAGGTAAATGAGCCTCAACTTACTATCTACGGTAAACAAACAATATCATGTCCATTTGTTTTATTTATGCAAATTATAATGCCTGTTCCATCTGTTTCTGTATGAACAAACAACAAAATACAGCTAATTCAATAGCAGATTTATTGAGCTAGTGTTTCGACACTATAGTCTATATAGCTTATATAAAATTGAACATTTTAACTAATGCTTAGAATCTAAGCATTAGTTAAAATGTTCAATTTCTATATAAGCTATAGACTATAGTGTATGAATGAATGCAATCCTCCTATGATCTAAATGAAGTTAAGATAAAGATTTGAATTGCCGAAACGAACATTTCAGAAAAAGAACGGAAAGCTTTTGTCTATTCGCTAAATTCAGGTTGTATTTGTTTTTTAGCCTTCGGCTTCGCACAAGTTGATAATGTCAACCGAACACTGCTCCAGTCTTCACCAAGATCGATTACCTTGTTAAAGGACTTGACAGCTGTTTTTACAGAAGGTTTTGGATCTCATGCTCACAGTCCAAAACAGCACATCTCCTGTGATATAAGATTATTCACAACAATTACAATGATGTATATATATTTCTGTATACCAGAATAATACAGGTATACGGTAAGCCAGATAATCTCGGTTTTATTCCAAATAAACTTTACATTTTATTCCAAAGTACTGACAATAAACATTGCTCAACATTATTGCGTTTTCGCATTGAAAATATTGAGTCGAATATTTTCAAATTTAAGCCTGGCGCTGTCAAGCATTTGAGACAGTATATTTTCACGCTATTGTAACCATGGAGGAAGTTAGAGTTAGAAAATTCCACTGTTATTTTTAGTGCAAAATACAAAACATGAGCCCTCAATTTGACGGAAGGGAGCCATTACTCTCCATATGTGTCCCAACTATAGAATGGATACTGCCACAATGAGCTGAAATTTTTATAAGCTTTGATATAGATCTTTATGCT